CAAAGTAGAATATAAGTATAAAATTAAGTAAGCACCATAAAAATAATCAAACCAAATATCATATCACTCACCATAGGCCCTCCAGAATAGTTATATATTCATGAGTTTGTAAAAAAGGCCAAGAAGTGGTGGTCAACCTAATTTCTAGAGGGAAACTAGTCTATAGAATAAGAACTAACCCTTCCATTATCTGTCCCTGGAGATTATAACAGCCCTTTCCTATTAGTATTTTGAAAGGTTGTTGAGACAGCATTCTCCTTATCTTTCAGAATGCAAGAGGCAACGTAACCAAAGCAACTCTTTTGATGGGGATTAATTTTTGTGGCTCATCTTTTGTGTGTATGTGTATTGCATGTTTAATGGTTTTATGAGATGTAACCTGACAAGAATTATTCTATCAGGTGGCATACAAATATCAAAAATAAATAACATCCAGGAATTTGGACTCTAAGCCAGTACTCATAACTCTATCAGAAAATGGGATTGGTGATACAGTAGCAAAGCAGTCATTGCTTACCAAATACCTTGTCTCAAACTTGCCAAAAAGCATCCGAATGACCATACAAATTACTGGAAAAACATTCGACAGACAGATAAATCAAAAGTGTAAGATTTCAGGCTGGTTCAACATGGCTGGTTCAGAAATTCTGGGTATTGAAGTCCACAAGTCATAAAAGAGCCAAGGTTCCCTATCCCTGCCCTAGGTCTACACCAAGGCACACAAAGAGGATGAAATTGGCCACAGGTGACAGTCCATCCAGGTAAACATTCTTTTCAGGACATCAGACATTGCACCTATTAGTGATCCAAAGATCCCTTCCTCTGTGTGATTGCCACCTCCAGCTATAACATTAAGCCAACTGATATACCAAAAACCTGTAACATTGCTGCAATCTTTGATTGGTATAGTTCACTTTATGCTCTCAAATAAACGTTGCTCTGCTCCAAGCAACTTGCCTGTGTGTTCTTTGGATGACCCAACTGGGATTTAAATCCAGTACTTAAATGTCTGTCTTCTAACACACACACACACACACACACACACACACACTTACTTTTCAGTATATACAATTAAACTGAGGCTCACTTAGGTTAAGTAATGTAAGGTAATGAAACTAAGCTGCACTAGAATGTCATGAGTAATACTGCATTATACATTACCAGCATTATTTCAATCCATTGTACTGTATACAGTGTCCTATATTTCATCCCAGACAGCAGATGGCAGCACCGAGGTAGCTTTGGCTCATCTTAAATATCTCTAAGATCAGGCCTGGGTAGTACTTTGATGGGAAATATCCAGAAAATCTCAGGGTCATACCCTAACCTGGAAAGCTGAAAAAAAAACCTCAGGAAGACTACAGTAAACTACTTTCATACTGTAGATGGGAAAATGTGTCCATGGCTACCACCAAGAGCTCAATCCTACTCCAGAAAGACTTGGAATTTTGCTATTGTACTTTCTAATTCCCAATTTACTCAAAATGGCTAACAGAAAAAAGCCACGTACAGAATACAGAATATTAAAAAGTTGGGTGGCTAAAATAATTTTAAATAAATGAGTAAAATACAAATTTAAATTATTTTTGACACTTATCTATGAGATTATTAATCTTAATAAATTAATTTAAAACATCATTTTAAGAACTATTGTACAAAGTAGTAATTTTTCTTCTGCATGTTTTTCCCCACAAAGAAAATCAATCTGTAGTATAATCAGAAGTCATTGTTTACATTAAAGTGTAATCCGAAAAAAGATTTAAGATACCACATATTTACACTGAGTTACCTTTCATTAGTTGTCATTAAAACAAAACAAAACAGAAACAGAAAAACAGAAAAAGCCTCTGCTAGTCAACTGTGTTAATGGTTTATTACATAAAATATTTATTACATTAAATTTTTATGCAGCCTATCTCCATTACAAAGCGACTCTGAGTAGCTTACAGATTTATCATTGATTTTTTGATTAACTTTATTTCTCACCCATCCAAGCACTTTTCAGGTAACACACTTTCTTTTTTGGGTTAATCCAATCAGCACATTTTTTAATGATTTGTGCAGTTCCTGAAATATGTTACTAATACAACCCTTTATTCTTTAAAAATATTAATTAATAATTATGCAAAATGAATTTTCAGTGAATTCACATCATTATTTTGAGGATTTGAAAAACATTAATTCGCAAAAATATTACTGCATATCCATGGCCTCACAAACAGCAAGCACAATACACTGTTTTTTACCCATCAATTCTCCTATCTTTGAGCTATAGATACAGAATCAAGCAACAACAAAAAGACTGAATCGAAATTATGTCCTATTCCTTCAGCTCCATCCAATTACATTGGTTATCTTTAATCATGCACATTTCCAATTACGACAGTTGAGCTACTATTTCATGAAGGATATGTGGAAATCAGCAACTTAGGTTCAATAAAAATGAAAGGGAAGCAGATTAGTTAACCAAAGAGAGAGAGAGAGAGCAGTATTTCCTGTTAATTTCCTTTTATTTCAGGCACAAAAAACATTCAATGAGGCCTACCTTAGGGGTTTAGTAATGTATTACAAAAAGTCCAAAATATATAGGGCATTATCTAATATTTTGTTTAATACACATGTAACTTGCACGAGTTGCAGATAAAAAGGTATAGCAAGGTATCACCTCTCATCTACTGAAACGTATACTACTGAAACACACATGACTATAAACTTTAACTGGGCAAAATAGCGCAACATAAAGCAAAACCTTTTCAATTAAGATACTTCAAGTGGGCTAATTTACAAAACACATCTGGATCCTATGATTTCCTTGAAATTTGGCAAATTATATAAAACATTTATGGCATAAAAATTATCATATTGCATTTCATGACATAATACAAAATGTCATAAAGATTTCCTGTGGTCAATTGCTGATGTTTGACTGTAGTATACAGTTCAAAATGAGATACTTCCAGGGCAAATATATCTCTGAATGACTCCTGAGCCTCCAGCAGCGGAGCACCTCCCTGAATTTTTAACTCTTCCAGAACATCTGAAACTTTGCAATTTTTGAAGGTACTGAGGAATTATCTTCAAAACAATGACACAACAGGACATGGGTTGTCTAGGTTTTTTCCAGGTTCTCATGAAATATCCTTATTTGTAAATGATTAACCAACCCATAAACTTACTCCAAGATAGCTAATATTTCTATTGTTAAAATATGTCATTGTTTCTTCCAGGCTATCAACATTATTACAGACTGCAAAGCATAGTTCTTTTAAAACCACTACAAAATTATGTAAGATGACTCTGCTTCTATCTTGTAAGTTTCCAATGCTATTCTGCTGAACATTCTGCTGATTCAGCTCTATCTCAAAACGTAATATTGTAGTCATATACTGAGATGTATGTTCACAGCAGGTTTCGTTATCTTTTTAACATAGTATTCCCTATCATTCTGGGCACTGTTCTATTTCTTATTGATTCTGATGAGAATAAAAAATTATTAGATTATTGCTTAAATTATTGGTTCATGCTCATTTTCAAGATTGAACAAATGTAAGCAAATGGTTAGAACAAATCATTTGCACAAAAATCAGAGAAATTAAATAATTATGACATTTTAAAATACCTTATTCCTGGATCAGGACGTAATACAAAAGTGATCATACTCTTACAAGATGGAATATTTGATTATATAGTGAAAATAACTAAAGATCAAATCATAAAACCAGAGTGACAGGGAAATGAATACCAAGAAAGTCAGAGATGGAGTTAGTATGTTGTTATTCTTGTTAAGGTAAAGATCACAAACATGCAAGTTACACAACTAAAAGATTTACTAAAAACTGACAATCTATAGCCCTATCTATAGGTAGAATTCTTGTTTTGGTTCTCACTTGACACATTCAAAACCTAAAGCTATTAGCTATGCATAAAGATTTAACTTTTGCAAAACAGAACCTTTCCATCTGAGCAATAAAATTGTTAGCTATAATTAAAGAGAATAAATAGAAGAGGAAAAATAACTCTGATCAATAATTTAGAATGATTAATCCACATTGCAGTTAAAACTCTAATTATATCAGCTTCTTGATAAAGAGCTGTGTTTGGGACACCCAAGAGTATCCCAAATATATTTCTGAAAACCTGGCTTTCTAAAACAGTGGAATTACTGTAGGGTAATATTCCTTAAAAAGAGAAAGCTGAAAAGGTAATGTATGAAGTGCTAAATAAATGCAGTAGAAACAAAGAAGATTTGCAAGAATAGAAAGATATACAGAATTATAGTAATTAAAACCCAATATTGTACAGTGTCAGGTCTGCGATGGGGGTGGGTTTGAAGAAACAGCTACTCATCTGACAAATTACACTGTCCATAGAAACAAAACTATCAGAAGCAGATCTAGGTCAACAGCTTATCAGAAATGTAGAAGAGTGGGGGATATAAAAATCACATCCCATTGTATGGCAAGGTATCAGATCTTAATAACTTTATGACTAAAGTCACATAGATGGAACAGGTGTATTATTCAGCTTTCAAAAAATGTACAATATTATAATTTCACCCTGCCTGGACAACCCTATAAGGTGGGTTGGGCTGAGAAAGAGTGACTGGCTCAAAGGTCACCCAGCTGCCTTTTAGCCTAAGGAAGGCCTAGAACTCATACCCTCCTGGCTATTAAGCCAGAATTTTCACCATTCCAGATGGATGCACGGAATGTGTGTGTGGGTGTGAGAGAGAGAGAGATAGCAGACATCTTTATTATCATATATCTTTATATATCCTAGATATCCTCTGTGTGTCTATCTATATTTATTATATACTGTATATCCTGCAAATAGATATATATAGGATACATATAGATATCTTAGATATAAACTACACATGTAATCTAAAAGGTAACAGATAAGATAGCTAAAAGATATTGCCTCTGCAAGCAGGACAGAGATTTCTATCCTATGGCTGGCTAAATTAGATGGGAATGGATTTCTCACCCTGCAACACACACCTTTTCCCACATAGCAAATGTACCATCTTCACATCCCTTTCCAAGGAGGTCCAGCAATGTCACGGGAGCCGGCAAGATCGGCCTGCCTCGCCACAGGTGAACTCGCCCCAATTCCTCCTCTCAGCCACCCATTTTGTGGCAAAGGAAGATGGAGGTAGAAACGAAGGAGCGCCCCCCCAGACAGCATTTCCTCTCCTGACCTGGACCCCCCACCCCCTCCTTTCCCCATCCCAGAGGAGACCCCAGCCCGCCCCCCAAGGCCAACCCGGGGGGGGGAGGACGGGCACGAGGCCCTCCGGCAAGGCGGCGGGGGAGTCTCGGCGTGCCGGCTGGAAGCTGCGCGTCTCTCCGGGGGGACACGGGGGGCTCCGAGTGGGAGCCCGAGGAGAAGCGCGGGGCGAGGCCGTCGGTGCGGGCGACGGAGGGGGGCCGCGAGGGGCAGCAAGATGGCACCGCATCGCGGGGAGGGGCAGACCCGGGCAGCCCTCCGAAAGGGGGGCGTGACAGCCGGGCTCCGACTGCGGAGGAAGGCGGCGGAGCAGCCCGGCCGAGCCTCCAGGGGCTGGAGCACCCACCCCGAGGGAGGGAGGGAGGGAGGGGCAGCCGAAAGAGAGGCAGCCCAGCGGGCGAGGGAGCGAGGACACCTCGTGAGGCAAACAGGGCGCCGGCGGAGGATGATGGGAGTGGGAGTCCGCGCCTGAGGGGCCGCCGGGGGGCGCCGGGTCCCTCTTCCCCATCCCTTCACCTGCCATCGCGACGAGCAGCGGCTGGAAATGGCGCCGGCGCCGGCAGGCTGAGGCGAAAGACCGAGCAGCAGCGGCGGCGGCGGCGGATCTGGAGCGCGCGCGAGCCACGACCCGCAGCGGCGTGAGGGGAGGGGGCGGGGCGCGGCGGCGGGGGCGGGGCGCGGCTGCTGGGCCCGCCCTCGGAAGATGGCGCGCGCCGCGGCTTGCGTCTCTCGGCCCGCTAGGCCCCGCCCGCTAGGGTTGCAGGCCCACCCACTGGAGTCACGTGTCCCAGCCGACCGGCCGCTGCCGGAAAAGCCTGTACCGCATTTGTTTCTCGGCGTGGCGTATGGGTTCCCTGCCGGCTGCGGACGATGGGGAGCGCAGGGAGCGTCGCTGAGCTCCGGTTGGCCGAGGCGAGCGCTTGCAAGAACGAGCTGGGCCGGAGCCCTGTGGCGCCTGGGAGTCGCGGTGACGTCACACCATGAGGTCATCGCACGAATTGACGTCAGTCGCGAGCGATGCGAACCGCACGAGACGCCTCACTGGCGCCCCCGCCGCGCCTGGATCGCCGTTTTGTGCGCATGTGCCAGCTGTTTGCAGCTGCTCTCCTCCATACACCGCCTTTTGCACATGCATTCATTATCTCGCTTCTCCCCAACTCTAGGTGGATTGCAATAAAATGCATACAACCCCCCGTATAAGAATTAAAACAGCTGCAAGCATTATCCAACCAGTTGTCTACACAGCCAGGAGACAGACTCTGTCCCATGGCCTGGGTCCAGCACGCGGAGCCCAGGTGTCGAGACCTTGTGTCCTAGACTTATGACTGCGACTGAGCCCAAAACTTACGTTGCCAAGCAGACAGTTGTTAAATGAATGGCATCCACATAGGTCATGCAATCATTAATATACACTAACAAAACACAAAGAGGTGGTCGCACCAGAGACAGCCTTGGGATCCCACTGCATTTTTAAGCAGCTTTCTGTAAGTGCCTGGCCCACCAGCATCAGTGGGGCGGGGGCTGGAAACACATTGGATTCATCATAGAAAAAAGAGGTCTTATCAATGTATAAGACTTATCTTCCTGGGGGGGGAAGGGTCCGATTCTGGATCAAGTCAACTTCTCAAGTCCAAGGAGCCAATTGTTTTGCACTCAGATGATAGAGCAAGGATCTACAAACTTAGCAACTTTAGGACTGATGGACTTCAACACCCAGAATTCCTCAGCCAGCCATGCATGAATTCTGGGCATTGAAGTCCATCAGTCTTAAAGTTGCCCAGTTTGGAAAGCCCTGTGATAGATGAATCAATAGAAGCAGAAATACTGTTAGGAAGATGTTGATGCGTTTCTCAGTGTTAAATACACTAACCAAATATAGACATTTCAACTTGTTTTAGCAGTATACATGAAGGCTATTTATTTTTCTTTCAATTCAAAGGGCAAATTGCTTTCTTCCACACTGACAACTCTCAGTTCCACTTCTGCATTCTTTTACTGGAAGGGTTATTTTGAAGCTGTGTACCACGCGATATGCAAATCACACCCTCAGCTTGCTGTGCAATTATTAGTAGGTTCAATGTGTGGGTAGCATCATCCCAGTGTGAACTAGCAATCATGTCGCTCAATTGGGCCCCTGTGTAGACAAAATGAGCAGCTGTCATTGGGATGAAAACCGAGGTGGTATTTGATTAAAAAGGATGAGAATAAAAATATACTCATGATCATTTCTGTAATATTCTTTAAACATTCTGGAGCTCATTCGTTTAAGTTAATCAATATTAATGATTGCTTATATCAATCAATCAGAATAGAGCTGGAAAGGACCCTGAAGGTCTTCTAGTCCAACCCCTGCTCAAGCAGGAGACCCTACACCATTTTAGATAGGTGATTGTCCAGTCTCTTCTTAAAACTCCCCAATGATAAAGCACTCACAGCTTCTGAAGGCAATCCCTTCCACTGGTTAATTGTCCTCCCTGTCAGGAAGTTTCTCCTCAATTCCAGGTTGCTTCTCTCCTTGATTAGTTTCCGTCCATTGTTTCTTATCCTGCCCTCAGGTGCTTTGGAGAATAATTTGACCCCCTCTTCTTTGGGCAGCCCCTCAAATACTGAAATACTGCTAATTCTTTTTTTCTCTAGCAAAGCCATACTCAGTTCTTGCAAGAATGGTCTTTCTCAATTTTACTGATTATTAAAATCTTGTAAAATTGTTTTTATACATTAAAAACATATCTGCATGCCATAATCACACAGTAAAGATTGGTCTTCAGATTGCCATTGCTTTTAAACTACGAATTTGAAACAGTTTGTTCTAAAGTATGTCTGAAAAGAATGGGTATTTCATGTTGTAATGCCGCAACATAAACGTTATTTTTTTTTTTAAAATGTACAATATAAAACATCCCAGTGAAGGAACAACAGAAGGAGAAGAAGGAAAAGTGAAGGAAGGAAGGAAGGAAGGAAGGAGGGAAATTTTATTTATTTAGGCTTATTTAGACTTATTTCAGCTAGGCGGATAATGACAACAATATAGATTTACCGTCCTCTGTTACTCGTCCACATTACGGTTAGCCTGGGGACATCACTTCATTGCATTAGAGATGACGAAGGCTTTGTAAGATTCCAGAAACTATCAGATGCAGGAATAGTGTTTGAGCAAAGTCACTCATCCTGGAAGGGACATGAAGCCTCCTGCAGACCTCATTTGCCCAAAAGTGGATGCTGGCTTGCTTGAGGACCCCTTGGGGCTTCTTCGAAACAGCTGGTCTTAGCTTGTGCATGTCAGCAATGATTTTAATGCAGCATTTCTAATGAGCAACTCTTAAAACGTGCATCAATTGCAAACGGCCATTGCTAAAGAAGGCAGTCCGAATGCAGACCTGCACGTGGCTGCATAAAGCAAGGGTGGGGACTCTGCAGTGCAGAAGGTTGCTCGTTGCGTTGCCTCCCTTGGAGAAAGCAGTGCAAAAGCATCTGGATGGCATCAGAGTCTGTGGCAAATGTCCAGCAGGAGGTGACCATGAGCTTCCTGTACAATGCAGGTGACCCAGGGCTTCCAGGACCAAAAGGACATGGGCCTGTGATGGTCCTGGGGCTCAGCCCCCCTCCCCATTAGGAGCAAGAGGGCCAAGTTCAAATCTACTCTCAGCTGTGCGTTGCTTCTTCTCCTGCCCTCATCTGCTTTGGAGAATAGGTTGACCCCCTTTTCTCAGTGAGAGCCCTTCATGACACAAGTAAAACAACATTGGGGCTCCCGTTGCAGAGTGAAAGGTGCCACATGTTGCCCTTTATGGTGCCCCCGTCCTGCATCTCCCCGTCCTGCATCCTGCATCTCCCACGGTGCTGCGCTTGCATTTCCAGCTTAGAACACCCGAGGCAATGGAGTGGACCAAACGGGATTATTTTGCATCACCAATCTCCTATTTCTCATCCAGCATCATGACCTTTTTGGGGATAATTTTTGTTGGCCCTGAGACAGAGAGACCATTGCTTCTGCATCATTGTGTGACGCTCTAAAGGACTTCATGCTGACCTTGCTTAGCATTTGCTCTTTTTTAAGGCGTAGTTTTGGGAGCGGGTTGTCCTTGCATCAACAGGGCCATGACCCCCAGAGGCAGCCAGGCGGGTTGAGCAAACAGAACAATCAAAGGTTCACAGGCATTATAGCATCATTGGTGGCTTGATTTTTTTTTTCTCCTGCAGGGGATTTGAGGCACACTCAAGATCAGTTGCAGAGGAACATGGCATTTCCTGTCAAGCTTGCTTTAAGAGGACACAAGAAAAGGATAGGATTTTTTTTGAGGGGGGGGGGAGGTGCACATGTTGTTGAACTGCAAGAGTGTGGCTTTGAGAGACCAGAACAGAATTGAGGGCTGCCTGTTGATCTATCAGGTTTGCTTAAGAACGACCCCACCTGATACGATCACTCTTTGTAAACCCAGAAGTAATTCTTCTGGATGTAAAAGAAGGGAGAGAATCCCTTCTTCTTTCCATATCATCAAGACAACATCACCACAGAGAAACCAGATGGGTATCTTGCACCACCTGTCCTTAACTACCTAAGCAAAGCTGAACTTCAAGGTTTTGAAGGTGGCTCCAACAGATCCCAGAAATAACATCAGAACTCTTCATAGATGACAGATTAGAATAAGAAGGGGCACTCATCAACTTTGCAGATGACACTAAATTGGCAGGAATAGCTAACGGCCCAGAAGACAAACTCAAGATCCAAAAAGATCTTGACAGAGTTCAGCAATGGGCCCTATCCAACAACATGAATTTTAATGTGGAGAAAAGGAAAGTTTTACACCTGGGCAGAAAAAAACAAAGGTACAAGTACAGATTATACCATCTCAGACAAGTGACTGTCCAGTCCCCTCTTAAAAACCTCCAGGGATGGAGCGCCCATGATTTCTGGAGGCCAGCTGTTCCACTGGTTAATTGTCCTCACTGCCAGGAAGTTTCTCCTTAATTCCAGGTTGCTTCTCTCTTTGATCAGTTTCCATCCATTGTTTCTTGTCCTGCCCTCTGGTGATTTGGAGAATAATTTGACTCCCTCTTCTTTGTGGCAGCCCCTCAAATACTGGAATACTGCTATCAGGTCTCCCCTAGTCCTTCTTTTCACTAGACTGGCCATACCCAGTTTCTGCAATCCTCCTTGGTTTAGCACAGTGGTTCTCAACCTTTTTAATGCCGCGACCCCAACCGGTCATAAGTCGAGGACTACTCAACCAGTCGTAAGTCGAGGACTACTCAACTGGTGCAGCATCGTTTGCAGAATGGGACTTTTGGCGGGCTCAGCAGGGCAGAGACAGCCTGGATAATTCCTATTGGCTTTTGAAAGCCAATAGAATTAGACTCTATTCAAGAGAGTCTATTCGATTGGCTTTCAAAAGCCAATAGAATAAAAGGGAGTAGCACAGCTAAGGAAAAGGGGGAGGGGGGAAATGGCGGACTGCGTTGTTTGGCGACCCCTGTGAAATGGTCGTTCGACCCCAAATGGGGTCCCGACCCACAGGTTGAGAACCATTGGTTTAGCATATATAAGAAATGCTTAGCAATACATTCGGTTTTCTAGTTCCTGATCCCAAGACTCCAATCTTACACCTTCCAGAAGCATCATTCCCCTCCACTCTATGTCTGCTGAAATAAAAATGCCATATATCTTGGTCTTAAAAAAATTGCTGACAGGAGGCTGAATCATCCGTGTGTGTCAGCCATGCCTCTGGGAAAGGGTTTTGCTCAAAGAATGAGGCCATTAACGCAGGAGCCTCTCCGACAGGCACCGAGATCAGCCTGGGGGCAAGGGGGTCCTTGGAACTGGGGAAAACAGATCACCAGCAGGAGGCTTCATTCATTAGCCCAAATAGGTGAAAAAGAAACCAATTATAACTCAGCTTCTGTTGATAATGGCTAGGTAGAGATATCTCAAGAAAGTCAAATGATCTGGATAATTGAATCAACAACAACTGGCTGGATGTATCCCAACAGTGAGCCAAAACAATCACACTGACTGGGTTTATGTGTCCCTTCGATTCCTGGTTTGACTAACTGGGGCTCACTAGATAAGTGCAATTTGCTGACTTCACAGAGAATGCAAAGTTGTGATTTAACATCTATTTTTATAGAGGTACACGATCAAAGCTTTATCACAGAGAATGCTTCCCAGGTTACTCTAGAAATTTTCAGATCTGGTCCCAAATTGTAATTGGTAACTTGGCCAAAGGAGTATCTTACAAAAGTCACGATTGGAGAGTTTTGTGGTAAGAGACCCCTCATGGCTTTTGTAAAAGTGAAAGGGGAGAGATTTGTTTTCTGACTTGCAAGATTTTTTTTAATGTAACCTTAGAACAGGGGTAGGAAGCTATAGTCCCTATATGATCGGTGGACTTCAAGTCCCAGAATTCCTCAGCCAGGTAGGAAACTATGGTCCCTTTATGACTGGTGGGCTTTCTGGGAGTTGAAACATGTACCGATCATTATTTCTGGCCAACAACAAATTCAAGAAGGTGGCATCATTCTGGCAATTTAAAGTTTGATCTAGACATGGAAGAAGCAGCCTCACCCTTGTTGGTGACAGAGGCCTTGTTCCTTCTTCAGGAATTGACTGTGTCTTCTCAAGAAGCCGGTTGCACAGCCTTTTATGACAATAGGGCTTACATCCATCTACCATTACTTCTGCCATGATTCTGTCAGCATCCCAGTAACTTTTTTATTTATAGAAATGTAAACTGGGTTAAAATCTGGCTCAGTATGAAGTAGAAAACTAGGATTCTAGCACATTGAACTATGCCACTAACACACTAGTTTTTCAAGTTAAGTTGGACCATTATTGTTGCTTGTCCGTTAAGACATAGCATGTTAGGGGGGCAAACAACTGTGTTTTGTTAACCCAGATTTTGGGATTTTCATCTTGGGTGGATTTGGTGAAAGTCCAAAGCCTTGCTAGAAAAGTCCAAAATACCAGATAGGGAACTTCTTAGGACAATGGCTCCTTATCTGGGCTTTACCTAGAACAGAGGCCACTTCGGGGTGAAAAACTACTTTAAGTAAAGACTGAACATTACAAGTTATTTATTAAGTAGGCAACTGGCATCTGCAGATTAAGCTTTTCAACACATATTTAAACTTTCTCTTGCATTCCACAGGCTGTAAATCCTGTGAAAGAATCCAGAGAGAGAAAAAGAAATGCAGATAACTCATTGGTGGCAAAAGGAAGTCCAGGATTTTTGCACAGCACAAGGCCATTTGTCCAGGCAGCCTATCAAAAAAATACCCTTCAAGAAATCATGGTTGCTTCAACATCAACAAATGCAAAAATAAGTGTGGCTTCACTTTGGTGCTGCTGACGTAGACACTTGTGCCAACTTCAAACAGGTTTTGTTACCACTTTGAGGGCTCCAGGTTGCATGCTCGAGTGTGCATGTGTTGGGTAAGTACACACGCATGTTTGCACTTGGCAAACTTTCCATCTTTTCCTGGGGACACCTAGCCAGGGCTCAGTGGACAGTAATGGCCCCTTTAGGATCTGTGGACTTCAGCTCCCAGAATTCCTGAGCCAGCCAAGTCATAGGTCCTAAAGGGACCATAGTTGCCCACCCGATTCATAGAGACTTTTGGTCTTACTAAAACATGTCTATTTCAAAAAGCATGGAACATAGTATTCGTTTGTGGAGAAAGGGGAGCTTTTTAACCAAGTATTTAATTTTCTGCCTCTGCATTTGACCTATTTTTTATATCATTGCATTTTTATGTCTCTGGAATGTGCCCCACATTATTTTCCGATGGATTCTTGTCTGGCCCTGAGCGGTTAGGGTTGCCACCTCCCTTCCAGCTTACTCTCTGAGGAGGCAATTCTATCAGTCCTGGAATGGGATCTGAGGATCCTAGGAAGGGATCCCTGATCCATAGACATGGGTTAAAAATCTTGGAAATGTGAGAACAGAATTTAATCACAAAATGCTCTTCTCTATCACTTTTTTACCAAGATCCTGAAGAGATAAGCTGAGATTGAAAAAATCCTCCATTACTTGCTTCAAGAGGACTAGCTGCACACATTTCCTGACTAACAAAAAATGATGCCAGTGTGAAGGATGCCAAGGATGAAAAATGAAACCCCTCCTGACTCTCATTTGTTGGCTGCACCCCAAGGGGGATTGGGAGTTTTTGGAATGCAACATGTTTCAAGCGCTAGAATTATTCTGCCCCATCTCTAGGACGGGCCAGGTTGTAACCCCTGTAATCCCCCTGAAAGGAGCTCAGAGAAGCATTCAAGGCTCCCCCAATTGGATGTGGCAATTCAACCATTTACGAGGAGAGGTCAACGTTCTTGCAGTTGGCTTCCTGCCTAGACAAATTTAATTAGCGCTCAACCTTTCATCCCTGGATCCAGATGTCAGCTTTGCAGAGGTTCTGCTCTAGAGGGAGAAATGAAGTGAAGCAGAAATGCCTATTAAAGCCCTGAGTTTCTTTTCCTCCTTCTGCTTGGTGGGAACACAGCTGTCAAGAACTTCCCATCTCAAACCAGAAGCTTGTCTCACAAGACCTCCTTCATTCTCTCAGAAACTAAGTCCTATCAAAGAAATGCCTAAAAAAGAAATCCTTAATGGGTGTAACAGCTGCTGTGTCGACTGTCCAAAGAGAGCATTACTCAATGGGCTTATTTCTGCATCTTCTCTCTGGAGCCCGACTGAGATCTGGGTGGCCCAAACCTCCAGGTTCTTTAGCCTTCTAATCATCAAAATCTGGGATGTCGTCGTAGGAGTAGCCCCGGTAGCCTTTGGAAGCGAAGTAGGCGATTCGCAAGTGATAAAAGCCTGGAAGGAAAACCAGGATTCCGATGATCAAGACAGGGACTGCACGATCGGTTCCCTGGAGGACAGAAGAGGAGGAGAAAGGTCACCAGCCGGCTCAGGGCCTCAAACCCAGCAGTGAAGATGGTGAACATCGATGATTTCCAGGGTCTTGCAGGGGGGTGCAGAAAGACACTACCCCCCCCCCCAAAATGGGAGACTGGCTCCGTCTTTAAAAGGGCCCCAGGGTGATAGTGATGGACCATAAGCAGGAGACCCTGGTTCTAGTTCCCCCTCAGCCACAAAGGTTCCTTGATGACTTCGGGCCAGTTCCTCCTTCTCAGCCCCGGGGCCTGGGTAGGGTAATGGTGAAGATGCTGGATGGAGGGAGCCCCAGGTTCAAGGACCCCCCCCATGCATGGAAGCCCCCGGCTAGCTAGTTTCCACGCAGAACGCCTGCACAGACCTGCCCACGAGAGACCCAAGGCGGAATCGCTGCTCTCAACTTACCCCATGGCTAATGTATCCGGCAAGGAGGAGCGCACCAATAATGATGAGGAGGGTCCCGATCAGGAACAGCACCATGGCCAGCGCGATCGCCTTGTAGGGAACCTTTGGGGGGCTCTTCTTGAACTAGGAGAAAAGGGGGGTCAGTGCAGAACAGCCTTCCCGGCCCAGAGTTCCAAATCCTAAAGTTGCCAGCAACGCTTGTGCTGGCTGTGGAGTTCTGGGAACTGTAGTTCATTCACCTGAAAAGTGTCCAAGTTGGGGGCACAAAGTTCTGTTTTAAGAGCCGTTTTCAAGCAAAATATAAAAAAAACTGAATTCTACATCTTTTTCCTTGGAAGGGGGACCGAAAATAACTTTTGAAAGAAGACTTTCAGCACTGGCCCTGAACAGATCCCCTCCCAATTTTTACAAATCTTGATTCTCAGAATTCACCACCAATTCAAAGGAATGGCACAAGCCAATCGAGTGACGTTTCTGCCCAAAAAAAAAAAAAAAAAAGCCCAGGACATTTAAAGCAGAGAACCAAAGGTGAGAGATCCAACCTGGGAAGACGCTCGTCTCCCAAACACAGCCTGCGGAAAAACAAGCCACCTGGGATGTGAACGGATATAAAACGAGGAATTCTGGGACTTGAAGTCCACAAGTCTTAAAGTTGCCAAAGTTGGAGACCCCTGCTCTAACGCTTTCATACACTCTGTTTTTTCTTCTCTATCATACTTTTGGGGGGCATGCTAACAGGGATCTTTTTAGTGCTGTTCCTATTACAACTTTCTTAAAGATTTTCTCCACAGTCCTGCCTTCAAGGGAAGTGCCGTGACAAGGCTGCCCCCTGGTGGGTATCTCTACAAACTGATGAAACAGTCAGAAAAAACACCGCCAGCAGGTGGAATCCAGCATTACAGGCTCCACTTCCCATAATCTTCCCCAACAATGGGGGGGGGGGGGAGACTCCCCTATGACCACAGCTTTCCATCAAAGTTTGAGGAGGAAATATAAAATTCTACGTCCTCTCCCTGGAGCTGATATTTTCCCACCTTCCTCAACTGGTCTTCATTTGGATGGGGACAGTGGGAGATACTGCCAACCCTGCGAGGTAGACACGCCAGGGAAACAACTCCATGGGAAGGTTAAGACTACTTAGATTGAGACTGACTTGAACAACAGAATCCTGCAAGTGTGAATGTGCTGCACCTTTTCCTTCTTATACTCCAGTGAATTCAGGGAGGTGCTGAGACGTTTCCAAATGCTGCCTTGCAGTCTGTGGACTTAAAATAGGCTTCACCCCTATCACGTCCTCCTGATAACGGAGCTAGCCTATCTCTAAGGGGGCCATCTTCCTTACTCCCTATAGCAGCGTTTCTCAATCTTGATAACCTTAAGGTGTAGGGGTCAACTCCCAGAATTCTCCAGGCACAATGCTGTTTGGGGAATTCAGGAAGTCCACCCATCTTAAACTTGCCAAGGCTGAGAAACACCTCTACAGATAATGATCCTGGCGGTTCCTGACCCTATACAGGTAGTCCATGACTTATCACCACAAATGAGCCCTAAATGAACTGTCATAAGTCAAGGACTGCCTGTGGTCTGAAACCACTGCCCACATAAATCTGCACCATATCTACGGGAAAAGGCAAGAGAAAATGGAGGGAGGACCTCTCATAAACCGCAGATTGGGTCAGCAAGCCTCATCCCGATGGCTTTTTGGCAATGTCAGATGTGGGGCCTGTGAACAGAGGCCCCCAGAGGGGGTGATCCTGGCCAGTTCCAGGGTCCATGCCTGTAAATCAATAAGTAGCAGCGGCCTCGTCTTGCCAAGGCAACCGTTCTCCTGAACGGTTCTCCATCCCTGTCCTCTCTCCATTGTCCTGGTTGGTGCAAAGAGGATCGAGAAGAGGAGCAGCTGCCCCTGAACAAAGCTGCACTTTGAGGAAAGTCTAACACAGCAGGAGCTTTCTCGGACAAAAGACCTCTCAGGTTTCCTCCCTACAGACCTGTAATGTCTGAAAATGGGCTGGGGACCGAGGTCACTGCAGGAGGAGACCCCAGGTCAGATCCCCCGTCTAGAACGCACGGGGTGCAGTGGGGAAGATGCTGGGTGAAGAACCGGAAGATCCAATTCCCTCTTAGCTGGGTAACTCTGGGACAGTCCCTTTCTATTAAGCCCAGCCCACTGCAGGGTTGTGGTTATGGGGAAAACAGAAGCAGGAGCATTCGAGTTATCCAACATAAAGGTAGGATAAAAAGATGATAATAAAACAACTTTTCTTCCTTCCTTTTACCTGCAGATCAATGTATCCTTCATCCGTGCAAGCGAGCTTAGAATACTTCACTTTGCTGCTTGGGATCGAAGCAGCCAAACTCGTTCTGGATGGCATCTTCAGCAGAAGCAACAAATCCTCACAGCTACAACCTGGATCAGAGCCACAAAGGTTTTGAGTGGATAAGAACCTCCGAGTCCTTTAAATTAAGCTGTGCAAGTCCCATAGCAACAAGCACTCAATCGCTGGAAGCTGCGATGTTGAAACAACAGAAAACAAACTTTTGTTCGTAGGTTGGCTGTGGAGAGCTAATAATCCTAATCCTCAACCTACAACAGTAATGGAGGCTGCCCACTAGGGTCATAAATCTTAACAGTTGTAAAGTGGGTCATCCATGTGACTGACCCGATTTTATGAGCTTTTTTTTTGCAACAGTTATTAAGTGAACCCATTGTTCACTAGAAGGAAAAATATAAATTTACCTATTCTATTTTAGTAGGAATTGATCCCTTCTGTTATTCTACTTCTAGCTCTTGAACTGTTCTGCGACACGATTTGGAGGAAGAAAAGCTGGGCGGGAAATGTGAGCCACTTCCCTAATGACTGCATCTATTACTGTAAACATAGATTCATAAATATTTTATTTTCATCCCAAATTTAAACAATAAAACGACAGAGTAATTTCCTGTAAGGTAGGGTAGGGATGCCTTCAGAAGGATCCACACTGGCTAGACTGCCTGAAAGAAGCATCTGGGAGAACAAGATCAGGAGGAAGAAATAAAAAGAGGGCAAGGACAGAACAATATCTGCAGTTTCATAGCTTTAAAAAATGCCTGTTTCTTTCAGAAGATCCCTCTCTCTACTGACGGGATGAGATACAGGCAATCCTCAATTTGCAACCACAACCAAGCCCAACATTTCTGTTGCTAAGAGAGGCATTTGTTAAGTGAGTTTTGCCCCATTTTATGACCTTTCTTGCCAGAGTTATTAACTGAATCCCCACATGTTATATTAGTAACACAGTTGTTAAGGGAATCTGGCTTCCCTCTTGACTTTGCTTGTCAGAAGGCTGCAAAAGGTCCTGACCCTGGGATACTGTAACCGTCGTAAATATGAGTCAGTGCCCAAACATCTGAATTTTGATTACATGACCGTGGATGTAAGTGTGAAAAATGGTCATAACTCCCTTTTTTCAGGGATGTTGTAATTTTGAATGGTCACTAAATGAACTGTTGTAAGTCGAGGACTACCTTTACTCCCAAATGCCCACCACTAGGTCGAGGGGGCTGGCAATTTTGTGACTTTTGAGGATCCAGCCTTGCTTCTGAGATGGGAGCGTTGGGCTAGGCCAGGGCTAGGCCACTTTGGCTCTTTTATGACTGGTGGACTTCAACTCCCAGAATTCCTGAGCCGAACCTCTCCCTTTCCTCTCAGTGTGGCTGGCTCAGGAATTCTGGGAATTGAAGTCCACGAGTCACCAAAGAGCCAAGGTGGCCTAGCCCTGCCGCTAGGCCAATATTTTCAACCTCAGGTATGGACTTCAACTCCCAGAATTCCCTGGCCAGCGTTCTATGCGGCTGGGGCGATCTGGGAGTTGAAGCCCCCTCCTCTCCCCCCTTCAAAGTTGACATAGAGGGCTTAGAGGTCGTTGCCATGGAGACTAGGGATGGAAGGCAGTCAGTTGCGGTTTATTTTAATTAACCGAAGGTTCCGGGGCTTGAAGGGGCAGAGCCGACCCGGCTGTTCTCCCCCTGCCCGCGGGGTTCTTCCCGACTCTCCTCCTCCTCCCCAGCCCACCCAAAGTCGGGCCGCTCCCCCCGGGCCGGAGCGGCTCCCCGCGTCCCCAGCCTCGCCCGCGTACCTTCGGGGCAGAGCCATGGCGGCCTTCCCTACCCAGGAAGTCGACGGCCTCGCTCGCCGGAGCCGCTTCCAGGTCGCCGAGCGGCTGCGCCGCCCACGGGCGGTTCGCGAAAAGACCCCGCGTCCGCTTCCGCCTCTTGGGGAAGGGCGCTAGTCCCGGGCAGGCGAGACAGACGGAGCCGCTGCGCCTCGCCCGGACTCGGGTTGCTCCTCAGTCGCCGTGAAAGCGGCCTGTTTGTGCAAAGGCGACCGCTCGGCCCGCCTCCACGCCGGCGAAGTGCACGAAGCCCCGCACCCGGGTGGAGTCCGCCCTTGGGCGGGATAGATTTGGATTTGAGCCGGGTTTGCGCCCAGATTTTGGCTTCGAATAAAGCAGCCGGCTCCCCGGGTCTTTCCCTGAACTGCGCCTGTTTTGCATGGCGCGTGGGCCGCCGAGCCACTAGTGAAGCGGTGCAAAGGAGCCCAGAAGGACTTTCCCCTGGGAGGCTCTTCATCTGCAAGGCCTGGGGGCCGAAGCCTGTGAAGAAAGGTGGCAGGAATTGGGAATGGCCAGTCTAGAGAATGGGGGGGGGGCAGGGGGACGTGATAGCAGCGTTCCAGCATTTGAGGGGATCCACCTAAAACTTGCTTTTCTCCAGCATTGTAGTTATCCAGGCACACAACTCTATTGCATCTTTGGGAATGTAACTTCTTAAATGTCTGCTTTTTTTAGCTTTCCCAATTTAGTTGCATACTAAAATATTTCTAGCTGTCCTTCCAACACTCCCTCAAGTCTTCAGGGTGTGTGCTCAGTCCACCCCTTTTTTCCTGCCTCTTCAAACATGGTTCTCTCATCACAGCACTTTCATGATGTTGTTTCATTCGGGCCACCAGGCCTTGCATCTCTTTGTTGCCTGGCTCACATTTTACCCATAGGTAGAGGAACTTCATTAAAGTATTCCCAAAATGGGATAAAGGAATATTCCTGAACTTTGTTTTATAATTTATCTCATGGTTACTGTGAAATTGTGTGAATGCATCAATGCAGCACATATTATCTCAGCTTGCACAGCTTGGATTCATTGAATGAGTTTACCAAAAATGGAAATATTGCAGAATATACAGCCTCATGCTACAAAACTAAGTTCCATTCCATGCTGAATAAACTAAATTATTAATGTAACTTAAATAGAAAACTATCCTTAAATAGATTTTTACTCCAAAAGCATTCTATTAAAATAAATTTGATAAAAATAAAAAAAATCCAATTTAAATAAAATTGATTTTTTTTATTTTAAAAAATCATCATTATCCACCCTGCTAAGACATTGGACAGTAATAACAAACTATCATGAGGCAAAATAAAAAATGTAGTATTCTTTATTGAAAAGCATTCATTTCTGAAGATTTCCTTTCCAAGGTAAGCCATTAAAACATTTTTCCTCCAAACATTGCTTTTTGCAATTATTAGCATCCTTGTTTTAACTAAAAGGGTGAAAAATTAACAATTCAGCAATACTGCAAAATTCTGATTCTCATGCATGGTGATTAGGGATAGCAACTAAAGGGTCATGGGCTCTCCATGCACAGAAATTATTTGTTTTTAAATACCACATTTTTTTTATATGAAATGGATTACAAATTGAATAATAAAAACAGCTTCTACAAGTATTTTAAAGTAGGTACTCACATAATAAAAAGAGAAGTATTTACACAGAAATATCTACAATTGGGTCTAAGTGCACCTGGTGCACCAGGACTGAGTAACTGAGAGGGACACTGGCTACCAGCCTCACAAAAATCACATTTCCTCCTTTAATTTCTTACGATTCTTCTTGGTCTTCAATCTTGGGGGCCAAATAATATTTCAAATGTCCCATATCTGCTATCTTGTATTCCACAACTGCAGGAGACAGAAAAGGAAAAGTTAATGGCCAGTTTGAAACCATCAATCAAATCAATGAAATAGCCTTTGGCACCATTTCTCAGTGAGACCCGCAATATTCCACTTACCTAAGGGAACATCTGCAGACATACTGAGTATAACGGTAGGAGACAAAGGTGTAGCTTTGGTGAAGAAATTCAAATATCTCAAAGCAAAAGTCAGCTGGACAGGCTCATTCATCTCTATTGTTACCTGCAAAAAAATGAATGAAGATTAGAGGACTGGGAAAAGATACGAGAGCAATGGTAAGAGGCAGTTTAAGCTTCCGCGGGGCCTACTTACAGCTTCTTCCTCTTTATCAACATCACTGGTTTGTGACAGTTTGACATTTCCACTCCCAAGTTCTCCCGTGGCAGAAAATTTGACACCATCTTTTGTGCAGGAGATTACAACGGCATCTCCAATGTGACTGAGGTCACGGCAAATACGTGCAAATTCAGCAGAGGGCATTTTCACCACACAGCTGTATTCTTGTTCCTGAAAGATCATCATGTCAGCTTTAGGAATTGTTTTTAGGACTTGTTTAGGCTAAAGCCATCATAAATGTTTCATCATTTTTCACGGGCAGAAACTAAGTAGGGCAAATAGATACAAATCAAACGAACATTTTAAAAAGTTATTGCAAGAGAAGCAAATGTTTGTATTTTGCAACAGCTTTACAGGTAGTCCTCGACTGACAACAGTCCATTTAATGACCGTTCAGTTACAATGGCACTGAGAAGTAACTTACAATTTTTCACACAACGCTGCAGAAGCTCCATGGTCACGTGATCAAAATTCAGGCACTTGGCAACTATCCTGTATTTACGACAGTTGCAGTCACATGATCACTTTTTGCCACTTTCTGATGAGCAAAGTCATTGGGCAGGCCACATTCACTTAACGACTGATACTAACTTAACTGCAGTGATTCGTTTAACTATGGCAAGAAAGGTCATAAAACAAGGCAAAAATCACTTAACTGTCTTAGCAACAGAAATTTTGGGCTCAATTGTGGTTATAAATCGAGGGCTACCTATACTTTAATGTTGCATTTTCTAATGGCTTCAAGTATAGAATTACGAAATTAATTTTATGAGGGCTAAATATTAATTACATCCTTGCTTCCAAACTATTATACAGTTCTGCAACACAGAACACAGATGCCATTCAAACTGCATGTATAGGCAGTCCTTACTGAATGGTAACTTGTTCAGTATCCATACGAAGTCATGAAGGCGCTGACATATGTCCAGTCCTTTACATTATGGCAGCAATCCATCATACATCAAAATCTGGTTGCTTAGCAGCCTGCTCATATATTTAGGACCACAGGCTATACTTCAACTTCTCCCTCCATGTTTGCCATTTTGGCCACCCTGTTGCCTTGCAAAGGGCCACGGTTGGGCAAGCAACTGGGAGCCACAGGGAGACAGAATTGAAGAGAAGGCAACGGGGCAGGAGAAGCATGAGATCCTGGCTTAATGATTGTACTCTGGAGTACGTAAACTGCTATTGCTAAGTGGTGCAGTCACATGATGTTTCACCTAATTACTGAAATTCTGATCTTAATTAGGGTCATTAAGCAATAATCTGTATCAAAATGGCAAAACAGAGCATTAGCAAGCGTAGTAACATTTTAATTGTTGCAGCAGCTATAGATTCAGTCAAAAGACAGCAAACATTTAACAAATTCATTAATAGTACCCTTGAAATAAAAACTCACTCACTGGAATTCCAAGCTGTTCTACATCCAAATCCATTAATTTCATTTCATAGTCTGAAACCTTCTCCTGATCTATAAAAAAAAAACATATGATTGTTTACGAGAACAAAATAATTTCCTGACTGAATACTGTTTACTAGCCATAAACTGCAAAGCTATTTGAACACCTATTAAACAGAAAGACACTAACAAAACCACAGAGTCTCTGATCATTATCTGGGTGCTTGGCAATCTATTTGCACTTAGAACCAGTTGCCAAATGCCCTGTAATCTTGTGAAACTCAATGGAGCAGCTGGCAGGGAAGGCTGCTTGCTGCCGACTGCCACACTGCAGAGCAAAAGGATTGCTTGCCAGGGGGGGGGGCTACTGCCAAAGCCTGCAGAACTGAAGGTTGAACCTTTGGGATTTAAGCTGTTTGGGCAGCTCATTGCAGAGGCTCCCTTCTGCACGTGTAAGGGAAATCCTGCAGCAGCCTCTAGAAACAAAGTGTAAATCCCAAATATCCATGCCTATATTTGATCACCATAAACACTTTGCTCTAAAAGAACATCACACGCTAGTGAATTTGCTGCCTTTTGTACATATATACTTCCAAAGTGATTTGTTATGCAGCAATTAGATTTCATAGCTTGCAATACTCTTGCCATGTGTTTTCTTGCTCTGCCAATAGAATCTACCTAGATACACTTGGATGAGACAGGACTGTTCTGAAATCAGAATTTTATCTTACCCCCTCTAGTTTCACAATGAACACCTTCTCCCAAGAAAAGACAGTTTTAATAATTCAGTTAAACTTACTTGGCGTTTCAAATACCAAAACCAGTGTGTCAGCATTATCTTCAGCTCTCAGGGTGATTATGTCGTCATTACCAGCACACTTGAGCACTTTGGACATACTAGGAAAGAAAAAGAAAATGCACATCATTATTTTGATATAATGTACTATTTTGACAATACACAGCATGAGACAAATTGAACAAATCAGTGCAAGCTGATAGGCTCAGTACACACTTTTGTCCCAAGGGAAAGCAAAGAGAAACCGTGGGTCAACATTCATTTGTAAAAGCTTCCAGAGAATGAAGCCTGTCAACTTCCTGAGTCTATACTCACTTTCACATAAACTAAGCAGAAGCCTTTCTGTACCCAAAGTGGGAGTAGAAAACAGTTTCTTGCCTGCTTCGACCCACAAGCCACACATTTTCCAGCAAGCAATTGTTACTTATTTGGAAACACAACAGCCAATTATTATACGGCATTTTTCTGGATTTGAGTGCTCTGTGTTAAGGTTTACCAGATATGCAACAATATCCTGTTGTCCACCATCCAGCAAGATATTACTTTAAAAATCGAACAACAGCCTAGATTTGCACAATTTTATTTCCCGATTCCAGTAATTGGTTTTGATCAAGCCTATCTAAGCTTACTGTGGTCAGATCACATATTTTCTAAGGGGACATTTAGAAAGCACATTGTCATTTCTGCATTATCATTAGGATACATTCTTGCAAATAAATCAGCTTTTCTGATGCTAGCAAAATATGATATAGAGGGAGTGTAGGTTCATTTTTTGGCATTTTCACTCTAATTTTTGTTGTAGATGCTGACAGGATTAACTTGTTAAGAGTTCCCAGTTGATATCTAGAAACATTTTGTGTGCAGGGATTGCAATAACTTGCAACAGATTTTCCTTTTCTGGAACATCAGGGAAGCCCTGACCTAAGATTTGTTAACAGGGTACGAGCTCCAAATGCAAAATGAGAAGAGGCCGGGCAACCCTGGGAAGAGGCACCACATGCCGTCTTGAGCTTGGATTCCCAAAGGGCTGTCGGGCAACTCGGCTGGGCAAGATGAGCATCCGCCCCAGTGGCCAGAGGGACGCCCGCCCTTGCCTTCCCCCTTTCCTTTTGCAAATGCAAAAGCCGCCATGCTGCCTCGCAGAACACCTGAACAATCCCGCGCCTAAAAGACAAGCCACGCCCCGAAAGAGAGGGCGACCAATCGGGCGGGAGCGCGGCGAAGGAGCGGGCCTGGCGCAGCCAATCCTTCTCCAGAACTAGCATTAGGGCGCGCGAAGCCCGCTTGACACTCCACGACCCCGCCTCCGACGCTTCCCGCCATGGCGCGCGGCGTTTACCTCACAGAGGCGCGACCGGCGGTTTCCCGGGCAATGGTGGTTCCCGCCTTTGCGTATGAGGCGAATGCTTTGTCTCCCCTCCCCCACTGCGCCCTCGCTCGGCCGCTACCTGACGAGGTTGACGCCCATGGCGATGTTGCGGTCGCAGCGGTACGTGTCGAAGCCCTCGGAGCGCATGGTGAGCTGCACCAGCGAGACGTGCGAGGAGTCCATGCTCTGCAGACTGATGCCGCCCGAGCCCAGGTCCCAGCAGGCCTCCGTGATGAGGTCCTTGAGAGCCTCCAGCACCTTCTTCAGCAACGAGCCCTGAATCAGCCGCGCCTCGAACATCCTGACGGCGAGAGCAGGAAACTTTTCGCGCGATCCGCCTCCCGCACCTCTTTATAGGACTGGGAGATGAATATTTAGCGCGCGTGCGCGCGGAGGTCAGCTTTGGCTCCGCCCGGAAGAGACTGTCCGCAACTTAGAGCCAATCAAAATGGGGCTCTCGGCGTTCCTGCTGACCAATCAGAATGCAAGGAAAGAACGTGCTTTCTTTCCCCCCCCCTCCAGTTTCTGGAAGGGCTTTGCCCGGGTTTGCTCGTGTGGGCTGCGGATGCTTCTTCCTTTTGCGACCGGGCGCCCTCCAGATGTGACAGGAAAGACGTTGACATTTCTTCTGCGCTGGATGGCCTTCAGCTGGGGATTATGGGAATTGAAATCCAGCTTGGAAAAAACTCCAAAATGCTCTTCGCGGAGATGTCGCGATGCCGACTTGTGTTCTTGTTCATTTTGCTATCGCTGTTTAAAAAAAAGACAAATTTCCCCACTGATTTTCTCCCTGAAACCTTCCCACAAGGAAACTCAACGGTGCAGCCAGCAGAAAGTCAAAAGTTGCTCCTGTTCTTACTGTTTTATGACCCCCCCCCCAGTCATTTTTTTTGGGTTAAGGAAATATCTGAAATAATAACCCAATGGGGCACAGGTTGTCTACTTAGAAATTAGAAGCTTTATGTGATAAAAGTCTCTTCTGCACATTCTCACAAAAGTATTAAATGGATTCTGAATCTTTCCATAGAAATTGCAGTGCAGCAGAATATGAACAAAAAGTACAGCACACGGGCAAATTGTTTGAATAAGAGGACTTTGAAGTGATACCCAGTGTAAGGATTGGTGGTAATATAAAAAAGTTTAAATGTAGAAAATGGGGTTAGAAAGGTTCCTGGAGGCCTTTTAGTGCTTGAGTAGGAAAACTTACACCATTCCAGACAAATGGCTGGATGCTCAATTAGCAGCCAGCAGCATTTTCTCCAATTGTTCATTTTACTTTACTCAAAAAAGATTTACTCAAGAAATCATTTATTGCCCAAATGAAAGCTTTTTTCCTGCTTCTGTGAAAGTGAAGATTGGCCACCAGGGAAAGTGAGTGGTCAGGAGAAGGCTCAAATATTTCTTTCCCCCCAAGCTCAGCTCTTGAGAGCCATCACTGATGCGCTCCTTGCCTTCTGCAGTGACATCACGTTTCATCATCAGCTTCTACTCTGGAAATTCTCTTGGCATCTCAGAATGTCCAGGGTTACCATAGGGACAGGAGTAAACACTTTTAAATGATTCCAGCCTTACTGACCATTTTTTACTGGACGCTGAGTGGTTAGCAGGCAGCATCCGTATGTACCATCATTTGAGATATAATATTTTCCCCCATCATGGCAGGTAGGAATTGGGGCTTCTCACCCATTGAAGGAATCCCTTGTTTCTCTAGAAGTCTCAGTCTTAGTTGCACTAAGAGGCAGAGCTGTGGAAAGGAGAATGTTTGGGGATGGGCAGTAAAAGAAAAGCCAAGGAAATCCATGTTGGAAAGGAAGCCAGAAGGAAAACAATGGGGTGAGCCATCTCTAGATCATAATTTTGGGGAAATCTTCACTCCTTTTTATTGGATGTACTCATGTCTTTGGTACTTTATTCAATGGAGTTTTATATCTGCTAACAAGATGTGATTTTCAAAGTATTTTTCTGTATAGAAATAGATGTTTAATTCTATTTCTTCATCACATCTAAAGTTCAGCAGGGGCAGTGATGGAAGAAAGGGGTGAAAGGAAATATTGAATGGCAAATCAGGAAAAAAAATATCCCGCTGAATTGCCCTTATTTCTCTGTGGCCGAAGAAGAGAATTCAGGGTCCTTTTAAAGTTTTAGGGGGTATGCAAACTCATTAGGGTCCCTACTTTTGAATGGCAAAATATTTTTATTTGGAAGAAGCCTCCGATCAGCAGGGCGTAGGCAAGGGTAAATCTCTCAAAGCTCTTATGGAGTAACTGCTTATCCAGTGACTAAACTACATGATACCCTCAGCCCCTCTGTCTACTTCCAAGGAAGTTGTAAAGAGAAGGAAAATGCTCCTTCCCTTTCCTTCTGGGGCAGTTGTGCTGGGGAGAAGGACTTTGTGCCTGGGGGAGTCATACAGGTTTAGACTCTCCCTGGACATTTTGTGATGAGGACCTAGGTCCAAAACAGTACTAGCCTATTTAAATCCCTTCATCCAGAGATGTGCAACCTGAGTTCTCACAAAATGCTAAAGCTTTAACACAAAAGAGGGGTAAAGTGCTTTAAACAAATAACTAGATAAGTAAGATGAAGGACTAGAAGCCTGCCTTCTTTCTTTGTGTGTTACAGATGTTCTAAATCAATTGTGCCTCCTGCTGGCTGAGTGGCAGCCATTTTCCTGGGAAGACACTGAAGTTAAGAATAACACTGGATAAAAAATATTAGGGCTGATCCAGAGATGACTAACTAATGGACTTTCTATCTATTCTTTCTTTTTCTTTTCTTTTTCTTTCTTTCCTTCTTTCCTTACTTCCTTCCTTTCTTTCTTGTCTTACAGAGGATATTGAAGAACTGTCCACTCAGCTGGCAGGATGGCATCCCTTTAACCATGGACAAAGTCCATCTTCCCTTTTAGAAGGTGAGTGTTTTCCAGCAATAACAACATAATAGCATAATAATTATGAATGACTAATGGCCTTGTTTCTTTTGTCTTTCAGATCAAATGAATGAACCGTGCCACTGGATAGCTGAATGGTGGCCATTCCATCTTGGATGGTGCCAAATACCGGCTGTCCAAGGTTTTCCAGCCATTTTGTTTCATTATTGCCTTTAATATGCCCTTTTTGCAGCTGTATCAGCTCCATATCTAGGTAGCTGGGGAAGGACGGGGTCAGGAAATAAACATGCTGGGGCTGATCCAGAGATAAATGAATAATGATCTTGCTTTTTCGTATGTATGTTTTACAGATGACATCCATAGCTTATGCCATCGGCTGGTCCGGTGGCACCCGTTCACAAGTTGACAAATTGACTTTGTCATTCTTCTGAAGTGGAAAGAAATGAACCGCAGGATGATTGTTGCAATAACTGGGATAAAGAGCACCTTATTTATTATGCAATTAAAATATCTGATTGTAAAAGCAGTCTCTTTCCCATCTCTTTTGCATAGCTACACAGAAAGCTCAAAGACAAATATATTAAAAAGTCCTGCTCATTATTTTAAAATGGGCCAGAAAACTAACGTAGCACCATTCAGGAATACTCGTCTAGTACGGTTTGTCAGCCAGTTACAAATCCATCTGGTGGCGATGCTGTCAATCTCACCTTTTTCTAGTTTACTAAGAAGTAGGTTGCGGTCTACTTTGTGAACGCCTCGCTGAAGTATACTAAGTATACTAAGTCCACAGCATAACAGTTCCAGCTAAAGATCCAGATTAAAATAGTGCCAGATACCGGGCGAAGGCTGCATTTCATTGTTTCCCAAGACTGGCACGCAGCCGCTTCCTCAGAACTGAAAACGAGCCAGGGGGGAACGTGGGAAAGAACACCTAACAGCCCCAGGCGCGGCAGCCACGATCTCCGAAGGCCAGAGCCGAGCCTCACCCCGGCAGACGATGCCGCTTTCGGCCAGCAAAGGGAGCGGAGCTTAGCTTGCATTGCAGGAGGAGTAAAGACTTAAAAAAAGAAGAGTCGCGTAGCATTCTCGGAGCATTTGGCGATGTTGCCGGGAGACCTTCGGAGGAAAAAACCACGAAGCCGGCATTGCAAGTCGCGGAGGCTGCAGGCGCAGTTAAAGGCGAGCGGGGGGGGAGCGCGGAGCGATTTTGACCCGGCTAGCAAGCGCGGGAGGTTGTGCGCGCGGGGCCCCGCCAGATGCGCCCCGGGAGAGTCGTCTGGAGAGGCAGCCTTCGCGACCAGGGGGAAGGCATTTGGCACAGCGGGAAATTGGCAGGTTGGAGGAAGCGCCGCTTCTGCTGGCTTCCCTGCTTCCGCTACATTCCCACAACGCCCGGCCCAGGGCAGCGCCAGCCCCCTCGCCTGGGCTAAGCGGACCCACCCGGAGCAGCAGCCCTCCCGCCCGCCTCCCCGCCCGAATCAGCCGCTTCCTGCGCTGCGAAGGCTGCGGACGGCGAGCCCCGCCCCCTGGGCCGATCCGCGCCGCGATTGGCCACTCCCCTGAGCCACGCCCCGAGTCCCGGGCTCGGCTGTCGGGTCGGCTGCTGCTGCTGCTGCTGCTGCTGCTGCTGCTGCTGCCGCGTCGGGCCGAGGCTAAGCGAAGCAAAGCGAAGCGAAGCGCGGGCGGAGCGACGGGCCAGGATGAGCGAGCTCAGGCAGCGGCTGGCCAGGGAGGCGGAGGGGCAGCGCGATGCCGAGGGCAAGGTAGGCGAGTCGGCCAGGACAACGTCTGGACGCGGCGACGCGTGTTCCGCGCGACGCCGGAAGGGCGGGAGGGGTTCCCGGGGCGGCGGGGGAGCGGGCCTCCCTCCCTCCCTTTCCGGGCTTGCAGGGCGCGGGGTTCGGCTCCGGCAGCTCGGACGAGGCGAGGCGGCTGCGAGGAGTCCCCGAGCCGGAAGAGCGGCGGTGGCCGGGAGAGCTGCGCGGCTCCGGCCCTTAAAGCCACAATGCTCCGGGGCTCTTTCTCGGCAGCCCTTGCCCGGGGAGCGGGGTTCCCAGGCCGCCCAGCCGCTGCGTGGGCTGCTCTTGGGGAATCGAAGCGGGGCGTCGCGTACGGGAGAACCGGCTGATCGGGAGGGGCGAGCGCGCTGCTAAGGCGGGTGCACTTCAATCCATCCATCCATCAATCAGAATAGAGCTGGAAGGGACCTTAGAGGTCTTCTAGTCCAGCCCCCTGCTCCAGCTGGAGACCCAATCCACGTCAGACAAAGACCCTGCACCCTATCAGACAGCTGCGCCTGGCGCAGAGAGGAGCTGGCCCGCTTTCCTTTCCGTGGCGAATTACACTCGTGCCATCCATCTTAACGGTGCTCTGTCCGGACATTGGCTTGGTCTGGCAGGACGAGGCCAGGTTTAAGTTTTCGCGCGGCTTTTGTGGCTTGCAGCATCTGCCTCCCATCTGGCCTGGTTTGAGCGCGAGCTAACTTTAAACTGTGGGTGGCAACTTCCAGAGTTCCCGAGCCAGCAGACTTTCGGTGGCGAGGACTTCGTCTCTCAGAATGGAACACAGAACAGAAATTGCTAGGGCTGGAAGGGACCTTGGAGGTCTTCTAGTCCAATCCCCTGCTCAAGGCAGGGGGCCTTATGCTGCAGGTGGAGATCGACCTCCAAGGAGAAGAAGCAGCGTCTTCTCAACCGGTATTTGTAAGGCATCCTTATTGGTGTCCTGATTTTGGAAAAAAACAACAGAAGGTGGATACTGAGTGATGTGAAGCAAAGTTTCAGTTCTTTTAGTCCAGGGGTAGGCAACCTTGGCTCTTTTATGACTCGTGGACTTCAACTCCCAAAATTTCTGAGCCTGCTATGCTGAGAGGTTTCCAAGCTGAACCCAGGTGGCTCAGGAATTCTGGGAGTTGAAGTCCATGAGTCATAAAAGAACCAAGGTGGCCTAGCCCTGTTTTAGTACATCTCCGCATTTGGGCCACATTACCTTCATGCTGGAGATGCTGGCCTGGTTCCTTTCCAAGCTCAGTTCAAGAGAGTTCATGGAGTGTTCAGATCCTCCGTGCAGTGAAGTCCCCATCAGGATCCTTCCTCCTGTGGATTCCACCTTTTCCTCACTGATCCTCTGTAAGCCAGCTTGGTTGGTCTTGTCCCAGATGCGTTAATGCTGGTTGTCCATTTCCCCCTCTTCATGGCAGGGCTTGGTGGAATGGATGGTCAAGCTGTTAGAGGTTTGTTGACTGTTCAGGCTTTACTGATCATTTCTATAACCCTTCAGGATGAACATTGTAGGAATTAGTCAACTATAGAAGGAACAGGATTAAGAGAATCAAGCTAGACTATAACAAAATAGAATGACAGAGTTGGAAGGGACCTTGGAGACCTTCTAGTCCAACCCTCTTCTCAGGCAGGAGAACCTATAGGGCTTCCTGCCTGAGCAGGGGGTTGGACTAGAAGATCTCCAAGGTCCCTTCCAACTCTGTCATTCTTTTGTATGAGTAGATAATTTCTAACATTTGGTTCGGAGAAGTACCATCTTTTTTTATTGGTGTCCAAATCTAGGGGGCAGTGCTAGTTTCCTAGCAGAGAGAGCCAGTGTTGTCTGGAGACATTTCCATGGTCATGCGGCCGCATGACTATACCCTGAAGCATGTGGAACAGTTTACCTTCTCACCTAGGTATCATGTAGAAAGGAACATTTAGTCATAGTAGATATCTGTATGTTTTCTGATTGAAGGACTGACTGTTTCCCCCAAAATGCAGCTATGTGGTATTGCAGAATAAATGTGTAGTCTATTCTTATTTCGTTCTCTGACTCTCTTAAGCAGACTGATAATTTCAGATTCACAGCCTCAAGAACAGGCTCCCAAATAAGAGTGAAAATATCTGAACTTAAAATGAAATATGGTTCTTTTGTAGGTCAAGCAACACACGAATGTTTTTCCCTATTTCTGTAACACATCCTTTAGGTAGATACCACATGATACCTAGGTGAGGTCTCACCAATGTTCTCTTTGCTTACTGTTGAGAAGAATTAAGTGCTGTGTGCTTTATTTATATACTACAATATTGAGAATTTAAGGTTATGATGTAAGTATAATGTTTACACTAGTGGGGCTGATTTTAAAACAGTTTAATCTTTTTGCAAGAATTCCCTCATCTTCTGCATTGATGTTAGGCATGAGTGACCTTATTTATGGCCAGAAAATTCACGGTTGCTTATTATCACAGAGCAACTATTAGTTGCTGTTTTTAAAAACCTGTACCTTTATCTAGAAATATGCAGTTTCCAGACTTTAAAAAAAAGAGTCTTGAAATGGCAGTCACATGACATAAATATTGTATGAATCTGAATAAAAGGCAATAGTTTTCAGGTGTTGCTCGCATTCCTTATAATTGCAAATTGTGTTAGTATGGTGCACTGTTCGTGTTGTAAGAACATAGGCATAGGATGCAGTTGTGCTTACTGTGTGGCTATCAAACCTCATTGGCTTTTTGGACATTACTGCAATGGATTTTATGTGGAGCTGATCAAAATACAGAATAGCAGTTGGTAGGAGCCTTGTAGGTCTTCTAGTCCAGGGGTAGGCAACCTTGGCTCTTTTATGACTCATGGACTTCAATTCCCAGAATTCCTGAGTCTGCTCCATTTCACTCCCCTGCTCAATCTGAGGTTCAAACAAGGACGACTAATAATCTTTCTGTCCTGTATTGTGTTATGTATTGATTTAATAAGAAACAACTCAGGGCATCTAGATTATGTGCAATATCTGGATGCAATCAATATATTTAACAAGATCAGCAACTCAGGGCATCTAGATTACTTGCAACCAACAGTCTGTGTCAGCCTGGCTGTCTATCTTTGTCTATTTATCTTATGTCTGCCTGCCTACCTACCTTCCTATCTACCTACCTATCTAGAGCAGGGGATCTGGATTATATGCAACATTAGACACCAGCCACATTCTTGGTGTCTGTGCTTTGCTCATGGGAAGTCTCCGTTCACCATGTGGTCTGTGATCTGCAGTGTCCCAGAAGGACTCTTGTTTCTTTTGATTCTGCTTCCTGTAAGTGCCAGAAAGGGCAGCTTATTGTTCTTTTGATTCCAGATGGAAAATGCTTGGCTTAGAAACAAGGAAGCCAAGAAGAGGAAATATGTGCAGTTCAGAAAGAAGGTTGGGGATGGAATAAAATTGAGTGGCTACAGATTGGCCACTAAATACTACCGGTAGGTTGAAATAGCTGAAAAGGAAAAATTGGATTTTAAGGCAGGAAAGAGCTCAAGTGGGTGCCACAGAAGGTATCATTTCCCCCCCCCCCAAATTTCTTCAGATTTTTTTCCTTACAGATAGTCTTGTCCCCACATGACCACATCTCTTAGAGCCCTTGAACCAAGACATCCTTGCTTATGATTCCTCTCTGGGAAGACCTATAACTGTAAAAGCTTAGTGTTGACGCTTTAAGTAAGATCAGGCAAGTTCCAACATTTGGAAACAGGCCAGAATTCAGTTCTGGCTTGGAGCAGAATTTTCCCCTGAAACGACTTCCCAAATTTGATGCTGATGGGAAAAGGTGTAGGAAATGCTTTATTCCGATATTTCTGTTTTTTGAGTTCTGCAAGAAGAGGCTTCTTACTAATCTCAAGAAAATGTTGTACATTATGTAAGCCACAATGCTTCCTGTTCAGTGGACCTTGAGAATTCTCTGCCTCCAGAGGTTTGCAATCCTGAAATAGACCAAGAAAAGAAAACCACTGTTAGCAAGGAATAAAAGATGAGCAACATCCTGAGGTTTTATTCTGGTGTGATTTTTTTTTACAAGGATAGATTTTGCCTGTATTTATTTGCAGGACTGTTAGAAAAAATATTTTTCTCATTAAAAATAGGGATGATCATTTTCCTTTGATTTTTCTCCTTTTACAATGCAAAACATAACTCCATTTTAGACTTTTGTTGTTGACTTCTGCAATTAGGATCTTGACGTCTACAGAATGCATTCTAGGGAATGTGTTTCCTTTTATGGGATTCTTTTGCTCAGAGTTGGATTGAAGCAGGATTGATGGCAAGCGACTTTGAGCTGCTTCTGCTGCCCAGGCTGAGTTGCTGGAAATCCCTCACTGATCTTACCTTGCAGGAGTCAGAGCTGGATAACAAGCTGGATGGAGAAACTGCATCGGATAGCGAGAATAAGTCGGAGGCCGCCTTGGCCCCTTCGGTCGATGACACCCCTAAGGTCCTCAACAAAGCACTGTCCCACCTGTCCTCAAGGTACCAGGATGTCAAAATGCTCTTGAGTGTTTGGGTTTTTTTCTCTTGTGGGCAGCTATGAATTGGCTTTACCTGGTGGACCATCCTGCCAACAGCATCCACTTCTTTTTCTTGTCATGTCACATTGTGTTTCAAAAATTGCCCCAGCTGAGTTCTGACTCAGGAATACACTTTGCCATATGCTAAGATCAGGATGAGGGATCTTTCCCCCAATGGCCTCATCCAGACACTGACAGAAAACTGGTCTCCTTATTACCAGCCCAGTGTAGAAGACATAATATGCTTTGTTTGGTTCATAGCTTAACATGTGCTGTAAATGTAACCAGTTGTGGTTTATTTGGTAACCGTCATGAAGCAAAGCATGTTTTACAGAGTTTGTGAAGCCAGGTGGGGTCTGCATTGGGGGAAAAACAGGCAACTGGTGGCTTTAGATTATTTGAACCTTACTCCCTATCTGGGATTGTCTGGTTGTTGCACCAATACATAAAGGTTTGTTCCTCAGCAATGTGTGCACCACATTCTAAGGCAGGATTCCCAGCCTGTCTCTGCTCCAGATGTGGGGACGTTGGGATTCACAGGAATGGCAGGTGGAGGAGCGCCAGGTTGGGAAGGAAAAGCCAAGCAAATACTGCTTGGGTATAATCCAGCCATGTTCCATCTAACTTTGGAAAGGGCAGTCAGAATGCCCAGGTAATCACCTGTAGATCTTCTTCTGCCTTCTCTGATTGGAAGCCTGGATTGCATGTCCTTCATTTATGAGGATATCTGTGACCTTGTAAATATTTATGAAGACAGAAAGATAATTTTAAACATCAGTTTGTATTTCAAATGTGCTTGCTGTGTACCTGCTGGGCTCAGGAGCTCAGATTCTTTAATCCTTCCACTCTTCAGCAGCATTTAGTTCATGAGCGTCAGTGGGTGGACCCTCAGGGGACCCTCATGTTCTGCAGGAAATGCTAGAATTAGTTGCCACCTCTGCTAAAAGCATAACAAGAACGTAAGAAGCTGATTTCTGCCTTCAGTGGAGAACATTCAAAATAGGTGCCTTCCATTATGGAGTTTCTTACCCTCTCTGCAGGATCTCAGGTTGGTTCATGGACCAGGTTTCAAAACACTGGGTTGTTGGGTTTTTATAAATGAGGTCTCTGGAACTTCCAAGCCAAGGAGAATTTGTTCTGTGTCTTCCATCCTTTTCCCAGAGAGACTAATATAACCAAGAGTGTTGTGGTAACCCTCATTCGAATCCTAATTAAACTTCCCCAACCTGGCCTGGGCTCTTCTGGCTGGCAGGCCTGGAGCTGTAATTGTAATACATCTGGAAAACAGCTGTAAAATTCTATATCAATATTAAATCTAATTTCTAAAATGGCAATAAACATAGGGCTGCTTGAACTGTATAATTAAAATTAAGTGTGGCATCGATAGACAGGTAATACATTGAATTATAATATAAAAAAATCTTCTGGCTTTGAGGTTAATGCTTAATATTAAGTATTCCACTGTATTGCTTATTGTTTGTAAGTGTTAAAAGAAAAAACAGAAAAGGAGGGACAGATTGTACTCTAGTTGTACTGTTGAAATCAGAGCTCTGCAGAGTTCAAGCTTGGCTCCTCCTCTGTTGCAGATGGAAGAACTGGTGGGTGAGAGGCATCCTGACTCTGGCCATGATTGTCTTCTTCTTCATCATCATCTACTTGGGACCCATGGTGTTGATGATGATTGTAAGCTCTTGTTGTGTCTGAAAAGAAAACCTTGTGTCTCTGGGAGCTGGAGGGCTTTGGAGAAGTTCCATCCTCCAGATGGATGGGTGGCTTGAATCTCAGGTTAGAAGGCAATCCAAATCCATGTCCGAGAGAGAGCAAAGTGGGAGGGACCATTTGTAACTTTCCAGAATCCAAATTCTAATCACCCTTTTGCTGTTCATTCCAAACAGGTTTTTAAAGTGCTTCAGCTTGTATTTAAAATTTCTTTTGTAAGGAGAACATTTACCCAATGCTCTCAGACTTGTCAATCCAAAGGTTTCTAAAAGCAATTAACAAGCAATTTCCGAGGCGCAGCTGTCTGGAGCACTGGAGGGCAATTTCAAACCCTCTCCTTGTCCAGAGAGACATTGCAAAGAGCTGGTCTGCTCGCTAGCTCTTCATTCAACCAGTCATCTTCAGTTCGCCATTTCCTCCCCAGAAATCTGGATGGGTTTTTATTTGTTTGTTTGTTTGTTTGTTTGTATCCTGCCTTTATTACTTTTACAAATAATTCAAGGCGAACATACCTTACACTTTCCTCCTATTTTCCCCATGAGGTGGATTGGGTTGAGAGAGACTGATTGGCCCAAAGTCACCCAGCTTACTTTCATGCCTAAGATGGGACTAGAACTCCCATGATTATACTAATATTATCATCAGGCTAAAAGGTTTGGCCCTAAAAGACCCCCACCCACCTATCTGAAGAAATTATTACTGCCATGAAAATGCTCTTCGGCCTGAGACAGTGTAAAATGGAAGACCGTGTCTTGCAGGTGATGTGTGTCCAAATCAAATGCTTCCATGAGATCATCACCATTGGTTACAACGTGTACCATTCCTATGAGCTGCCCTGGTTCAGGACTCTGAGTTGGTAAGTGGGGACAACGTTGTTTGTCTGTATGGTCTGGAGAAATTCAAGGGGAGTTTTGTGTCCATTTATCTTAAGGAAGTCTCTGTGAAAAGCCTTTCCACCCTTGGTCATCCTCCTCTCCCTTCCTTGAACTGGAGCAGGGTGGAGACACAGGTTACGTGCCATCCCTTGGGTGGAGACACTGGTAAGGCTCAATAACTGTCTGGCTATATCCTTTTTAGGTACTTCCTGCTCTGTGTGAACTACTTCTTCTATGGCGAGACAGTGACAGATTATTTTTTCACTCTGGTCCAGAGGGAGGAGCCCTTACGCATTCTTAGCAAATATCACCGCTTCATTTCCTTTACCCTCTATTTGACAGGTGAGCAGAGCCATTGGGATCTCTTGCTTGGGTTTATGTAGGAGTGTCAACGCTACTAACGTCGAATGTTCTTGCTTTGACAACATATGGAGATGCAGCCATTTCCCTCTATGTTTTACTCTTAGAGTTAGAATTAGATGATACTGGGAGGGAGGAGGAGGAATGTGCTTGGGAGTTTAGTTAGACATAACAATACTGTATAAGGGTGCGAACCAAGGTTTTTTTTAATAAGAGATGATAAGACATGGCAGGATGAAGAACTGGAGGGAAAGCCAGCATTTCAAACTAATCGAGAATGTGATTTATGACTGTTAGTTAGAGGAGGGAATTGTGCTTGGATGCTATGTGCTTAGGGGAGGGGAAGTCAGATTTTGGCTTGGACTATGTACCTGCCGATGTGCTGCTACTCGAATAAAGATTCTTTAAGGTAAACAATGCCTCGAAGTTCTTTGAAGAGCCCACAGGGAGGCTGTGGTTTCTGAGATTGAATTGTGACTCAGAGGCAAATGGTGGTGTTGCTCCCCACATAAGGTGTGTATCTGTGTCTTCTCTCCAACTTCACTGGGATCAGAAGTGCTGATTGGGCCTTGTCAATTCCCTTGTGGGTGAGTGGAGAGCAGGCGGAGAGCTCCCCCTAAATTCCATTTTCTTTCTTCTGCAGGTTTTTGCATGTTCGTGTTGAGCCTGGTCAAAAAGCATTATCGTCTTCAGTTCTACATGGTAAGATTATGTAAATAGATTCTGTGCTTTCAGAGTTAATAGCCCACCTGGGAATGGGGGGAACTGAGAGGAAGAGAGAGGTGGAAATGGACACAAAATTGGCACCCGGACACAACAACAAACCTTATGTAGAGCTTTGCAAGAGGGATAAGCACCTTGTTCTCAGGCTCTGTACATTTTGCTTAATGGCTTTTAGAAAGAAAGAATGGAGAAGCGTGGAGAACTGGAACCTGCTGTTCCAAAGATCGGACAAGGAAGGGAAGATTATCTTAAGAGCAGCGCTGGCCTCTGTATTCAGAGATGAGGAGCACGATCACCTGTCTTCTCCTCATTTGCCTTGCTAAAAGCTGTCCTTACAATTTGTCCAAAAAGGAAACATCATTCTCTGTAGAGGGGTTGCCCCCCCCCCAAATATCAGATCCTTAGTTGGGGCAAGTTTAAAAGATGCTTAATGAAGAAAGTCCGTCATCCAGAGGATGAACTGGGGAGCCTCTCACATGAATTGTAATTAATGACCCAGCAGCACACCGGCAGGAAAAGTCTTTCAGTCTCCTTGAAGACTCCATTTCTTTGGCCGTTGTCTTATAAACTAAGGGCATGAAAATGAGACCAGAATTTCTGTTGCTAACCAGGACAGTTGTTAAGTGAGTCACGCCTTATTTTATAAGCTTTTGTGTCACTCCAGTTAAGTGACTCCTCCTCCTTCCATTGATTTTGTTGGAAGCCAGCTGGGATGATGGCACATGGCAGTCAGATGATCCTGGGATACTGCAACCATTATCTAATGCCAGTTGCCAAGCACCCAAATTTTGATCATGTGATCATGGGGATGCTATTACAGTCATAAGTAGGAGGACCAGTTGTAAGTCACTCTTTTTAGTGCTGTTGTAACTTTGAACGGTCACTAAAAGAACAGTTGTAAGTTGAAGACTACTGTATCTTTCTGGTTTTGCTCACAAATACTACAAAGCATGGAAAAAAGACACTCCAGTGGGAGTTTGACTGTACCCACCATCTCTCTCTCCCCCTCTTGTCCCCCTTTCTTTTTCATATGTTTGTGCAGATATATACGTATAGATAGATAGATAGATAGATAGATAGATAGATAGATAGATAGATAGATAGATAGATAGATAGATAGGCAGGCGTGTGTGTTCTTAGCATTTTGGCTTGTCTCTGAGAAATGTTTTCTTCTCCAAACTGGACTGCATGTTCTCTCTTTCTAGTTTGGCTGGACCCATGTGACTTTGCTAATAATCGTTACCCAGTCGCACCTCATCATTCACAACCTATTTGAAGGAATGATCTGGTGAGTCAGTGCAGCGGGCGGGGTACGATATCCCCTTTGCTGGGGAGGATAGGCTTGGCGGCAGCATCCCGTAGAGAGACCTTGTGCATGTAGCTGCTGCGTGATGGGTCCTAAGGAGAGGAAGGCTTCATGGTCTCTGGCTCAAGGGGGGGGGAGGTTTAATGGGCCGGGGTCTCTAGGGTGCTTCCAGTCTCCACAGAGCAAAAGACCCCGTTCAGTCCCAAAGCTTCTCTAGGCGGCTGTGCCTGGCTGCGTGTGCTCTTACTAACAATCGGGGAATTGCCCCTTTGGGGTTTTGAGCGGTAGCTGTTGTGCATTAAGCCACAAGCACATTTGCCTTGAAGTGTTTTCCAAAAGCTTTTCCTTCGCTTGAGCAGGGTGTGAAAGGTGCACATCAGATCTCGGTATGCAAAGTGCTTTTGAATATTGTTCCCCCCCCCCCCGTTTGGCAGCCCAGCTCTGACCATCAGGGAGGAGGGGAGTCAAAGCTGATGGGCATTTCTTGGTTCAGTTCTGGGTGAAGGAATGGCCATTTGGGTCTCTGGGAGGTCTTTTATTTTTTTTAAAATTTTTCAAAAGTTTTACAAATAAAAATCCACCCCCCCCCTCCCCAACCACCCCACCCCCCCCCGACTTCCCAGAACTGGATATAGGATTATTTAACAAATTTTTTAAAAATAACATTTACAATTTATAAAATAGTTAATAATAATGATTAAAAATCACAATAATAATATATATAATAATAATATGCATAACATAAACTTTAAAATAAGTAATATATACTAAGAAGAAAAAAAAAAAAAAAATAAAAAAATGAAAAAAAGAAAAGAGAGAGAGAAAGAAAAAGGAAGAAAATAGACGAAAAATATATATGAATAATAATACATAAAAATTATATATATATAAAAAGGAAAAAGAAGAAAGAAAGAAAGAAATAGCATTCATTACAAATTATGAGAAAGCTAAATAATATTTTTCCATATCCAAATTATATTGTATGAAATTTATCCATTTTTCCCATACCGCAAAAAATTTTTCTTGAGATTGCTCCTTTAAGAAAGCCGAAATCTTTGCCATTTCTGCCAAATACGAAACTTTGTAAAACCATTCTTGTAAAGTAGGCAAAGATTCCTTCTTCCAATATTGTCCTATTAATAGCCTAGCGGCTGTAATCAAATTTAACATCAATGTAACCTCTTTAGCATCACAGTCAATAACAATACCTAATAAAAATAATTGCGGCGTAAATTTTACCCTCCTTTTAAAAATTCTTTGAATATTCCACCATATCTTAATCCAAAAAGCTTTTATATGCTTACAGGTCCACCAAATATGATAATAGGTAGCATCCAAATATCCACATCTCCAACATTTCGGCTGTAGATTAGGGTACATAATGGACATTTTCTTTGGGTCAAGGTGCCATCTATAAAACATCTTATAAAAATTCTCTCTTAAATTTTGCGCTTGTGTGAATTTAACATTTCTTATCCAAATAAGTTCCCAAGTATCCATTGAAATCGTTTCACCAATATTCTGTGCCCATTTAATCATACAATCTTTAACTAATTCAGGTTCTGAATCTAATTCCACTAAAACCCCATAAACTCTCTTAATATGGGTTGGCCTTTGGTCTCTTACTTCTTTTAAAAAAATTCCATCTTCTCTAAGCCAGCCCATTTTACCATCCATCTTCCATCTATCCACTATTTGTCTATATTGGAACCATGAATAAGTTAAATTTTCATGTGTTAATTCTTCCAAAGATTTTAACTGACAGTCTTGGCCATCCCATCTTAGTAACTGTGCATAAGAGACCTTATCCATATTTACCCCTTTCCTTATACCTTCTATGGCATGCCGAGGTATAGCCCATAATGGTATTTTGAAGTCACTTTTATAATACTTTCTCCACACTCTTAACAAAGAGATTCTTATAATATGAGACTTAAAAACCCAATCCACTTTTTTATTAAATATTAAATAGGCATGCCATCCAAAAAGTAGGTCCCAGCCTTCCAAATGAAGTATTTCTATATTTGTTAAATTCACCCAGTCGCTAATCAAAGTCAGTACTACAGCATCATAATACAATTTCATATTTGGCACCTTGAGTCCACCTCTCTCACGAAAATCTTGCATTATTTTAAGTTTCACCCTTGGTTTCTTCCCTGCCCAAACAAATTTATTAATACCTTTTTGCCATTCATCTAAGTTACGTTCGTTCTTTAAAACAGGTAGCATTTGAAATAGAAAAATAAACTTTGGCAGGACATTCATTTTAATAACTGCAATTCTACCCAAAAGGGATAACTGTAAATTATTCCAATTTTTTAAATCCTTCTGTACCTCCATCCACAGCTTTTCATAGTTATTTTTGTACAATTTTACATTAGAAACAGATAGTGTAACCCCCAAATATTTTACCTTATCAACAATTTCAAAATCTGTTAAGTTAACTAAAGCCTGTTTATCACCATTAGTCATATTTTTAGCTAATATTTTAGTCTTATTATTATTAATTTTAAAACCAGAAACACATCCATATTGTTGAATCAATTGTAATAATTTCACCACCGAGGAAACAGGTTGAGACAAAGTAACAACCAAGTCATCTGCAAAGGCTCTTAGTTTATATTCTTTTTTATTAATTTCTATTCCTTTTATTTCTTGAGACTCCCGAATTTTAATCAACAAAATTTCCAATGTTAAAACAAACAATAACGGGGATAACGGGCATCCCTGTCTTGTTCCCTTTTCTATTACAAAAGCCTCTGACAAACCCCCATTTACAATAATTTGAGCAGTCTGTTTTTGATATATGTTGGATAATACTTGTAATATATTTTGTCCGAAGTTCATCTCCTTAATTAAACACAACATAAACTGCCAATTCACTTGGTCAAAGGCTTTTTCAGCATCCAAAAATATCAGACCTGCAGGGACTTGGTTATTCTTTTCTAAATACTCTAGTAAGTTAATAATTTGTCTAACATTATTCTTCATGTACCTTCCAGTTATGAAACCCGATTGATCCCTGTGTATAAGCTGCTGCAAGATCCCCATAAGCCTATTAGCTAAGATTTTTGCAAAAATTTTATAATCCACATTTAAAAGAGATATAGGCCTATAATTTTTAGGCAAAGTGAGATCCTGACTATCTTTTGGAATCAGAGATATAAATGCATTACGCCAGGATGGAGGGATTTCTAACCCCTGTAATAACTTATTAAACAGTTCACACAACGGTTGAATCATCTCTTCTACTAAAGTTTTATAATAAATAGATGTCAACCCGTCCGTACCCGGCGCTTTGCCCAATTTTAATTGTTTAATAGCTGTAACAATTTCTTCCTTAGTAATTAAACCGTTAATCTTTTTTCCCTGATCTTCTGTTAATTTAGGAAAGTTAACTTTGCCTAAATAATTATTTATGTCTGTAGTTTGAATATTAGAACCCTTATATAATTTTTGATAATATTCTAAAAAAGATTTCTTAATCAATTCTTTCTGATAAACCAATTTACCATTATAATTTATTTTATCTATATTCCTCTGTTTCTGTTTTTTTCTTAACTGATAGGCCAACCATCTCCCTGGTTTATTAGCATTACAAAATGTATTTTGTTTCATAAATAGCAAATTGGTTGCAGCTTGATCAGCCATCAGCATATTAAATTGTGTTTTTAACAATTTTAAAGCTCCTTTAACCTTTTCATCTGAGGGATTTGAAATTAAAGATTTCTCTTTTAATTTAATCTCCTCTTCCAAGTCTTTCCGTTTCTGAGTCTGTTCCTGTCTATGCAAATTATTCATTTTTATCAAAATACCACGCATGAAAGCCTTACTTGCATCCCACACCATTGACATTGATGTTCCCTTATTCATATTTAAAGTAAAATATTCCTTTAAACATTCCTTTAATTTGTGAACATTTTTTTCTTTTTTAAATAAGTTCTCATTCACCCTCCAGGATCTCCTGTCTTCCTTCTCTGCAAACAGTTCCATCCAAACTGGACTATGATCGGACAGTGTCCTAGGAAAAATTTTTACATTCTTTACCCTGTTGTATAAATCTGTTGTAATCAAAAAGAAATCAATTCTTGAAAAAGATTGATGTCTATCTGAGAAAAACGTAAAATCCTTTTCTTCTTGATTACGTTCACGCCAATAGTCTCTCAATTCCCAATCTTCTTTCATATCGAAAAAGGCTTTAGGTAGTTTAGCCTGTTTAAAAAAGGTAGAAGAGCCTTTTTTATCCATTTGTGTGTCTAAGACACCATTCCAGTCTCCCATTAAAATCACAGATCTATAATCCAACAAAGTTATTTTCTGATGTAGTAACCTGTAAAATTGCTCCTGTTGCTGGTTTGGTGCATACAACCCCACAATAAGGATTTTCTTACCATATAAACCAAGTTCAAGCATAACATATCTTCCGTAAGGATCTGATTCTAACAGGGTAGCAGATAAATTCTGTTTAACGTAGATTACCACACCCCCTTTCTTCCCAGGGGCGGGAGATACAAAATGAGATCCCAAGCGAGGATTATTTAAATATTTTTGGTCTTTAGCTGTAATATGAGTTTCTTGCAAGCAAATGATGTCATTGTTATGTTGTTTCAAATAGTGGTAAATTTTTTTTCTCTTTTGAGGAGTGTTTAATCCATTAATATTCCAGGACAGGAGCTTTGCCATCTCCCTTGGCCTTCAGCCTGGAGAAAATCCGCTCAAATTCTGCTGCTGATGAATATGTAGCAGAGCTTTTGGATCTTGCTCCTCCCACCGGCACTGAAACAATTTGCTGAGTAGATTCTCCAATTTCTTTTTCCTTTTCTTTTTTCTGTTGTTCTTTTTCTTTACGTTTATGTGCTGCACGGGTCATTCTCTGTTCTTTAATCTCTGATTGAGACATCCATGCCACCTGTCCAGCAGTCATCATCCCTGTAGCTTCAGATTTCTGTTCCACCTCTTTATCACTCAAAACTTTCTGCATCATGGGCAAAGGAGAGCCTGCTCCCAGGACCGTTTTATAGAATTCCTTAGCTTTAGCAACTGTATTGAGTCTATAACGTGTCCCCGCATGGCTCAAAACAATGCCCATCAGAATCTCCCATCTAAATGGCATTTGTCTTGCTTTAAGTTCATTTACTAAAAAAGCAAAATCTTTTCTGGTTCTTAAAATTTTAGGTGGAATTTCCTTTAAAATAATAATATCTTGAGCAGCAATCTGAAATCTTTTATTATAAAAAGTTTGTAGAATCTGATTTCGCAAAGACTTCTTAGCAAAATATATCACCACATCTCTAGGCAGATCCCTCTGTTTTGCAACCCAGGAGTTGACTCTATAAATTCTTTCCACATCCCCACGTAACTCTTCTTTATCAATATTCAAAATAACAGCCAAGTCATTAATCACCATTTCCATCAAATCTTGAGTTTTATCTTCTTTCAGACCCCTTATTCTCAGAGCATATTCCATCTGTCTGTACTGGAACATAAGAATATCATCTTGTGAAGCCTCCACTTTTTTCTCCATATCTTGAAATTTATAATCCAGAAGTTCAACTATTTCTTCAATTTCCTCTACTCTGGAGTCCAGCTTCACGACCACTGAGGCCATTCCAGATAAAGCTAAAAGTATATCATCCCTCAAAATAGCATTATTCTGTTCTAAAAGCTCCTTCATCTCTTTCTTCATTTCCTCCTTAGTTTCAGATTTATTCTGATCCAAAAGTTGTTTCATTTCCTCCCTAAACTGTGAAACAGCACTTACCATTATTTCTTTAATGTCTTGTGCTGATGTGCCAGATGGGGGAGGTGAAGGTGGAGTAGATTTAGGTTGCTGCACTGAAGGTATTATTTTAAGTTGTTGCTGCACAGTAGAAGTAGCAGGAGAAGAAGTTACTTTAGAGGCTGCAGTAGCTGGTTGTCGTTTTGAAGCCATTTTAATTTATCTTCCTTTCTTCTTAAAAGTACCAATAAAAATAAGTAGTCCAAGAAAAAATTAAAAATAAAATAAAATAGAATAAAGTAAAAAAAAAGCAATATTAAACAACAATTCAGCCGAACCGTCTTCTAAAGAAAAAAAAAGTTTCAAAACGCCATTTTACTTTCACTCTCACTTTTCCGCCCAAAAAAAAAAGAAAGCTCGAAAAAATAAAAAAAAATCAGCACAAACTAAATAAACTAAATAAACTAGAAAAAAAAAATAAAATAAAACTAAACTATAAATAAAATCCTTTAAACAGTTCTGTCCGGTTTAAGATTACTCACGGTTTCTTTATATTCGGAGATGGTAGCGGCGTCTCGCTTTGTTTCTGAAGAAACAAAGACAGCTGAGAGGCGGAGAAGCAATGAACTCCGAGGGAACCTCTTTCTCCCCCTAAAAATAAAAATCCAGGGAGAGTTAAGAGGTTCTACCTCTATTCATGCAATCTCTACCCCTTCCCTTCGCCCGGGAAGGGGATTGCGAGCCGCGGGCCAGCTGGTAAACGCTGTGCTCCGCGGATCTGACACCTTCTCAGGAGGACGGCTACAAAGTAGCCGCCATCTCCACCGCTTCAACCACCGGAAGTCCCTCTCTGGGAGGTCTTTTATCAAACCACCTAATTTAGGGGCATAGGAACCTGCAAGGCACTTTTGCAACACATGAGCTTCCTCCAGCTGAGAGGGACTCCACGCAGCAGGTGCAAAGGTTTGGTCAGGATGTTTATTTATATAAAATAAAATATTATATTTTTGTAAAAGACAAATAGCATTGGGGAGATAATAGGGAGCCTCTTCCAAGCTTTTTAAGGAGCCTCGCTGGCTGTTTAGGGCAGGGGTAGGCAACCTTGGCTCTTTTATGACTCGTGGACTTCAACTCCCAGAATTCCTGAGCCAGCCACGCTGAGGGGAAAGGGAGAGGTTTCCAAGCTGGCTCAGGAATTCTGGGAGTTGAAGTCCACGAGTCATAAAAGAGCCAGGGTTGCCTACCACTGGTTTAGGGCAAATGCTCTCTCTGTCTAAAACCGCCTTCCGTGGCCTGGTATCCTCCAGAGGGGTAGAGCTTTTCAGTTTCCCAACCAGCATCGTCCAAGCAAACAGCCCTCTCAGTTGGCAGTTTTATTATCTGACTATTATTGAAGCAAATTCTCCCTTCTCTTTTACCCACCTTGGATCCTGTTTTAGGTTTATTGTCCCAATTTCCTGTGTCATCTGCAATGACATCATGGCGTACATGTTTGGATTCTTCTTTGGACGCACCCCGCTGATTAAGGTCTGTTCATATCTGGGGTGCTTGGAACATCTGCAGGAGGCAGCCTTGGGCTTCAGTTAAGGTCAAAGTCATCCATGATCCACTCCCAACTGATGGGATAGCATCAGAATACAAAATAACAGGGTGTGAAGTCTGGAGGTCTTCTAGTCCAACCCCCTGCTCAAGCAGGAAACCCTATACCATTTCAGACAAATGGTTGTCCAATCTCTTCCTAAAAACCTCCAATGATGGAGCACCCACAACCAGAAGTTCCACTGTTTAATTGTTCTCACTGTTAGGAAGTTTCTCTTTAGTTCTAGGTTGGATCTCTCCATGATTAGGTTCCACCCATTTACTTCTTGACCTGCCTTCAGATGCTTTGGAGAATAGGTTGGCCCCCTCTTCTCTGTGACAGCCCTTCAAATATTGGAAGGCTGCTCTCATGACACTCCTAGTTCTTCTCTTCTGTTTCAGTTTTGGAAATCCTGCATGTTTTGGCCTTGAGCTTCCTGCTTTCTTTCTCCCTCTTTTCCTATCGATTGATTCGTTCCTTTTTTGTTGGTTTTTTGAATCTGCAGTTGTCCCCAAAGAAAACCTGGGAAGGGTTCATTGGAGGATGCTTTGCCACTGTCGTGTTTGGCCTTTTAGTAAGTGTTTGCTTTACTTTAATAAGAACCGTGCAGTCGAGAGGGGAAAACAAAGAATTTGGACACTTCTATAATAGACAGGTCTGATCCATAGGGTGCAGAATCCACCAGGGAATTCACAAGGAAAGGCTTATTCAAACTGGAAAAGATGTGAGCAAACAACACATTTTTTGAATTAGGACAGTTTGAACACTAAGAGAGACTACGGGAACTGTGTATGTTCCTTCATGAGAACAATGAGGAAGGATAAAATAGGTTTCTTGTTCTCCATTGTTCCAGAATAACAGGCAGTTCAATTCCAGTTTCAATGTTTGAAAAATCTTGACTGAAATGATTGATAACAGGGACTGCTGGAATTGCTGTTGCTAAGTGATTCAGCCACGTGACAGTGTGCTTTACAACCATGTGAAGTCTAGTGACGGAAATCCCATCCCAATTACCATAGTTAACTGAAACTATTTGTAGTTAAGCCTTAAAAAAATTATTATCCCTTCTGGCTTCCATGTATATGAGTTTGATCTGTGTTTATGTACCATGGCAGAAATTAACTCTTTGATGCTTTTGTTCTTCCATCAATCACAACCAAGCTATCATACTTGATGTCCGGATACAGATGTTTTATCTGTCCAGTTGAATTCAACAACGACACTAACAGCTTCACTGTGGACTGTCAGCCTTCGGAGCTTTTCCAGCTGCACGAGTATAACATCCCACTGGTGCTTCAGTCTGTGATTGGCTGGGTAGGAACTCCGCTTGCCCTGTCAATGTTGCAAAATTGCTAAAATGTGTGTTCTTTTTCACAAGCTATATGGGTGGGGGGGATTATGGCCATCATATTGTATTTCTGGGGTGGAGTAAGGGGTGAAATTGGTACTATTTCCATTCCTCCCCCCCCCCCCCCGCCTTTAACCCTGGTCTCATGCCCTTAGCAGGTAGAAGAAGGAATTGTGGCTATAATTCAGAGTTGCCCACTATGGTTGTGTTCCAGAAAGTGAAATTAGCTTGTGATGGTGCCAAAATAAGATTCAGTCCATCAGTGTCTCACTGTTGACCTCCAAGATTGGGTCAGGATGATGCAGGGTGCCAAATCTCATTATGGTTGGAATGCAAGTACAGAGAATCAGCCAGAATTGAACTACGGGATAAATGCAAACAGAGGCACTTAAGACATCCCACAGAACCTAGGGCTGAGTTCCAGACCATATTAGATTCTTGGTTTAGTTCCTCTCATAAATGAGCCTTTGGCCTTTAATTTGATTTCAGATAACGATGGTCAAACTCTGAGGGTGTGATTAATACAAACACATCTTGCAGGAGATGACCAGACTGAGCACAAGGGGGGGGGTCAAGCACGTCATCAGCCTCGAGTTCCTTCGTACCCACAAGACATCTAAGTCCAGCCCACTTTGAATTCTATCGATTCTTATTTACTGCCAATTTGCTCTGGCCTTTAATAGCTCAGATTCTTGTAGAGAGCTTAAGCTTGCAATAAATGTATATATTTATTTGAACTGCCTGGACTTCCGATTTTCCCACGCTTGACACCCCTGTGGGAAGTTCATGAGGCCCTGTGGGCAAAACAGGAGCTCATCTTAATGAACCAATAAACTGGCCTGAAAGCTGAGCCCCGAGGAGCAAAGTGACCGGCGTCCCTCGTCTGCCTTCCTTCTTTACAGGTGTGAGGCCTGCCACTGACCGGGCCCGTTTTCCTTATTTCCCTCTCCTTCCTGCAGAAGACTGTCCGGATGTATCCCTTCCAGATCCACAGCATTGCCCTCTCCACTTTTGCATCCCTGATTGGACCTTTTGGGGGCTTCTTTGCCAGTGGCTTCAAAAGAGCGTTCAAAATCAAGGTAGGTCCCAGCTGGGCAGCAGTAGCAGCAGCGTTCCAGCAGTTGTAAACCCTTTGTAGAAAAAGGTCTGATCAAATTCTTCTTTTGCGTTTCTTGGAAGAGATAATGTTTTATTAATTGATTAAATTGATGTCTCATCTTTATAGTGCACAATCACCATCCTGCTCCCTTCTCAACAGCAACCCCTTTAGAGGTGGGTGGGCAAAGAGAGGGACTGACCCAAGACATCCAGCCAGCTTCTTGAGCCTAAAGAAGGAGTAGGAATCACAGTTCTTCTCATTTCTAATTGGGAATCCTTGTTTAACAACCACAATCGGGGCCAGCAACTTAGTAGGCAGTTGCTAAGTGAAACTGGGCTGCTTATTTCAGTTTCGCTGTGCTTTACCCCCCTGTGAAGCTGAGTAAGGAGTATAGCTAGATAATAGTCCGGGATCAGGGATGCTTTATTTTGCATTCTTGCACTTGGGGGGGGATGTGGGGGACTGGATGTCCTCAATACCCCTTCCAACTCTAGCTTTCAGTGATATAAATTCCAAAGCTGCTAGTGTTCAGTTTTTTTCTAGTTTTCTCATAGATTAAATATTGGTATTCCTGAAGGCTCAATAAAACATTTTCTTTTAATTGGCAGGACTTTGCCAACACCATCCCCGGGCATGGGGGCATCATGGATCGATTTGACTGCCAGTACTTGATGGCCACCTTTGTCAATGTGTATATCGCCAGCTTTATCAGGTAATGGTTGTGAAGTTAAACACCACACACAACTCCTATTTCGCAGAGTTTGGGCTGTTATCAGAGTTGCTTGCAGTTTTGTGTCATCCAAATCTGAGTCCAAAAGTAGGAAAACCAGAACTGGGACCTCCAGTGAGCTGCATAAGGATTCGTTTGAAAGGGAAGCAAGGGGAACGAGCCTCCCACCATTCTTGTAGAAACAGTCTATCTGACCACCCCCATTCTTGTTTTCTTCTTTCCAGGGGCCCCAATCCCAGCAAGCTGATCCAGCAGCTCTTGACGCTGCGGCCCGATCAACAGCTGAACATCTTCAATACGCTAAAGGCTCACCTGGTCGACAAGGGGGTGCTTAGCAGTTCCGAGGATGCGTAGACAGCTTGGCCACCGGGCGGTGACTGAATAAGGGCGAGCACCCCCCACCCCGCCACCCCCCCACCATAGAATCCCTGCCCACCCATCCACCTTGCCTGGTCTAGCACAATAACCAAGCCGAGCCTCTCTCGCTTTCTCCTTCCTTCCACGTCAAAGGGGATGTGTCGATGGCTTGGGGGGGGGGGACAATTTGTCTGTTTCCAAGCAGACAGGAGAGGGGGCTTTGCTCGGAAGAAATTGGGGCGCAGAGGAACCGACTTGGTTGAGTGTTTTAGAACGCAGCCTTCCCTTCAGAGCTGTGCTTGGGGGTTTTCTCCTCCTGGGGGTGGGTGGGGGTCTCATTTGTTTTTTCTCCAGGGTGAGGTGGACAGAGAGATGGGAGAGAAAAGAAGCAGGCAACCTGCAGGGTTGTGCACTCTGATGTTCCTTCCTGAATTGTGCTATGTGGTAAACATGGTTGTATCATTTGACCACGGTTGTATCGTATGATAATTTCAACTCCCAGAATCCTTCAGCTATCACAGCCAGAGATTGGTGGAGAATTCTGGGAACTCTAGCCCTAGTCTCTATGGAGGTTGCAATCTGGAGAAAATTGCATTACGTCCAGGACCTAAAAGAGAACTGGTGCAGGGACATGGCTGAGGTGGTTAATTCTCCGGTCCTCTTTGCTCTCTGCCATCTTGAGTTTTTAAGACAGTTGACAGAACCAAGAACCATCCCTTTGAGCTGCGTGGCTTGAGGTGGTGGAGGCCTGGGCAGCGTTCTGGGCCTGGACACCTCTCCAGGGAGCCAGAGTGGCTGGGAAGAGGATCGGCTGGGATCTTAGCCTCATTCCCCTCCTGATCTCCCCCTATGCATCTCTACCTGTAGAAGGTGAGGAGACAACCCCACCCGTTGCTGGCTTCCTTCCCAGCACGTGTGCATGAACGAGAAGGCCAGAGCCCTGTGTGCTTCAGGGTGTGTGAATAGCTACATAGGTCACTGCATGCAAGGAAAGGGAGGCAAAAACACTCTTCGTGAGGCCAAACCATTTGCTGTCCAGAAAATCAGCACAGCATGAGTTTGCTTCTGAAAGGAAGCTAATGGAAGCTGGTGTCTGCAGGAACAGCAAAGTAGGCGTATCTTCTATCCTGTTGCTCCTGCAGAGGCTCTAATCCAGGGGTCTCCAACCTGTGGCCCCCTGCCCACTAGTGAGGCATGAGGGGATTGCAGCCGGGCCATGGAAACGGCTGATGAGCACCCGCATCCCCCTTGCCTGAACAGCAGGTGAGTGTGTGCACCCACTTCACTGGCATGAGCGGCAGGTGTGTTTGACGGCCGCTTGTACGGAACCATCCCCATCCTCCCCCTCCCCTTCCCCCCCCAGTCTGCAAAGCCGGAAACGCTGGGGAAATCTGCTTTCAAGTAGACAGAGGCTTGTTATGGTGTCTATATAAAAGGAAAGGTGTGGCAGGAAGGAAGTGAGCTGGCACATGTAGGGGCAGAATTTGGGTGTATATTGATCAAGGTGAAAACAACTATGCTGGCCAGAAGGCAGCTACAGTGGGGATCCCCCTGAGCAGAACTAGGACTCCTGCCATGGTTGGCATCCATCTACTCAGCTCCAGAAAAACTTGTTTGATTTGGGTTTTTTTTTAATAAATGGAGAGGTGCTCTCCCCTCCTCCACTCACAGCGTGGCCTGATACCAAAATGCAACAGAAAAATAAGTACAGGAAGCGAAGAGAGTGTCACAGTTTACCCTTTCAAAAAGGCTCTGACTAAAGTCTTCTGAAAGCAGGGCTTAGAGCAAACAGATGTAAGTTCATACATGCAGATGAACCCTTTGAACTGAATCTTGTCCTTGATAAGGAAGATAGGTTACATGATCTGATGCTTGCTTGAAGACCTCCAGGCCTCCAAATGCCTCATGAAGAAGAAGCAGGATTCTGTGGAGCACTGGAGAAATTTCTACAAATTTGACGATTTTAAAACTTGTCAACTTCAACAGCACATGCTAGCTGGGGAATTCTGGGAGTTGAAGTCCACAAGTCTTAAAGTTGCCTACTTTGGAGACCCCTGCTGTAACTGGAAAAGCCAGCATCCTCTAGCCAGGTTCCCCTTTCTCTTCTTCCCCCCCCCTCCCCATATCTCCTTCTGCTAAACAACTCCAGATATTGGCAGAGTTAGTATAGGGCACCACTGGCTTCCTGTAGACAGCACCTAAACTGGCAATATTAGTCCTGCCAGCTTAGCTACATGAGCACCGTGTATCTTCCTAGCCTTTAGCTCCATTCAGAAATTGTTTCCTACTGCAACTGGTTCTTTCTCTGTTTTTCCCTTTCCATTCCCTCTTCCCATGCCCTGTGCTTATTTCTCTGTGCAGTGTCCTTTTGAGGATGTTGATGGCTGTGTTGTTCCTTTTGCAAATGCCATAAAGCAGGAGAGTCTGCAGGGTGGGTTCAAAAAAGTCAGGATGGGGGCGACACAGGTGCAGTCAAAACCTGCATTTTTTATGTGTGTTGCAAACAGGTGGAGCTTCAATTGCGTTGTTGTGACCACCAACGTGACTTTTTTGACCATACCCAGCAGGCACTCTTGCCAAGGGCTAATCTTTGAGTTATATGGGTTTTAATTTCTTATGTTGCTGTTTTGTTCCGACTGTCAAAATGTGAAATATTGTACAAAGGCATTTTACCCTATTTATATACTGTAATGTTATTAAATAAAACATATATAAAGTAATTATTTGTACATGCAATATTGGGAAAAGGGCGGGTTTCAACTTGGTCAGTTGAAGCAGCTGGCTGTGACTTCCCAGAAGAGTATTTCAATTTGAATCACCTTTGCAAACCACAACATCTGCATTGTCCTTGATTGGTACACTGAGTTGTGTGAACTGGATTTCTTTCAGCTTTTATGGTATGGATGGCTCATTTCCAAGGTTTGTAAAATGTTGGTGCAACGAGATGGCAGGTGCTATGAGCAGCGCAAACTAAACAGTAAACTAAACGTGCAACCGTGCTATAAAATTCCATTAGATTTATATAGGCTTGTAACAAGTGACTATTAAAGGAAAAAAGGAAGTGATTTTATTTATTATTTTCCAATCCAAGACCAACCCAACCAACGGAACTTATATAGCAGTTAATAAATTATCCAAAAAAGAAAACTGAAGTAGGGATCTTGGGAGAGAAGCAATTGGGATTATAAATTTAAATTTTCATTATGGGTGTTTTAATAGAATACAGGATGTAGTTTCCACCTCGCTACATCTTGAAGATGTCCATACATCTTCAAGTGGGCAGAATTGGGAACACTGCTCTGAAGAAGAGATGTTTTTAGACCAATAATCTCCCTGGGTCTGTGATGTAGGGAAGGTTCCCCATGGAGGTACTTGGTCAATGCGTATCTACTCTTGACTCTTTAAGGGGCCTGCCAGCCTTCCCACTTTTGCCCTACTTGTGACTAATGCGTCATACCAAGGTCTTATGTTGCCTTGCAGTGGAAGTGAAAGGTCTACAGCCCACGCAGTCAGCTCTTCTACCCAAAGACCAAGTGAGACCAGAAGATGGAGATGGTGGCAACTTGATGTAGGCCAGGGGTCTCCGACCTTGGCAACTTTTAAGACTTCAACCATGCTGGCTGGAGAATTTTGGGAGTTAAAGTCCAGAAATCTTAAAGTTGCCAATGTTGGACACCCCTGACTTAGAACATCACTGCCTTTTAGTCATTCCCAACCTTGTGGGCTGAGACGAGCAGACTAAACACTCCAAAGACTTTCTAACTGTTCTTTCCCCACTCCCTCCCCCCCCCCCCGGCTTTAGTCCACCAGCTTCACATGCGGAAGGCTCACTTCCTCAAAGCTGGTGAGACAGCAGCACCCATGTGTTCAGCCACCAGGGCGGGTGCCTTGCATGGCACATCTGTGGTTTTGCAGAGAAACACTCTAGAGAACATGGAGCTAATGCAACCAAGGACCTACCAATAATGAAGGTGACCCCACCAGATTCTTCCTGTCTGTGAAATGAACTGAGGTCTGACTAACATCTGGAAGGCGAGGGAACTAACTTTGCACCACAAGAAAGCAAGAGAGAACTATCTGTATGTCACAGAGGATCCCACGCTGGGTAGGCGGAAGTTGTTGGCAAACCAGCGAGACTTTGCTTTTTTCGAGAAAGCTCAAATGTCAACTGAAAAACATCTCTCCAGTGCTCATAATCTGGAGCAGGAAAAAGGACACACACTACGGGCCCGTGTGGATGCAAACCTTACAGCTGGAGCTGGGATGTCTCTCAAATTTCCTCGTCACTGGGATTTCCATCTGAAGAAGGATGTGTCCAAAATAGGTATTCTCTTATTTAAAAAAATGAGTCGAGGACGAGTCTGTAGTAGCCCCAGACTTTGTCCTCAGGTTCAGTGTGTAAAGGCTGTGAAAATGTGGAATTGCTCCCTTTCCAGGCTGTGTAGAGATTTAAACCCAGGTGAGCCACTCAAGGCTCTCCTCTCCTCCTTCCTCAGTCTGCCTCTTGTGGGCCTCAGGGCTGGTTTGGGTTTTGAAAGGATTCTGCTGAGGTCCAGCCCTCCTCCTAGCAATAGGCAAATGTTGCCCCTTGAGACAAAGAGCTGTATCAAGTGATAGGCCATTTTAGGCTCTGATTTAAATGCATCACCCAGTTGAGCTCAGTTCTTTTGCAGTTCCGTTTTGCAGGTAGTTTTGCTCTTGCAAGGTCTTGCTCTGGCTTTTGACTTCATGCAGATTTAGAACCTGTGGGATTCCAGCGTTCCTTTCTCACAAGCTGGAGGAAGCCATTTTCCCACCCCTACCCTTCTGTGATGCCCATTTGGCAGAAAAACAGCCAGAGGGCTCTTGGTGGCACCATCCAAGCCCATCAAATCATTATTTTCTTGTCTTGTCTTGTCTTGCCAAGAAAGAACCCCCATCCACCCTCACCCCGCAAGGTTGACTGCATCCATTTCTTTTTTTCAACCACTTTTCAGACTGTGTCAAATAAGGGAAGGTGTATTGAAACAGGAGGGGAATCTGCAGTTAGGACAATCTTGCTTGGAGGCTGAAGTTTCTGGTGGATCAATCATTTGTGCCATAGCATCTCTGTTGAATTAGTGTTCCCGTTGAGCCAGCAAAATTTCCATTTTTGAGGGTGTCAACATCAAGCGCATTCTTTGTTTTGAGCAGTTAAGTCAAAATCTCTGGCCCTCAATGCCTTCTGATGCCATTTTAATGAGTCTTCAAGAAAAGGGACACAGCACACGGTCCTGCAGGAAACGGGTTCTATGAGTTCTGATCTTGTCAGTTGGTTTCCCCAAGGATCCCTGCTGTACTAGGTCTTAGCACCTACCAGTGGACAGGATCTGATCATGATTCTTTATGATTCAAGAGGCATTTTAGCTCACTGCTCCTCAGCCTAGCAAGGAGGCTCTGCTCTGCTTCCAAGAACCTTCTGGAGAAGTTAGGGGTTCCATGGTCAAGCATTGTTGACTTACCGTTCTCCAACACCTTCCCTTTTCCCTCCAACTTCCCCTCCCATTTTCATTTTCTCTCCCCCTCCAATCCTCCAGGGCAGCATTTCTCCTCATCATTTAGAGAAAAAATACATGTGATCTTCGTTTTACTACTTGAGGTCTTTTGCTCTCCTTGTCCTGTTTTCTAAATAAAGATTTTTGTACTGTTGCAAAAGTTGGAATTCTCCACACTTGCAAATTCCCCCACTTTAATGTGATTGGGAGTTTTTACATATTTGTGATAGCTTCCTCTAGGAGAAAACTAACCTGTAAGTTGTAGATTAGTGCAGTTTTAGACTATGGTTTTGAAAGGCAATGAACTAGGAGAATAAATCTATGTAGAAAGAATATTGTGATTCCTTAAATCAAAGGTGATTAGTTTTCAGGTTTAAATCACCTGTGACCATTGGACTATTTCAAAGGTTTTCTGCAAAAGTCCACTTCTGCAAAAGTCCACTTCAGATTTATGATGAAATAATATATTGTTGAAAGGAAAATCTTCATCAGGGTCCAGTCGAAGCCAGGAATAAACAAAATGGAGACTGCTTTAGAAAGAAGGTTGTAGTTTATTGAAGAGCAGGACCACAAGACATGAGACTCTGGAGCAGCTGATCACATGTTGCTGGGAGTGGTGGGTTTTTATACCCTCTTGGGCTTTTGTGTTTGGAGTTATTCTTCCTGTTCCTATAGCATAAACTTTAACCTGAGTTTTTGAGCATGTCCTTTTGGTATTTTGATGGTGGTGGGTTAATCCTATTATGTCCTAAAGGTCATGTCTTTAGAGTTTGTAGTTTTTAGGGGTCTTTGTCTTTCTAATCTCATCAGCTTCTAGTTTCCAACTAGTTTCTAGTTTCCTTTGGGGAAGTATAATATTCTGCTTGTTAATATTCCCCAAAATATTTCTTTCTCGGGGGGGGGGGATGCTGTCCTCCTACAATATTTTTGCATACAATCCATTAGCCCCTTCTAAGATGCTTTACAAAACTCTTGTAAAAACTTCAGATTTTGAACACCCAAGGTAGACATTTGAGCTTTGTTGCAGCATTTTCTACAGCAGGACAAGGAAATCAAAATACAATATAGCCCTTACAAGTTCAGGCCCTTTCAACATGACTGTTGTAATCTATTTTGGGCTCTTCAATTCCTCTTCCAATCATAAAACTTGAAATCACAGATTTTCACATGTTGAAAGTGAAAGAAAAACCAATCCTATCTCTGGAGCATAAAACAACAGCCGGAAGTCTCTGCTGCTTCTTTTAAATGTGATGCAGCTCCATGTCTTCTGCATTTGCCCCCTGTTGACTGGAGCCTAAATCCAGAAAACATGGTCTGTGGCCTCCTGTGCTCAGAAGACCAGCAAGCCTATCCTAAGACAAATACGACTGAAGTTTAAGACTTAAATTTTTAAAGACTTTTAAACTTTTTAAGATTTTTAAGACTTTGGAAATCCAAAAAGAAATGGTTCACCTCTGTTTTGGCAACCTTATTTATTTAGTTACATTTTAAAATGCAATAAAAATATAAAAAATAAAGGAAAAAATTAAAAAAGAGAAACCAATAACTTGACTTTATGGAGATTTCCATGTAGAACTTGCCAACAGTACGGACCTGGGATGCTGCTGCCTTCTTTCAATCTCTGAGTCTGGTGATCCCCATTTTCAAAAAGTGTGTTGCTTGCACTAAACTCCTCAAAGAAATGAGATGAATCAAAATGGAAAGAGGCAAAACCTTTGTTTAAAAAAAATTTCACACCCTCCATTTCCTCCTGCCTCACCCACCAGCAGCCAACAGAGAGCACTCAGGAACACATTTTAGATTTCTTTAGAGACCCCCTGAATTTCTCTTGTTTGAGAAGAGTTATCTAGGGTTTCAGGAAGGGATTTATTTGGCTGGATCTGAACTGAACTCAGCTGGAGTGAAATGGCAGCATTTGGGGCAAAACTGAATTCTTCCACAAAGCCAGCTGAAGTTCTGAGCCGCTACACCACAAGTTCCCCAGAAGTTTCATTTCCAGCTAATTTCCTCTTGCAACAAGTTTGTCTGCCAGTCTTTGCAGAGAGCGAAAGTCAATGAGCAGCGGAAATTTTAGGTTTGGTGTGTGTGTGTGTGTGTGTGTGTGTGTGTGTGTGTGTGTGTGTGTGTGTGGCAGCTGGAAGGCTAAAAGAGACAACCCTAGATGGCAAATCATACCAGTGTGATAAAAACTGATTGCGTGGTTGTGTTTACTGTAGAGGCCTCGCTTGTGTCAAAAGTGGAAGAACCAGCTCTCCAGATGTTCCTAGGTGACAGTGGCCAGCAGCAGCCAGAGGAGGGTCACGCTTGCAAAATTAAAGCCTTTCTTCTTTTGAACTTTTAATAACTATCAACCAAGGTGCCTTAATGGTTACGTTTATTGTTTAATTTTCTATGGAGATTTTCAACCATCCAGGCCATTCTTGCTTTTTTTCCCTTCAAAACATTTTGCTTCTCATCCAGAACTGAAGAAGCTTTTTGGATGAGAAGGGAAATATTTTCAAGGGAAAAGGTAAGGAAGTCCAGTTGCCTTTGGAAAAGCACCTTTGGGATAACCAAGACCTGGACCATTGGGAATCTCCATAGATATTAAGCAAAGACGTTAAGGGTTATTAAGGAAAGTCACAAAGTCCAGGGTCAATGGAGATTCTCAACCTTCCAGGTCATGGTTGTTTCAAAGATGCTTTTCCAAAAGGAAGCTGGACTTTCTTACTTTTTTCCCTGAAAACATTTCACTTCTCATCCAAGAAGCTTCTTCAGTGGTTACTTTTGTTAAATTGTTTAAACTGTACTCTGCCAAGAGCCCCTCGCTGAAGGAGGTGGATAGTTAAGAAGTGTGAGATATAAATAAATAAATAAAAACCAAGATGGGGCTTCAATCACGCAGTCAAGGCTGCCTTCTTTTTGACGCACAGACACACAACTCCAATGCCTCAGTGGCGATCCCAGTCTGTCAGCCCAGATGTGGTAGAACTGAACATCTGCAGATGGGCAAGAGCATTCGGCCAGTTAAAGGACAATATGATCTCTGTCAGAGGTCAAGATGTGTGGATGTGAGTGTGTCTGACTGATGGAAATAGAGTTGTGACATCACCATACAAGCTCTGCTTCTTTTTAAGTGTGTCAAGACATTGCACCCACGTTCAGAAAAAGGGGACGGGAGGTGCTTTTGTTGCTGTTGCTAAAAGCAAAGGCCTCTGCGTGAATAAATGGGCACGACAAAACAAATGATAAAAATAAGATGACAGGATAGATCAGGGGTAAGCCACCTTGGCTCTTTTATGACTTGTGGACTTCAACTCCCAGAATTCCTCAGCCAGCTTTGCTGGCTGAGGAATTCTGGGAGTTGAAGTCCACAAGTTATAAAAGAGCCAAGGTAGCCTACCCCTGGGATAGATAAAATGGCACAAGAGAAAAATTCTTCATGTCCATCTCTAGACAATCAAATTAAGATAATAATAAAGTTGGAAGGGACCTTGGAGGTCATCTAGTCCAACCCTCTGCTAAGGCAGGAAACCCTATACCATTTCAGACAAATGGCTGTCCAATCTCTTCTTAAAAACTTCCAGTGTTGGAGCATTCACCGCTTCTGGAGGCAAGGAGTTCCACTGGTTAATTGTTCTAACTGTCTAACTGTTGTTCTAACTGTTCTAACTGTCAGATGCTCACCAAGTTCTTTAATCAGACTTTTGAGAGGTTGTAGAAATGGCAACAACTAGATTTTAAGGTTATCCATTAATTCTAAGGATGGCTGGGATGAGGGACTCCTGAATTCTCTTGCCAATAACTGTTTTGTATACTTTGGAAATAGCTAAGGTGTTGTTCTTCCAAGCCGATTTCACGTTCTAGAAAGGCCATAATAATTTGCAAAGAACTTAGGAAAGAGATGGGATCAACGGGAGACCTCTGTTGCAAGCAACGGACAACTTTGATTCTAGCACTGAGGCTTTCTTGGGTTCTTGCTGCTCTTTGACATAGTAATCAAATGTCTGCAAGATAAAAACCAATCTCAAAGGACACTAAGACCCCCAACAGTTCAGACATGAGCCTTCTGCTCTATTGCAACTGAGGTTTTGCATAAGTTGGAAGGTCCCATCTCTGCCCTTTCTTGAACACCCTGAACACCCACCTTGACTCAAATGACTTTCCGACGTAGGTAGTTCCCACTCCTGGACTTTAGATGACGTGCCCATTTGTTCATCTCCCTCTTCTGTTTCTTTGCTGTTTATATTTTTGCTCTTGTAGGACTTCTGTTGTTTTTTCAAGGTGTGTTTTCATCAAGATATTGCTCTTTGAAAACTAACTGGGCGGCATATAAGATCTAAAAGAGGCGAAGAATTCTATCTTTTCCTTGAGGACAGCTTATAAATGCAGTAGGAACAGTCCAGGCATTTTCGGTGTATTCCACCCACACAACACGTACTTCTTGCTCCGTGTTTGCTCAGACGAGGGTCCCCTGGGTTCCTCTGCAGATTTAATGACAAAAAGAAGATGCCTTATGTTCTTATTTGTAAAGCACGCCGCCCACGCAGGAAAAAGGAAGTCCACTCTGCGAAAGAGCTTCCTTTCAAGCAAAAGCCTCGCCACAAGCAGTGGGCTTAGCAAAGCAAAAATCAGCTTTGCTCTCTGGGTCTGGATCTGGAGACCCCATGGCAGATTTTCCTATCAAGGAAGCCTCGTGTGCTTCTGGGCCAGAAGTCCTCCCTTGATTGTCCTCTGCTTGTTCTTCTGATGGTGCTCTTTCTTCTGGGCTCACATTTCACTTCTCCCCCTAGTTCGCTCGCAGAGCATGATGGCTGTCGATGCAAAAGGCTCCAGCCCTTGGCTTCAGCCCCCCAATCCTCTGGAGCGCCCCTTGAAAGCCGGCTGGCTGAAGAAGCAGCGATCCATTGTCAAGAACTGGCAGCAGAGATACTTCGTGCTGAAGGGGCAACAGCTGTATTATTACAAGGAAGAGGAAGATCTGAAGCCCCAGGTAACATTAGGGAGGAGGAGGAGGAGGATTGATGTTGATTCATATTTATGCTGCTGGGGCGATGGGAGAGATGGAAAGGCTGAGGGGGGAAAGGGTTTGGAATCACTGAAATGCATAGAAATGTACCTTCTATCTTCTGAAGAGGAGGCCAATCAAGTTCTCGTAAGCCAGGAAAAGTATAGAGGGACCTTGAATCGCAACCTCCTCCTTCAGTTCTAGTTCTCTTCAGTTCAGTTTGAAATCTGAACTAGAGAAGAATTGCTGTATTTTTAGCATTGTGGGGGGCCAATTACCGATTGTAAGGAGTTGGAAAGGAAAGAATGCAGGGAAAAGAATTGGATGGGCTGCTCTAATTCTTAGAGCTTTCAAGGCATTTTGCTGTTGCACCAGCTCCAGAGAGTTGAAGAAATCACATTTCAGAAGTCTCGACAATGTTGTCTATGTTTTCTATTTTCTGGAGGCAACTTCTGGTCAAAGGAAGAGCTGGCCCATCTCTTTAAATATCTAGTGTTTGTAGAGGATGATTTATCTATGATAAAGTTTCAGAGTTTCTCCTTTGGCTTAAGGAGGTTCTGGGCTACATCCAGGGTGCAATATTTAGTCAGATTTTTGGAATTGAGATTCATGATCATGCCATTTATTCTCAGTTGATGTCCTCCATGCTGCTGGTTGATTCTAGGTTTGGCCTAGCCCTAGACAATCAATTAAGAAAAGCTCTGTTGCCCGGGTCTTTTCTTGCAGACTGTGCCAAGCATTTGGGCTTCTGAAGTGGAGTTCTGAAATGTAACGAACAAAGTTTCAGTGTTAGAATATCTCATTCTTTCACCGTGATAACCAAAAGCTTGTGACTCTGAAAACAGAGAAGGGGATGGGCACTGGAGTCTGTTCCCTCTCATAAGGAAATGAACCTTTAATTTGAAACGGGCACAAATGCATGCTGTTTGTAACAAAAAGGCCAAAGCCTTTTATTTCTGCACTCCAACATCTTTTTTTAAACATTTAGTGGATCTTTCTGCATTCCAACGATCGCAAGACAAGATCTGTACCCATTTCTAAACAGTCACTCTGTGAAGATCCTACCTGGTTTACCCAACCATTCAGTGAAAACTGAATGGTACTGCATTTTAACCACTGTGCCACCACTAGTTTGCATAATTAGGTCAATTCAATTGGAATGTAGCAGGACCATCCTAATCTGATCCTTATCTTTTTCTTCTCTAATGACCTGTACCTTTTCTGGATGGAGGGCAAGATCCCACTTCCAGAACCTTTCTCAAAGCTGCTCTTCCTTGATGCCATTCTTACTCCCCTGACCCAGGTGTGTTCACCTCTTGTCTCAGGAGAGCAACCAAGGGTTGAAGAACAGAGTCTGCTCAACAATTGGCACTTCTAACCCAGGGTGCTGGAGGACTTCTTCTCTGCATCCTGTTCTCCATCTCCCTCCCCCTCAATCTGCTTCCTGTCTGTAAATTTCCCTTCTCAGAAGTTCACCCATGCTCTTGCTTTGCCACTACAATCCTGCCCCTCAGTTCTGCCACCCAACCCTGCCTGTTTCTGGTTTCCTACAGCTAGGGTAGCTCAACCACTGCTGCTTTGCCTCCTGCTCTGGTCCATCCAGGATCAAAAGCATAAGAGCTTGCAAAGAACTTGAGTTTCCTCTGTTCTCAGGTCACAAGGCACCTTCCTGGATTGCCTCATGACCGGCCTGATTCATGTGGCTAAAAAGAAAGGGCTGATTCTGGGACTTCCGGTTTTGCACGGTAGTGACCAGTTGCTGGCTTGCGGATTCTCTGCAACCTCGGCCTAATTTCGCCCTGCCGGGGGACCCTAAATGGGTCTAAGTCACCCCGGAGAGGCGACGAAGAAAGAAGGGTGCTCCAGCGATTCTGGAACGGTGGCGGCTGTTCTGTTCGACTTGGGGAAAGCCTTCTCTGAAAAGGTATAAAAGATATAAAAGGAGATCTGCAAGGAATGGTCCAACAAGTTGAGAGGGTGGTCCCAGTTTTGCATGTGCCTTATTCCTAGTGCATGAAGCATCTTGTCTACCCCAAACGCTGGCAGTGTCCAGATGTTCACATGGATACAAGGTGTTGTCTTGATTTTCTTCCATGAGATGTCCCTTTATATGCTGGAAAATGGACATCACAAATCCATTCACACATCTTTCCTCAAAACTACCCCGCTGCCATTCCTTCATTTTCTCCTTTATACGCAGCCCTGTGTTACCTTTGCTGTTTTTAATTAGCCTGCTCCACTCCTGGAAATATTTATTTCTGGTTTTGTGAAAGAAAAAACTTACTAAAAACTAAACTATAAATTCAGATCAGTTCGGATAGATGTGAAATGAGACAGTGGAAGTCACTGAGGTTTTGAAGGTCTGAGCATTTAATTTGTAACTATGATTTGATTTGTTTTCCATGGCCATAGAATCTAGGGTTAGAAATAAAGAGCACAGGTTGCAGCTATCTAGATGTCATTTGAATATAAAGAAGGGATTTTCTGCCAGTAAGATCTGCCCCAACAGGGAACAGTCAATCTACAGAGGCTGTGGGTTCTCCATCTCCAGAGGGTTCTAAGAAGATGAGAAGCCCACATCTACTGGATGGTGTAAATTAGTGTCTTTCAAACTTGGAATTCTGGGAATTGAAATCCACTCATTTTAAAAGTTGCAGTTTGAAAAACACAGCTGTAAATAGTGTGGGAAGTCTCTCTCACACACACACGAAGGAAATATTAAAAGGTCAGAATATTATATTTCCTCGAAGGATCTTAAAGAGGCAGAAAAGCATGCCCAGTTTTTCTTAATAGCCCCAAGTCTCCCTCCCCCAAGCAGAAATCAGCTCTGTAGAAATTCAGACATGATAATCCATTCAGGAAGGTTGGAGCCCTCCAGCTAGAAGCTTAGAAAGACAAAGACACCTAAAATTTACATACCCCACCCAAATTGTAGGACAGGACATAATAGGATCACCCCACAGATACCAAAGGGGCACACTCAGACTCAGGTCAAAGTACATGACACAGGAAATACGAAGCCTCAAACAGGAACAGGAAACAACTCTAAGCAAAAGCCCAATAGGGTATAAACCCATTCCCTACTACATGTGGTCTCTTTTTTTTTCTTCCAGAGACATCTTTCTGTCTGGCTCTCCTCTTCAATAAACTGCAACCTTCTTTCTAAAGCAGTCGCCATGTTGTTTATTCCCGGCTTGGACTGAAACCTAATGAAGATTTTTCCTTCAACAATAGTTTCTTGTATATTGCAGAGGGTCAGACTAGGTGATCCTAGGTCCCTTCTGATACCCCAAATCTGATCCTATGTATTTGTTGCTAGATTTATATGTGGTATATTAACATTTAACCATTTTAAAGATTGGTTTAATATATTATACTCTTGGGCTTATTAGATGAATGTGAATTGTGAAATGCTTACAGTGCATTATATGTATAATATAATTATGTTTACTTTATAAAAGCAGAGATCATGGTATGGTGAAAGAATGGAGAGCCTTCTGTTTTTGATCTTTTGCAACTGTTTGGCTTTAGGGTTCATTACAACTTCAGGGCTGCACCATCAGAGAAGTGGCTTCTGGGTCCGATGAAGCTGGAAAATTTATCTTTGAAATCATCCCAGGTCAGTAACAGGGAACTGAATTGCATGTTGAGCTAGTCCAGATGGACTAGCAAACACATGCTTGGATAAACCGTGATTAATTGCATGGATATGGAAACTGTGCTGAGCAGGACAGCTGACATAACCTTTCTCCTTTGATGACAAAACAGTGAAAAATGACTTCTGTCCTTAGTGTATAATTCAACCAACTATAATTGTGTGCATTTGCATAATACAGTTTGTTGTGGTTTGTTTAACTATAAGTTAATATGTCAACCAGAGCTGATGGCTTGCATTAGACACAGCTGTAAATCATGGTTTACTAACTACTAAGAATTCTGAAGGGCTGTGAGAGACCAGGTACTTTATGGTTCAATCATGTGGCTTGCTATGGGAAAGAGAGAAACTACGAAATTATAGAAATAGAAATTACTCGTCTGTTGCTGGTTATAAAATCAGAAATGAAAAGAATTAGAATAGAATAGAGCTGGAAGGGACCTTGGAGGTCTTCTAGTCAAGCAGGAGAACCTATACCATCTCAGATAATTGACCGTCCAGTCTCTTCTTAAAACACTCCAATGATGGAGCGCCCACAACGTCTGGAGGCAAGCTGTTCCACTGGTTAATTGTCCTCACTGTTAGGAACTTTCTCCTTAATTCCAGGTTGCTCCTCTCTTTGATCAGTTTCCAACCCTTGTTTCTTGTCCTGCCCTCTGGTGCTTTGGAGAATAGTTTGACCCCCTCTTCTTTCTTCAAATACTGGAATAATTGCTATCATATCACCCCTCTTTCTTCGTTTCTTTAGACTAGCCAAACCTGAGTCCTGCAACGGTTCTTCACATGTTTTAGGCCTTTAATCATCTTAGTTGCTCTTCTCTGAACTGTTTCCAAGGTCTCAACATCTTTTTTGTAGTATGGTTAAAGCAGGAGACCTTATGCCATTCCAGACAAATGACTATCCAATCTCTTCCTAAAAACATCCAGTGATGGAGCACACCTACAACTTCTGAAGGGAAGCCATTAATTGTTCCCACTGTCAGGAAATTTCTCCTTGATAAGTTTCCATCCTTTGCTTCTTGTCCTGGCTTTCTATCTTCCTCTTTCTTTATATCTCAACCATTTTTTTGTATTTATAAACACTTAGGCCCCTTCTTTAGAAAGTGTACTGTGTGGATTTTTTCTTGCTGCGAAATATATCTTAAAAGTCATCTGTTTCCCCCTATTTACAGGGCTCTCAGCAGACCAAACTCGAACTGGACCAGACTCCTTTGTACTGATGGCGAATTCTCAGGCTGACATGGAAGAATGGGTCAAGCTGCTCCGAAGAGTGGTTGGTTCCCCATTAGGAGGTAAGTACAGCCAGAATTATATAGGGCACACCCAAATAACTTCTAGTCTGTGTCCATAATATCCACACCAACTGGACAGGCCAAAGAATGGTTTGCCTTGGATTTCCAGGACAAGAATTTAGGGCAAAAATTTCCAGGGATGAAGTCAAGGGACTTGACTTTTATTATTTCACTATTAGTATACTAGAAATTTTTAACAGGGCTTCATATAAAGATTTGGTCTGCAGAATGGAAAAAGTGTTTGAAAATTCCTTCCTTCCTTCCTTCCTTCCTTCCTTCCTTCCTTCCTTCCTTCCTTCCTTCCTTCCTTCCTTCCTTCCTTCCAGTGGTCTTTGGACAACAGCTGGGGGATACCATGATGTATGAACAGAGATTTGGACAGCATCAGGTTCCTATCTTGGTGGAGAAGTGTGCAGAATTCATCAGGAAGAATGGACTGATGGAAGAGGGCGTTTTCCGACTCCCTGGCCAAGACAATTTGGTGAAGAAATTGCGGGATGCATTTGATGCTGGCGAGAGACCCTCATTTGACCAGTAGGTGGCGCATTTCTCAAGCTTATGATGGTCGCTGTGTCTCCCCCCTCCCTCACATGATCCCCTTTTGCAACCTTCTGACAAGCAAAGTCAATGGGGAAGCTGGATTCACTTAACAACCGTGCTACTAATTTAACAACTGCAGTGATTCACTTAACAACTGTGAAAAGAAAGGTCGTAAAATGGGCAAAACTCACAACAAATGTCTTGCTTAGCCACAGAAATTGTGATCATAAGTTGAAGACTACCTGTAGATTAAAATGGAATGATTACTTCCTGCAATGTCTGACTCATTCTATTTTTTTTTTTACAGAGATACAGATGTGCACACTGTGGCTTCTTTGCTTAAACTTTACCTACGAGAACTGCCTGAGCCGGTCATCCCTTGGAGCCAGTACGAGGGTTTTCTCTTGTGTGGTCAGCTTCTAACGTCTGAGGAAGGCAAGGTATTAAAAGTGCACAGACTTCTCAAAATGCAACTGATGATCCTCCTGAAATGGTTCCTCCCACTCTGATAATGTCATGGGATCGCCCACCATGGGGGCCCAGAGAGAGCCAAAGTCCATGTTCTGGATCCTGAACTAAGATGCTTCGTGTTTCAAGACAGACAGATAACTCAATGAAGATGGTTATAAAAACAAATATTTATTCCAGGAATACGTGCAGAACTCACATTTTGTAGTTTCATCTGGATGTTGTACATTTGTCCATCTTTGTAGGTAAAATCAGTAATTTCTCTATATTTATTTTAGCCTGTTACAGACGATGTCCATGCGTGGGGCATGGTTGGTTTTGCACAAAGACAATTAAACACGAGCTGGCACACATAGCCAGGATATCCTGTGATGAACTTAGTAGCCCCTCCCACTGACTTGTTAACATAGGATTCACTGAACAGCTAAAACTACATTACCCATAAGCCATCTCTTAAGGAGACAACGTTTAACCCTATAAATGCCAAACATTCTAACATACAGATCTATATGCTCTGGTCAGGGTTATATTGATCCAGCACACTCCCCGCTTGGCCACAGGTTGAACTCTAGTAATTTAAATAAAGTAGGCATTTTAGTGTTTAAACAATGTCTACTTTCCAGCAACAGCCTGGCTGATTGCTGTTTTTCTCCTTCCATCCTTGAGCTGCAAGATGCTTTGAAGAACACAAAGATATTTCAGGGTGGAAAAGGCTAACCCTGGCAAAGAGATGAAGAACCATGGAAATTCAAGACAGGGGGAATTGTTTTTCTCTCCCCTCCACACAGCCTATACTGCTAGTCCTTGACTTACAGCCACAATTTTAGCCCAAAATTTCCAATGCTAAGCAAGACAATTGTTAAGAGAGTTTTGCCCCATTTTATGATCTTTCCTGCCAGAAAGAACCACTTGCCAGTTAAGGGAACCACTTCCATTTCTTAAGTTAGTAACATGGTTGTTAACTGGCTTCCTCACTGACTTTGCTAGTCAGAAGATTGCAAAAGGTGATTACGTGATCCTGGGACACTGCAACCGTCATAAGTACATGTCAGTTGCCAAGTGTCCTGATTCTGATTGCATGATCATGGGGATGCTGCAATGGTCATAAGTGTGAAAAACAGCCACAAGTCACTTTTTTCATTGTGGTTTTAACTTTGAATGGTCATTAAATGAATGGCTGTAAGTCAAGAATCACCTGTACAACTTTTTGGCTTTGGAGTTTTTGTTTTGTTTTGTCTCAGAGTCAGTTTTTGACTCCTGACAACTGCCTGGACAAGACTTTGCAGTTTTCTTGGCAAGGTTTTTCTGAAGTGGTCGGCCTTGACCTCCTTCCTCCCGGGTCTGAGAGAGAAAGACCGACAAGGTCACCCAGCTGACTTTGTGCCCAAGCAAGACTAGTTTCCTGGTTTCTAGTTGCTTAGTTGCTACCCCATGGTTTCGCAAACTTGGCAATTCTGAGCCATCTGGACTTCAGCTCCATACAAGGCTGGCTGAAGAATTCTGGGAATTGAAGTCCACAGGTCTCAAAGTTGCCAAGGTTAAGAAACATTGCACTACACCAAATTATCCCTCTTTGCAAACCTGGGCAGTACTCAGTGCAATGTAGCTCCTCTCTTTGTCTGATATGAGCCAATGTGTATTCCTCCAAGAGAAAACGTGCAAATTACAAACCTTTGGTGGAATTTCATGGCACCCATCGGTACATATCATGTGACAATTAAAAAAACATCCTTATATTCTTCTAGGGTCACCCACAGCTAGTGAAGCAGCTGGCACATTTACCCCAGGACAACTATAACCTTCTGAGTTACATCTGCCGGTAGGTTCTTCTTTAAAAACTTTGCTGTTTTCAACACGGATTCATAATGGGATGTTGATTTAGGTTACATTTCTGCTTCTTGCCCCAGTTTCTTTCCCTTTCTTATTTGTTCCTCTCTTGCAATTTATGTGCATCCAGACGATGACATGGACTCTTGATTTCAATTCTAACAGATTCCTGCATGAAGTCCAGCAGAGTTCTGACACCAACAAGATGAGTGTGGAGAATCTGGCAACTGTGTTTGGTGTGAACCTCATCCGACCCCAGATGGAAGATCCAGTGACTATTATGAGAGGTGAAACTGGAACTCTATCCAGCCACCTCATTCTCTGTCGTCCCCTTCTTCTCTTGCCCTCAATCTTTCCCAGCATTAGGCTCTTCTCCAGTGAGTCCTTCCTTCTCATTAGGTGGCCAAAATACTTGAGTTTCAATTTCAGGATCCGGCCTTCTAAAGAGCAGTCGGGGTTGATCTTCTCTAGGACTGACTGGAAGTCAAGGGCTACCTATAACCTAAAACTTTGGGTCGCACAATCCACCTTTGGGAGATCTCCTTCCATAACCAGTTTCTCCAGACTGGCCAGAGGGGTTGTTCCCCACTCTCAGACGCCTAGCTAGGGGAACTGAAGCTGTGAGCCTCTTCCATTTATGAGCCAGCCATGTGCTGCAGCTGCCAAAAAGGCCAACACAGTGCTGGGCTGCATTAACAGAGGGATAGAATCAAGATCACGTGAAGTGTTAATACCACTTTACAAGGCCTTGGTAAAGCCACACTTGGAATACTGCATCCAGTTTTGGTCACCACGATGTAAAAAAGATGTTGAGACTCTAGAAAGAGTACAGAGAAGAGCAACAAAGATGCTTAGGGCACTGGAGGGTAAAGCATATAAGGAAAGGCTGCTGGAATTGGGTCTGTCTAGTTCAGTGGTTCTCAACCTGTGGGTCGGGACCCCATTTGGGGTCGAACGACCATTTCACGGGGGTTGCCAAACAAGGCTGTCTGCCATTTTTTCCCTTTTCTTTGGCCACGCCCCTGGCACCTGGTGATGTATAAATGGTTGGGGGTCACCACAACATGGGGAACTGTATTATGGGGTCGCCGCATTAGAAAGGTTGAGAACCACTGGTCTAGTTTAATGAAGAGAAGGACGAGGGGGGACATGGTAGTAGTATTCCAATATCTCAGGGGCTGCCACAAAGAAGAGGGAGTCAAGCTATTTTCCAAGACGCCTGAAGGCAGGACATGAAGCAACGGATGGAAACTTATCAAGGAGAGAAGCAACCTAGAACTAAGGAGAAACTTCCTGACAGTTAGAACAATTAACCAGTGGAACCACCTGCCTCCAGAAGGGGTGAATGCTCCAACACTGGAAGTTTTTAAGAAGAGACTGGACAGTCATTTGTCTGAAATGGTATAGGGTTTCCTGCCTGAGCAGGGGGTTGGACTAGATGACCTACAAGGTCCCTTCCAACTTTATTATTATTATTAAAAGCAATGCCTGTTGTGCTTTCCTCGTTTTTCCTGCAGGGACTCCCCAGATCCAGAAAGTGATGACGACCATGATCAGTGACCACAAGAAGCTCTTTCCAGCAGCCAGGGATGCCAGACCTCCCTCGCCTCCCTCAGAAAGCAGCTCCAAGAAAGCTCCAGTGCTACGCAGCTCCGTTGGCTGGGATGCTGTACAAAGGCCATCGATGGCCTGGAAGGAGAACAGGAGCCTGCTGCAAATTGTGAGTGTCCGCCCGGCTTTTTCATCCTGCGGTTCACCTGGGTGAGGGCATCTGCCCATGTAAGCAAAAATGTGATTTTGTGCCCAATTGAAGTCATGTACAAATTGTTGTTGTTGTTGTTAATTGCGAAGTCGTGTCCGACCCATCGTGACCCCATGGACAACGTTCCTCCAGGTCTTCCTGTCCTCTACCATCTTCTGGAGTCCATTTAAGTTCACACCTACTGCTTCAGTGACTCCATCCAGCCATCTCATTCTCTGTCGTCCCCTTCTTCTATTGCCCTCAATCTTTCCCAGCATTAGGCCCTTCTCCAGTGAGTCCTTCCTTCTCATTAGGTGGCCAAAGTATTTGAGTTTCAACTTCAGGATCTGGCCTTCTAAAGAGCAGTCGGGGTTGATCTCTTCTAGGACTGACCGGTTTGAACGCCTTGCAGTCCAAGGGACTCGCAGGAGTCTTCTCCAGCACCATAGTTCAAAGGCCTCAATTCTTTTGCGCTCAGCCTTTCTTATGGTCCAACTTTCACAGCCATACATTGCAACTGGGAAAACCAGGGCCTGGACTATACGCACTTTTGTTGGCAGGGTGATGTCTCTGCTTTTTAGAATGCTGTACAAATTAAAAACCGCTTATTTCTGAGATTCCAGTTCCTGCATTTAGCCTACAGGTGGCGCTCAAAGAAGCTAGCAAAAATAAGACCGGTGAAATCAAGCTACTATTTTATAACTGCTTGAAAAGACAGCTACAGCCTCTGAAGTCCTGCTTCCAAATGAACCTAAATAAAAATGTTTTAACTGACTGGTGCAAAATAACAAAGGAAGTTAGTTGGGTATAAGTTTCCATGCACATGTCTGGAAAAAAAAAAGTTTTTAATGCCACATCCTCTTGGTGTTGCCCCTGAGTCCTCGTAAGGCAGCTTAAAGTCACCTTTAGCTGTTGGCCATTTTAAGATAAAGTTTGCTTCTCTTTTGACACAGTTTTGGCCACAGATACGGTTGAACTGGCTCCATCAACAGTGGATTTTGAATGGGATTTCCCAGCTTCCAGTGGCAACTTGAGACTAGTTCACTTGCTTGGCTTCCCATCCAAGAAGCTTCTTCAGTTTAACTGACTAGTGGGGAACGGAAGGATTTAAAGGGACAGATGCGGGAGTGGTTAGATGCCCCTTTGGTGTTAAAAGTAGACATCCTCTTCCATAAGTGTCAATTGGGGCATGAAAATCAGCCGGGCTGCTTTGTTGTGTCTTAAAAGGGCTCCGTATTCTCTCATATTCTTGGTTTTACTTTCAGAAAGATGATCTAGAAGCTTCTAGCTCTGAATTAAGTGATGGTTTGGCTCTATCAGCAGAAGATAAAGAAGAACCTCAGTCTAGGGATGCTCTAGTGACAGGGACTGCGCGAAAAAGGACTCAGACACTTCCAAACAGGAAATGCTTTGAGAGCTTTTCTTCCAACAGGCGAAACCAAAACATGGACAGAACAGACATTTTCAGTAGCAACTTTTGGTCATCCTCATCCTCTTCCTCCATGGTCCATCCCAGTCCTAATTCTCCCTCAGGAAGTCACAAAAGAACCTTGTCTCAGGGAATTTCTAAACTGTTCGGCTTCACACAAGCCTCAGATTCTGGCAGTCTCCGCAGTTTGGGGCAGGGTCCTACAAGGGAGGCTGACAACAGTTCTTCAGGCCAACTAAGAGAGGAGTTTGGACCATGTTTACAAATGAATGACCCTCCCAGGTCTAAAGAAAATGGCACTACAATTCTGGAGCTCTCATTTGAGGAAGACAACTTATATCCAGAAGACCCTGAACTGCTTAGGAAGATGATTGCGGAGCTGAAACAGGAGCTGATGGCACAGAAAAATACCCATGAGGAGCAAATTAGAAGGTAATTAGAATCAACCTTGGTTGATTCCGTTTCTTTCTCCAACCAACTAACTCTACAGGTAGTCCTCAACATATGACTGTTCATTTAATGACCATTCAAATTTATGACAGTGCTGAAAAAAGGGCAGGCATTTTGGTGCAGGGTCTTAATTTGGATTCCAGTAGGGAACAAGTTCTGGACTTCAGGGCCCTTCCAAGTCTGTAAGATTAATATATTACATTTTGCAGAGGCAGCAAAATTGGATGCACTGAAAATTAGAGATTTTAATGCCATGTTTTGTTGTGCATTTTGCCGGTATTGTCAGGATGGGTTACCATTGCCCAATTCCACTTGAGAATCATTATGCCATCTAGGTCCAAGACCCAGGAGGTGACATTCTATGAGTCAAACTGTCTGCTGCTGCCCATGTGAACCTAAAGCTTTAGGGAGAACTGAGCACGGGTGGTGGCCCCAGCTTTTCTGCCTCCTTCCTCCTCTCCATACAGGAGTAAGGGACTCGCTCCTTTGAATCCTGGTTTGATATCCTTTGCTGTTCCTTTTGCAGCCTTGAGAAGGAAAACTTTGAAGTCTGGACCAAAGTGGTGAGGCTTAATAAACAGATTGAAGAAGAAAAGGCTAAATCTGCAGAGTTGGAATCTGAGCTCCAGAACCTTAAACGTTCCAGGGAGGTCAACGAGGAGAACCAACACCACGAAGACTTGTTGAAGTCCGCCGGTCAGTTGCCCACAAGAATTGAGCAGAGGACAGAGTGTGCAAGCCAGCTGTGATTCCTCTCTGTCAAAGGACTGTTGCACTTACACTTGTGTAAGTCGGTACAGAACCCCTGGTGGGTTCACCAAGATGGTTGCTTCTGGCAGCTCTATATATAATACCTTTTCAATTAAGAAATTTTATTCCCGTTTATGAACGATAAAAACAAAAACAAAGGGGTCTTAAATAAGTAAACTTTATGTTTTTCTGTTCTGTTCTTTGCAATCCATATGATCTCTGTTTCTGGCAGTGCAGTGCAGAGTTCAGACCTTTTATAATCCTTCCAGATATTTTTTGGCCCTGTGACCCTGCTTGATAGAACCAACCACTGAGTGGGCTCAGAAGAGAAAAATATAAGGAAGCTATTTTGGCATCTGACTGGCCTGAGATTTGCAAGGGAGAAAGAGTGAAAATCCACTTCAGCTTTTACATGCTCCACCATTTGTGATCATTTATGGTTATACAGGTGGTTCTTGGATGCCAAAATGACATTGCTGGTTTGGCATTAGAACTCTTGGTTAGGTTGTAATAGGAGTGCCTTCTGTTTTCCCTTTCCAGAAAGTAAGCTGTCTTGCGCTGCCCCTGCTTATCCTGACAGTGAGAACAATTAATTGATGGAACAGCTTGCCTACTGGAGTTGTGAGACTCCATCGCTAGAGGTCTTCAAGAAAAGATTGGACAGCCATTTGTCCAGGATGGAATAAGGTCTCCTGCCCTTGAGTAGGGGGTTGGACCAGAAGACTCCCAAAATTCCTTCCAGCCCTAGGATTCTATGCTCTATGTTCTAATGAAGCTGACCAAGAAAAACATAAGTCCTATGTCAAGCTCCGGCTTGGTTCACGGAAGTATCTTTGTATTTATCTTGGCAACAGTGCTGAAGTTCATCATTAGCTGAACACCTCTCAGAAGGATCAAACCAAAAAATAAGTGCTAGAAAATAGCAGCATGATGTAACAGCCTCATGTATCTGATGCTTCTCCAGAATGATTTGAGAGGCAATAGAAATCTACAAACATCGAACCAGTTCAAGGGGGTTAGCAATGGCCTTCTGTGTGAGTGTTGGTTGTGGGAATTTGGTTCTGTTGAACACAAGAACAGAAGATTTGACATCGAATGGCCAAGTTTGATTTCACATCTACTCCAAAGAGCATCCTGAATGTCTAGCACATTGTCAGCACATATTCATCAGTTCAAGGCATTATCTAGAAGTCATTTCACTAGTGGTTTGCCAATTCTCTCTTCTGAGATTGTTTTTTTAATTCAGTCTAAAGTCTTGCCATGTTCTAGTGGTGTTTCATTAAAGTATTAACTAGGACTAATCTGCTTAATTTTGGGGGGGTTTAAGGATCAGGTCTAAAACTAGATCTAAATCTCAAACGTGACAACTTTAAGATGTGTGGACTTCAATTCCCAGAATTCCCCAGAATGTGGCTGGCTGGGGAATTCTGGGAGTTGAAGTCCACATATCTTAAAGATGCCAAGGTTGAGAAACATTGGTCTAGAATAGATGCTATTTGGTGATAGCATTTAGATTTGTCCACAAAACCACAAAAAGTTGAATAAGAGTAGAGAGTAGCCTGGAATAGTATACAGTAGACTCACAGCTAAATCTGTTAAATTTATTTGCCGCCTACAGTAGCCCCCATGGTGAGATAGGCGGCAAATAAATTTAACAAATAATAAGAGAATGCTAGCAGCCGATGCAAGATCAGTGATTTAGTGAGGATTTCTCTACCAATAGCATATAATACCTTTCACCAGGTCAAATCAAGCCAAACTTCTAGATATCCATCAAAGAGCAGGGATAGGTTTGCTCAGTTTCTGCAAACTGCTAAATTTCAGTGAAGGTGAATCTGGGACATAAACCACTTTCTCTCTGTCCGTGTGATCTGTGAATGGAAGGAAATATTCCTTGGTGCAACCCCTGACATCTTCCATCAATCTGTCCTGTCCTCTTTAAAAGGCACTTAAAAGACATGACAAGTAACATTCCACATCAAGTCCTTGTCACTTTGCATAATTGGGCAGAGCAGTGGCTGAGTATAAACTTTTGGGAGGAACTCTCTCCCCCCAACCCTGGGGAGGAAAAAATCTCACACTCTGCTTTGCTGCTACTTCCCAAAAAATATCCTTCAGCAGAACCATTCACATTTATTATGTCCATATTTCTTTTTATGACGTCGATCAGCTTGGCTGAGCAGTAAAGCGCTCTGAACCAGGGCTAGTGGGGTCAGTTTCGCATAAATGGACAATTCCTCCACTTCCTTAGTTAGGGGCTTCCTTGCACAAAGCGGGATTCGTCTCTTCGGATGAGTCTCCACCAGCGAAAAGGCATGAGGGTTGCTTGAAGCTGACGGAAGGAAGGGCTTGCAGGCTTGAAGGTCAAGTCAGTGGAAAATTGAGCTGCTAATGGTTATATTTTTAGAGGGGGCATTGACCTTCCTCAAACAGGACATCTGGAAACATCTGCTGAAGAATGAAAACATGCCCTCTGACTTGATGCCTGGACAGCCAATGCTGGCTTAGAAAATGGGAATAGCTGCTGAAAGAGGGCCCCACTTGCTCCTGAATTATCTGTTTTTTCTACTATATGGGTTCCTTTTACAATTTATTTTTATCTAGTTTATAAGAACAGCTATAATTCCTTCCTCCCTCCCTCCCTCCCTCCCTCCCTCCCTGTCTGCCCTCTCTCCCCTTTCCCCTCCCTCCCTCCCTCCCTCTCTCTACCATGAACAATAGTTTGGAGTGAAAAGGTGAAGCATCTATCTAATCAATAAATTATAATAAAGGTTTGATTTATGATTTCTTTGTGCATCCTCAGACATAACTTCTTGCCACGGCCACCAATGCCATTTTTCTCCATTGCTTTTGTCCACTGAAGACTGTGCCTATTATTTCATTTTACTTTCACCGCTTCTACAGATTTTACCTGCTCAACAAGACTTTGGATGGGGCTCTTTCTCTGGGAAAGGCCCAAGAGAATTGTCTCCCTTTACAATGGTAGTAGCACTATACCTTCAGTGTCCGTTTGTGCTTTGCAAAATAAGGCAAGCAAAATGATACTTCATTAGAAGAGAATGACCAGGGGTGACAGGATAGGAGTGTTCCAAAGAAGAGGAGATCAACCTATTCTCCAAAACACCAGGAGGCAGAACAAGAAGCGATGGATGGAAACTAATCAAGGAGAGAAGCAAACTAGAATTAAGGAGAAATTTCATAGCGTGAGAACAATCAACCAGTGGAACAACTTGCCTCCAGAAGTTGTGGGTGTTTTATCACTGGAGGTTTTCAAGAAGAGATTGAACAACCATTTGTCCAGCATGGTTGGCTCAGGAATTCTGGGAGTTGAAGTCCATGAGTCATAAAAGAGCCAAGGTTGCCTGCCCCTGGTATAGGAGCTCCTGCTTTAGCAGGAGGTTGGACTAGAAGACCTCTTCTAATCCTGTTATTCTGTGTTCTGTGTGAATTCATCAAAAACACTATCACTGGGGATTCCAACTTAGAACTAAGGAGAACTGACCTAACAGTGGGAACAACTAATCAATGAAACAATTTGCCTCCAGAAGTTGTGGATGCTCCATCTTAAGAAAAAGATTTGTCCGCGGTGGAATAAGATCTCCTGCCTTGGGCAAGGAGGTGGACTAGAAGATCTCCAAAGTCTCTTCTAGCCCTGTGATGATTCTATGTTGGACAGCAAGGTTTTTGTAGACTTCTATTCATTTGGCTTACCTGGGCGGCTGCGAGGCTTTTCTCTCTTCTCTCTATTTCTCTCTTCTTTCATGCACCCCACTCAGACAGGTCTCTCCTCCCAAGGAACCCCCTTGCTTCACCCCTTGAGTGATCTGCTTGCAGAAGCCCTAACTTTGTGGCTCTCTCTGGGGGCCCTTGCATGCACTGGTTTACCCACCACTCTATCATCTGAGCAGCTGGTTCAGCTTGTGAAAATTTGACTTATCGTGTGTAAAGACATGATGTGATATTTAGGCCCTCTTGACAAAATGTACTGATAAGAAGGACGGGAGGAAGGGAATGTGGCTTTAATCTGCGGCTGCTGCCTGCTGGCAACTGTTGAATCTCCTGAGCTATTTTCAGCCCTGTGACTTTCTCAGGCCCACCCGCTGGGGAGGGGGCAAAATTGTGTGTACACATGCAAGAGGCTACATTAGCCGCTTCTTAGTGAAATTGACACAGACGCAGGAGAGAGTGCAATGATGAATTAAATTAAATTCCCAACTATCTTTCAAGTATCTCTCCTTCCTTGCTCTGGTGGAGAATTTGTTCCCCATCCATGTTTCTCTACATTTCCTTCAAATTTGAAATAGATTGGGAAGCTTAATGTTTTAGATCAAGCCCAGTCCAAAAATACTCTGAAATTTCTGCAATGGCCATCAATAGTCAATATCATTCAAAAGATATAATCAAAAGTCCAGGAAGGAAACAACATAGAATAGTTTCCCTCTAGCAACCAACACCCAGAGAAGCAGGAAACTATCAGGGAAGAAATAATAAATTAATCAAGGAACCAGCAAGGAGAAAACAAGACACACCCTCCCCATGTTTCTGAATCTCAGCAATTTAAGAGAGAGTAATAACTCCAACTCCTCCAATGAACGAGGATTAGCACTGATGATGTTACCTAGTTGGGTAATAAAGATCTTCAAAATCACAACTAAGCTCAAATAGCACTGAGGATCGCATTGTTCAACCTTGAGCTACAAATATTCTCTTCTATCAAATGAGGATTTAAAATGAGGCATTAAGTATGGGGGATGTACAGAGTTATTTCTGGTAGCGCTTAATGGGCCATTGCTCAGTCTTAAAGATGAGATTTTAATATTTGCCAACAGATAAAAAATGGCTTATGGGATGAAGAGAGTTTTGATTGAAATACTAGAGGAGGTGTTAAGCTATTGAAAGTGTTTCTACTTGCCTTGGTGAAAGGCAAAGTTATTTTTTTCTGTATTTTTGCTTTTCTTTTTTTTAATATATTTTCTGTTTTCTCTATTTTGCACTTTGTATTTTTTTTCTTGATTATATTTTTCTTAGTTTGTACAGTACTAGTTTTTCATTTTCATAGTTTTAAAGATCAATTAAATTATTATCAAAGTGTGGTCTGGGGACTCTGGGGGACACCAAGACCTTTTCAGGTCATACGGAAAGTTAAATGCATCAATATTTTAAAAAATTCTCAAGATTAATTTCCAATACACTAAATCTCAATAGATATAACCCATGTAAACATTTAAACTAAATTTGTGTATCAGTGATTGCATGACCTCTGTAAATGCCATACGCTAAATAAATAAAATAACCCACGTAAGCCAAAGATCTTTGGTGTTTCCAATCACTTGTAAGAACATAATGGGATAGAATCATAGAATCCTAGGCTTGGAAGGGACCTTGGAAGTCTTCTAGTCCAACCCTCTGCACAAGACAGGAGATCTTAGTGCATCCTGGACAAGTGGTGCTCCAATCTTTTCTTGAAGACCTCCAACAATGGAGCACCCACACGAAGGCACGTTCTTCCATTGATTAACTGTCCTCACTGCCAGGAAATTTCTCCTTAGTTCTAGGTTGGATGTCTCTTTAATGAGCTTCCACCCACTGCTTCTTCTCCTGCCCTCAGCTGCTTTGGAGAATAAGTCAACCCCCTCTTCTCTGTGGCAGCCCCTCAAGCACTGGAAGACAGCCATCGTGTCACTCCCTCATCCTTCTTTTCGTTAGGCTGGACACATTTAGTTCCCGCAACAGTTCACCATACAATTTATCCTTCAGACTTTGTTGCTCTTCTCTGCACGTCATCCAAAATCCAAAGGCGTCTAGGAGCGCCTTTTCTGACTTACAGATTTTATAAAGTGGCAAAAGCTTTTGGGAACTGCAGCGAAAGCTGATGCCTTTTAATCAGATTTGTGAGTTGCAAAAAGTGGTTTCAGACTCCTGATGCTTTGCCTCTTTTGCTGTGCCAAGAAAGAATGTCACACACATCCATGTACAAATCCTCTCCAGAACGTTAATCCCATGATCAATCACACGTGGCAGGGAGGGTGAAGGTTAAGCCAAGGATTAGCCAAGCCTTTCATCTCAGATTCCAGGTGCAACATTTACTTGAGGGAGAAGGAGGTTTGCGTTTCTTCTGCAGGTTTTAACTCTGCTTTGCGTGGGTGGTGACAGTTCAGGAAATGGGTTCCCACAATAAATCTCTGTAAGCAGTGATTGAAAATACTCTAATCTCTGCCAAGATAAGGAGTTGCTACAGCAAAGGACAACATAAACCTGGAAGTGATGGACGCTGGGAATGCTATATGGCTGTGGAGCCCCTCTGACCATGCTCGGCAATCCAGAGATGCCCCAGCATTTAAACCTTTTTCCTTTAACTCAACACACACTTTTCAACACCATCTTTGGCTTGCACCCTGCTTAACCTCATCAGCACACTGCCCAGTGACACTTGGGTTGGAAGTGAGAATGGAAAGATAGTGACAATTTGAAGCAGCCAGCGTGCTCTCAGGAGGAGTCCTGCCTTGGGGAGGGACAGCTGCATGACACCTCTTCTCCTCACCCATCCATAATTCATGTTGGGAGAGGTCCCATTCATAAACAGCCATCAGGCAAAACCATCCCCTACGACAGGAGTGAGGATCTCCGTCCCCACCAGAGGCAGGTGATTCGAAAGCCGCCCTAGAACCATCTCCAAAATGACTGATTTTGTCCTTCTGTTCTTCTGACTGAAATTGGGATACATTCCCAAGGGGTAGGTGTGTATGTGTGTGTGTGTGTGTGTGTGTGTCCCTTCTCACCCCTCTGAATGGTCTGTGTCTTCCTCAATCTCAAATCTTCTACCAGAGGCCTGGGACTCTGAAGATTCTGTGCAGTGTTCAGATGTTCCTAGCAGTGCACTCTTTTGGACAGAGAGCCCTGATGCTGTTCCTGGGATCCCTTGGAGTCACTATATGCAGGTAGTCCTCAGCTTAAGACCACAGTTGGGAATACAATTTCCATTGCTAAGCAAGGCAGTTATTATCCGAGTGTTGCCTGATCCTTCATCCCTTAGCAGTACCTGTAAGGTCTGCAAATTTTACTCCGTTCTGTTACAAAAAGCCAAATGCTTCCATCTGTGATTTCCTCATATTTATAGTCAAAGCAGCAGCTCTACTTTGGATCAGACTTTGAGTCACACTGGGCAGCTTTTTGTTAGCTCCTACTCCAAGTAGTTATGCCCTGATCTGGTCCTGATCGGATGCTGAGATGCTGATGCTGACACCCTGGAGAGTGTGCAGAGAAGAGCAGCAAAGCTTATAAGAGTACTGGAGAACAAACCACATGATGGATGGTTGAGGGAGCTAGCTGGATCTAGTCTATCAAAGAGAAGGATTGGCAGGGACAAGGTACTATCTTCCCGTACTTGCTACAGAAAAAAGGAGCTGACTTATTCTCCAGAGCACCTGAGGGCAGGACAAGAAGTAACAGGTGGTCATTTACTGAATAAATACTATTGATTGATTGACATCTAAAGTGCTTAGATTTCTCCACAGAGAAATACGATATAAGTTAGTATCTGTGCAAAAGCAGAAACATCTGGAGCAGATGGGAGGTTGAGGGTTCCCGCAGCAGCTATCCTGAAGAACGAAGGCTCACCTTAGCGGTGAGGATTGTGAGGGATCACTCCAAAGCCTGTTGGAGATTTGTGCAGCAATTGTGGCCAAAATTGGCCTCAAGACACAATCAGAAGTCTTGCCAGAATTCACTATGTGTTTGAAAATGGAATGTTTCCAGCAAAATTGGAATATGGGGGCAAATTCACCAGCTCTCAGTTTTTGCTGTATGAAAAAAAAAATACACTCTCTATATTCAAGGACCTTAGGCTTGAAAGTGATTGTATGCTGGATGTCACTGTATTTTGTATTAAATCGTGAGATGAAAAAACAAGGACAAATTAATATATTAACAAAGACAATGAAGAAGAAAGTTCATTGAAATTGGGGGATGATATTAGCATCATCATGGTTCAATATGTATAGGATTACCCAAGTGTGTTTGGTAAACATACAAGCACAAAAATAAAACATTTTATATTCTACATTATATTACAAGGACAACAGTCAATAAATAGATCAATAAATAATGGCTGCAGGGACAAAGGTTAGGTAGGTTTCAGCAAGTCCTTGGCAAGTGCTTTGCATGAGAATTCTCCTGAAAGTTGGTGATCTCAAAGACCAGCTTCTCTCTCTCTCTCTCTCTCTCTCTCTCTCTCTCTCTCTCTCTCTCTCTCTCTCTCTCTCTCTCTCTCTCTCTCTCTCTCATTCTCTCTCTGCGGAGATAGCTTTTCCTTAAAAGTATAAAGCAGTGGTGGGGCTTAGTACAGTAAGCCCAGAAAGGGCTGGAGACACAACGTCAATTACACTTTCCAAAGAATCTGACCAATTTCCAGCTTAGTATAAATAAAGCACCACCAGGCCTATTTTTTCCTCAACTCCAACACCTTCTTATCGCAATGATTTGTCGGAGAGGAGTGGTGGAAACTTGACATGTGACCTCCATTGTACACATGAGGAACTGTCTCATGAATTGACAGCCCCTTTCAGTCCAAAAAGTCTTGAAATTTCAGCGCAAAAAAAAAAATCCTCCCCTCCTCCCCAATTTTAACGGTGATTAGAAGAGCAATCCGCCTCAAGCAGCCAGATTCCGAATTGCGTTTGTTTCATTGGTGCGATGCAATAGTGATCAAGTAGGACATTTATGCAAGAGATGAGTAGGGTTTGTATCATGTGCACCCCAATCCAAATGGCGTGTCGAAAGCAGTTAGAGGCAATTACTTTGAGGGATGTCTTGGTTATGCTATCTGAAGGGCTCCACTAAACTGACTATGCAGAACAATCCTGAGAGGGATGAGGGAGTAGCAAAGAACTTTCCAGAAAGAGATTTGGAAGGGAGAGACTTTCTGAGCAACATTAGCCGCTAGGCAAGATTCTTTTCTGAGTAAGCAAGGAAATAAGGAAAACATTATGACTTAGATTCACACAACGGTTTGCTTTTGGCTTGGTGTGTTGCATGAATTGTGGTTTATTTAATAAATCACGGTTAATAAAACCATGGCTTAGTGAGCAGTATGAACCCCACATGTCACAGCTTAGGAAGGTTTTCTTGAACTTCTCCCAGGGAAAGTCTAAGGGGAGCATTTGACTGCCCCTCTGTTGGAAAGAAAAGCTCCTTGCTGGGGTTTTAGGGCAAGAGATCACCACTAAGAAGGGCAACAGCTTCCTTCCAGAACTGGTTTCCTCTCCAAGGGACAGTAGAATGGAACTGGCAGTGTTATCATACTAGGCAGTGAAGACAGAAATCAAAAAAGGCTGGAGAGTTCTTGGAGGTAATTCAGTAAAGCAGCCATATTTTTTCCAGAGGTGTGATAAGAAATGGCAGCTTTGGGGCTTTTGCTATGTTTTCTGACAACTGTTGGCTCAGTTGTAGCGGCCGGAAATTAGAAAGAACTGAACAGGATTGCTTAAGTGGTAAAATGTCTGGGATGAACAACTGAAGAGGAAGATCTGTGATGTTTTGGGAGCTCTAGCTGAAGCTAAGGAGATGCCTCTGCTTGCTGCTGTCTAGGAGGCCAATTGTCTCCTCCCATCCCCATTCTCCCCTTTGCTCCAAGCCATCGTTCCTAAACTGTTGCCTGTCTCCAATGTCCCTTTTCCTTGTTCAATGAATTGACTGCATCTCAAAATTGTTCAGATGGAACCATGAAATCCCATCAAAGCCAAAAACAACGTGCAAGAGCCCCCTCTCCTGCTACTATCTGCAGCCACATTCTGAGACGGACATGCCCTCATAGTTTTGCTTGAAGGTGACTATCCCTTTATCCAAGAAGAGCAACGAGATGGGGTCTAGCTTGGTTGGGACGCAACAGGCGGGAGAAGCTCTCTGGGGATCATTCAAATGAACGGATGTCTGGACCATGGCATGGGTGGTCGACTGACTGCCATCCAGAGGAAAGCTGCAGGCTCCTTTGCACTGGTAGGCATCGTAGCCAGCAGGTGCAATGATCCAGGAATCCCAGCCAATCTCCTTGAAATCCACATAAAGAGATGTCTTCTTGCAGGTGCTTCCCTTGGCATTCCTCCTGATCCTGGACGTTGAGTCATAGATGATGTTGGACCTGATCTGGAGCAGATCATTGGGGCTGCTGGAGAAATCTTGCAAATCTAAATCTGGCCACTCTTCCACCTGCTCATGCTCCATCATCTCCTTCAGCTCATAGATCTCCTCTTTCTTGGCATGACTGTGATCGTCTGAAAACACAATTAACAACGGCTTGTGTTTGGTCTCCAAATTGATGTCTATGCCTCTGTGTCTTCCTGGGTTGGGATTCTCTCCCCCTCGGAACTCCACCTGCACCTCTAGCCAGTGAGTGGTAGAGTCAGAGTGATGCCACTTCCTGATGGCTTCTGTCACTTCAAATGTCTTCCATTCATTGTCAGTGCTGTAAATAAATCTGGACGCCAGCACTTGCAGCTTCCTCTCATCTCCCTCTTTTCCTCCTCTGTGTTCGCCCTCCAGCACTTCCACAATGGTGATCTTCCTGTCGAGGTTTTCATAGAGGGGTTTGTCCTCCGCCAGGGTGTAGAGCCTCAGTTCAGCCATGGTTATCTTCTCATGGTGTGGGATGGAGACATTGAAAAGGAGAGGATACCTCTGTATTCCATTAAAGTGTAGGGGCCGGGAACTCTGTTCTGAAAATGTTTTTAAAAAATCGTATTATATTTTATGTTGATACAGGATGTACCCAATAAAGTACTGTCACTATTGCACAACACCGTTTAACCTGCCTAAATCTAGTTTCGAACTGACATTGAGAGACAGGGCTGGCCCCAGAAACCAGCAGACCGGGGAGTTCTGATATGGAAGCTGGCTGAGTGACTGGATCAGTCCCTCTCTTTCAGCCCAACCCACCTCACAGGGATGTTGTGCAGAAAATAGGAGGAGGAAAGAAGGTACGTTCACTGCCTTGGGGTATATATGGAAAAACAGGAGGATAAAAATATTGATGTTGCAGTTTTGGAGAAATAAATTGATTTTCTGTAACTAAACTGCTAAGTGGCCACAGGGGAAAGTTAAATTGGAGAAAAATATGGAAAAGATATCACTTCTGGAACAAAAACCTGTCCTAACTATTGACAATGGAGGGGCCAGTAATAAAAGAGGCAGAAAAATCTATTAATCAAGTGAAGGCTTTGTGACAAAATGGCAGGCTGAGCCATTGCAAAGAACTTCTAACCGGGTGAACATCATAAAGCAGAATACAGCTTTGGCTATTGCACCTTGATGAGGTCCATTTGAGAACAAGGGATTTATAATTTCATGGCCTTTACCAGAAGAAGTTCTAATTTTTTGTAGGTAGGCGCAATACATAAAAGACATAACACTTATTCATAGATACTATAGACCGGGGACCATGAAGAAGGCTGATTGTAAGGAGCAGCAGAAATCTAGCTGAGAATGTGGTCCATAGTCCATGAACGTCTACTCTATAACACAGTTGGAAGATATGCCAAGTTCTTGGCTTTTTGAAGATCATAATTATATGCCTTTATACTATGATCCATGGAAATGAGTATCAGCAGCATGATCTGTAGTTAGGAAGAAGCATTTTGCAGTAAGGCATCTTAACACTGACATATGGCTAAATAAATTGTACACTCAAGCACTCTGTCTTAAGTAAATCTTACATTGAACTGTTAAAAATATTTGCAAAAACCAATTTCTGCAAGCCAGAAATATATCCCTATATGTATAATACAAGATAGCCATGGGCTATCAAACTGGTGTTTATAAGAACTGTTTTGTACTACAAAGTTTCAAAGAAAAATGTATATTTTGAAAATCCTTGCTTGTAAATTAACATGACGCCCTTGAAAAACAGCTTGCCCATGGAATTCCACCTCTGTAGGATAATGCCGGAGAGTATGCAATGGCAGCATCTTTAAGGATTTCATTAGATGTTCAAAACTTACACAAAACACACAATCTGGCTGAATGTAGCCCAGCCCAGCTGAGGAATACTGTACAGCAATTAGCCTGCAGTGTGAAAGTCAACTAGCTGGGAGATTTGATGCGCCCCATTAAGCAGTAAGACAACTCAGCACTATACCAGCTGAATCTCTTTGCTATTATCTTCTCTCTCAAACTTCCTCTCTGCTCCGCTAAAACAATAATCTTCCTTTCCTCTAGTTACAACTGTAATCTAACAACGAAAAGCCAGTGAGATAATTGGCTACTCATCCCATTCGGTTGCTCCTCCTAAAGTTGTGAGGCAAGTTCAAGAGCTTACCTTCATTTTTGAAGCTTCTAACAATATTGGCTGATGGCGTCAAGGTCTTGTCCCTGGCAAACCTATTGTAGAGCTCTAACATGTATTCTGGAGGGTCCGTCTTGGCTGCCTCTTGCAGGGGGATCCCTGAGAGATTAAGTGCTTTCATGAGCTCGTTCTGCAAATTCTGAAGCAGCGCATCCTGTTCATCAAAGAAAGGCACCTCTTCATCCATAAGGGGTACATCTAGACTCGTTATGGGGCTCCCATCTGCAAGGTAGGCCAGAAGAGAAGCAGTGGCCCAAATCTGGAAGGCTACAGACTCCATGACTTCATTCAAAGTGGCCACACGGCTCTACCAAGTTTGCTGGGTGCGGTCTAAGTGGCTCTTTTATCCCCCCGCGAGGGTTATATACGGCTTGTGTCACCGAGGGTGGACAAGTTTGGAACTTGTGATTAGTCTCTCTCCCATTCTTATTCCCCACACCCCCTTTTTCCAGGTCTCAGTAATTGGACGTGGCCTGCTCTGTCTCCTATGGTAGCTTTCCCTCTCTTATCTCCTGTAGTGTAAGCTGTCCACCAGATTTCTGCTGCTATCTCACAACCCCTTTTTCTCTTAATGAGCATTTTGTAAACATTCAACATTTAGATGCTCCAAAAGAGAGGAATATTTTTCCTTTTTGCAGAAGACCTGATTGCCCAGCCCCAGCTACTTTTGGCCTAGCTGACTGCATTATTTTTTTTAATTCTGTCTCTTTGTTGATTTTTTGGCTAAAAGTGGAAGAGATGGTAACTCGGTGTCTTGCTCCTACAAGTTTCTGCTATTACCTATGACTTCCCTAAAGAGAAGGGGGAAAAAGGAAGTGATTGAAGATAAAGATTTAAAGCCTGTGATGGTGTGAGGGCTTCTTACTTTAGAGAGCAGTTTCCATGTTCAAAATAAATTTTGTCTATTGTGATGAAACAGTTGCATGATAGTCTAAATTGCTCATGTCAATCTATCTATCTGTCCTTCTATCCAGTCATTAGTTCATTTTTTTCTCTATTGAAATATGCCTAGTAATATCCAAGACTGGTATTTTTAAACATTATTAAAATATTCCAAATATAATACATATCTCAAAAGTGAACACTTAATCATTGCACTAGATTTGTATATATTCAAGTGAAACATTCTATTCTATTCTATTCTATTCTATTCTATTCTATTCTATTCTATTCTATTCTATTCTATTCTATTCTATTCTATTCTGGCTCAGGAATTCTGGGAGTTGAAGTCCACGAGTCATAAAAGAGCCAAGGTTGCCTACTCCTGGTGTAGGTAATAACAACTCTATTCTTTCTTTGGTGTGAGAAAACAGACAATCGTGGTCAGGAGATGAAGATGGGAACTACCCAAAGCCTTTTCCTTCCTCCTCTGCACATTGGTGGATGATCTGAGGATGGTCATCTGCACGGAATTTAAATTTAGACAGCACCAGAGAGCCCAACCCCAAGGGAATAAATTAGCCGACTGAATGCAGCAGAAATATGTCATTGAATAGTGCTTAATTTTTATTTGGAGATTATTGGAAGATTCTCAGGGTCAATGGAACAAAGAAATTGTTGCTTCTGAAAAGGGAGGAAATTCTTGCAGGACATTTCTGGAATTCTCCCATTTGTCAACCCCTTATTTCGTTGCAAGTTTGGTATTCATTTGGGTGTCCGATAAGGAGAAGAGTCTCTGTCATGACATTGACAAAAGCAAGATGGCTGGCCAAAATCTTTGCAGAAATGTTCAACTTATTCCCCGCCTTCTGTTGTCATGTTATTTCAAGACTGACATTCTTATCCTTAAGGAACATTCCAGGGAGAAGCTCTAAGAACTCTCAAGTGTCAGAATTTCCCAGAAGCATTTTCTGCTTCAATGAGCTTCTCTCAACTTTGCTTTGACTCAAAGGAGTTGAATTACAGTCTGGCCTGAAATTAGCATATTCCAAGTTAAACTCGCTGCTGGAGAATCTTAACAGGTCATCTTAGCATATCTTTTAATTCAACTCATCAGATTAAGAAAAATCTCTGCATTTCTCTGGTTAATAAAACAAAATGGAGACTTCTCTTGTAGGTCAACAGACTTGGGACACAAGAAGGCCCCTTCCTCCTTTCTCACTGTGTGGGATTCCTGAACCCAAAACCCAGCTCTGAGAAGAAAAAATGGAAATATGGCTCCAAGTTCAGGTGAAATTAAAGAAGAATCTGAATTCTTTTACCAGTCTGCCCCAAACTAAAAAAATTGTGATTCCTTCCTACTTAGAGGCATCCATCCATGGCCTCTTTGAATTATATTCTATTATTTGATCCAATTTCTGTCTAGTTTTATAGAAGATGGCTTAAGTGAAATATTTGTTTTTGAAATGTAAAATCCCTTTGAGTTGCAATGAATTCAACTCTTGCTGACTAAATGGATAACACAATCATGCATCCATACAAAAACAGTTCTTCTAGGAAAGTTCTTCTGGGGCCCCTCCATTTGGCTCAATATGATAATAACAAGCTCTCAGTTTTTGCTATATGAAAAAAATATACACTCTCTATAGTCAAGGACGTTAGGCTTGAAAGTGATTGTATGCTAGATGTCACTGTATTTTGTATTAAATCGTGAGATGAAAAAACAAGAACAAATTAATATATTTACAAAGACAATGAAGAAGAAAGTTCATTGAAATTGGAGGATGATATTAGCATCATCATGGTTCAATATATATAGGATTACCCAAGTGTGTTTGGTAAACATACAAGCACAAAAATAAAACATTTATAGTCTATATTATATTACAAGGACAATAATCAATAAATAGATCAATAAATAATGGCTGCAGGGACAAAGGTTAGGTGGATTTCAGCAAGTCCTTCGGTAAGTGCTTTGCATGAGAATTCTCCTGAAGGTTGGTGCTCTCAAAGACCAGCTCTTCTCTCTCTCTCTCAGGTGGCTGTCCAGTTTCTTCTTGAAATCCTCCAGTGATAGAGCAGCCACAACTCTTGAAGGCAAGTTATTCCACTGATTAATTGCCCTCACTGTCAGGAATTTTCTCCTCAGTTGTAGGTTGCTTCTCTCCTTTAGTTTCCATCTTCTCCTTCTGCTGCTTTGGTAAATAGTTTGTCTCCTTCATGTTTGTGTCAGCTCCTCAAATATTGGAACACTGCTTTCATATCTCCGCTAGTCCCTTCTTTTCTCTAGATTAGATATACCCAATATTTAGACATAGACATACCCATACATTTCCTTCTGGGTATGGAAACACGGGCATGGTGGTGCTTAATTTCCCCATTGGCTATCATTTTATTGCACAATACCTCCTAAACCGCTAGTGCAGTGTTTCTCAACCTTGGCAACTTTAATATGGGTGGGTGGACTTCAACTCCCAGAATTGCCCAGCCAGCATTCACAAACACATGGCACAACACAGGAGAACAAATCTCTCAGGACAAGATTCAGCAGTCCAACTGCATCTGAAAGCCAAAGGTCACTCTTTTGAAGACAGCAAAGTCCACATTCAGGATGTAGAGGACGGCTGGTTTGAAAGAGGGGTCAAAGACGCCATCTATATTAAAAATGAATGACCATCTCTTGACAGAGGAGGAGGGATATGATACCACCTATCTTCTGTCTAATAACACAGTCCTTTCAATAGTACCAGGAAGGCTCCACACCCATTGGCATTCTGATTCAGGTGTCCCTGAAAGTACAGATAAACCCTTGAGTGGCCTCAAAGACTCTTACAGAGCTTCAGAGGTAACAACCAGATGACCGCAAAGAATATAAATCATTCCATTCCCCACCATTCAGCCAGAACTGAAGAAGCTTTTTGGATGAGAAGCAAAATATTTTCAAGGAAAAACTGAAAAAGGTTCAGCTGCCTTTTGAACAGCATCTTTGGGGCAACCATGACCGGATAGTTGAGAATCTCCGTAGACATTGACCCATCTTAAAGTTGCCAAGGTTGAGAAACATTGCTACTAGAGCTTCTGTGCAATAAACACCATTAAATCCTATCCACAGAGAAACTAAGCACCGTTCTGCCAATGCTGTCCTACCCATGCATCTCGGCACATTCTTCCGGCCTTGCTAGCCAAAGTGAATGAGCGTGCAAGAGGCTCGCGCGTCAGTCCTTTTCCCAAGCTAGCCTGGCAGACACAATTGCTCAAGAAGGTGCCGAAAGCCGCTTATCTCAGGAGTGCATGGAACAACCGCTCTCCTGTCTCATCAGCAACCCCTGGGTGCAAGAAGCCCGGCCTTATCTCCAGCAGAGTGCTCTGGATTAGCTCTCCAAGTAATGCCCTGGGGACATCATGCAAAGAACGGGTTTGTGTCAAACACCTCCGAACATTCCCTGGGCAAACGTGACAGTCACCAATGTTTCCATTTAGGAAAACTGTACCTGTTCCCTATTGGGAAGTCAAGTAGGGCAGTAAAATATATTTAGCTGCTTTGTTTAATAGTAAAAAATTTCCTCAATGGGCAGGAATTGCTTAGAGGGGGCAAAGCTGTCTTTCAGGGTGCAGTTAAAGGGGCATAGAAGAAAAGGATTACAAAACCCCTGTCCTATTGTTCAGTGTCACGTGCCACCATTTCACTTATAGAAGAGACTATTTGTAGCTCAGACTTGTACTATGGGTTATTTTGTGCTATCTGAGCTTGGTGGTTTTCTTGCAGATGCTCCATTGCTCAGCACTGGTGATGTTACCTAGTCTGGTAAGGAAATGTCTGCAGGAAAACCACCAAGCTCAGAGAGCACCAAGGAGCCTGTTCGGTTCAGTTGAAGCTAACTGAAATAAGAAGGAATTTCGTGACAGTAAGAACAGTTGTTCATTGCCTCTCAGAGATATTGGTGGTCTGTTGCTGGAAGTTTTCAAGAAAAGAGTGGACAGCCATTTTACTAGGATCGTATAAGGACTCCTGCCTTGGGCAGGGGGTTAGACCAGAACAGAGGCCCCCAACCTTTTGGGCACCAGGGACTGGTTCCGTGGAGAGAGGCTTTTCCACGGACCAGAGGGGGCCTGGTTTTGTGTGCTGCCTGCATCTCGCAGACGGGGCTTTACTTGTTGGTGTGGACCGGTTGCTGGCATGCCGCGGCCCGGTACTGGTCCATGGATTGGGGGTTAGGGACCCCTGGACTAGAAGACTAGACTAGCCTAGACAGACAAGAGCCCCATCCAGACGTATGATTTTATGAACACAATCCAAGCTCTAACTCTGCAGATTCCTCTCCTGATCATCACTAGAACTGAAAGGGAAAAAAATTGGGTGATTAATTGAGGCATCTCTGAGCAAAATGGTGACCCTTGTGTAATTAGTAATGTTAGCAATAGCAAAATATAACACAAAATGTTATGAGCAAAAGGAAAAGCAAAGTAGGTTTTAGCCATAATATTTGTTTTTCTTATCCACTGAGATTCAAACGTCATTTCATTTTGATCCACTAGGACAAAGGTCTCTAAACCTGGCAACTTCAAGACTTGTGAACTTCAACTTCCCGAATTCCCCAGCCAGTTGCCAGTTGCTAGTTGCCAACCGTCCGAAGTTTGATCATGTGACCTTGGAGATGCTGCAGCAGTGGTAAGCTTACCATAAATCGCTTTTTAGTGCAGTTATAATTTCAAATGTCACTGAATGAATTGTTGTAAGTTGAGGACTACCTGCGTTTTTCTTTTCCCTTCAAAATTTGAGCTATGCTGCATAGAAAACAAGTGTAGAAAGCTAAAGTGACAACTTATTTATTCTCAACCACAGAAGAATTCAACTCCTAGACCACTGTTAGAATCCTTTGCCATCTAGTGGTGAATTCAATTTGAACTGGCTTTTTATTCCTGATTAAGAGGAAGAGGTTTTGCAGGTTTCACATCCAAAGGAAGTATTTTTTAAAAAATAAGGAACCAAGGATGGTTGAAAATTGCACTTTATTAGAGATTTGTAGGTTGGGTTGCAACTCAAAATTTAAGGAAAGCACAAAAGTTTTAAGGTGCTTGAACAACTAGGAATATCTTCAGAGGTGGAAGAAGCTTGTTTGTTGGATTGAAATTGTTGCAGGACATCTTCAGAGATTCCAAGGCTACTACCGGTTGTTATTTCCACAAATGTTAATACCCAAAATATTTAAGATGCCAGCATTGACACAAGTACTGGCACGTACGCCACCATCTAGATGGGAAACAAGAAAGAGAAACCAATAGGGAAGAGAGAGAGAGAGAGAGACTCTTTTTATGCATTTACCGTATATTTGATCCAGATATGTGAACTGTAATTCAGCAATTGTGGGAAGTGGAAACATCTCTGCTCTTTAGGAAATATATTTTAATCTTTTTGCAGGACCATCTAGTGTGTCCCTACCATTTATGTTATAGCTTCTTAGGTTCATTGACATATTTTGCTGATCTGAACAACCTCTCTCCAAACAAAATAGAATACTTCCTTAAGAATAAGACAGAGATATGTACAGGACAATTTTACATGAATATAAACGCCATTTAATTCAGAAGGTCTTGCTCCCAGAAAAGTGAGCACACTATTAAAGTCTTACAAGCACTTTATAGGTCACGCAAGGTATTAGTACTGTTTTAAAAAACCCTAGTAAGACCACATCTGGAATACTGCAGCCAATTTTGGTCACCAGATCACAAAAAAGATGTTGAGACCTTGGAAAAAAATCAAAGAAGAGCAACTAAGATGATCAAAGGCCTGGAGACTAAAACATACAAATAACGGCTGCAGGACTTGGGTTTGGCTAGTCTACAGAAAAGAAGAAATAGGGGTGACATGATAGCAGTATCTGAGGGGCTGCCACAAAGACGAGGAGGTCATGTTATTCTCCAAAGCACCAGAGGGCCGGACAAGAAACAATGATTGGAAACTGATGCAAGAAAGAAGCAACCTGGAATTAAACAGAAACTTCCTAACAGGGAGGACAATTAACTAGTGGAACAGCTTGCCTTCAGAAATCGTGGGTGCTCCATTACTGGAGATTTTTAAGAAGAGGGTAGACAGTCACTTGTCTGAGATGGTATAGGTTCTCCTGCTTGAGCAGGGGGCTGGACTAGAAGACCTCCAAGGTCCCTTCCAGCTCTATTCTATTCTAACCTCCAAGGGACCTTAAAATAATAAATGTTGTGCTCTAACGGGTCTTAAAATTGATCCTGGCAGTCTCACAGTTTTATTTTAAAAAATGATACCAGATGCCCTTATATAGCAGAATTTAGTGGGATTTAATTTGCCTTTCTATTGTATCTTCAATATATGAAGTTCATTGAATTGTTCAGTTAAAAAGGAAGCCATGTTGGGTTCCTTCTAGGATACTCACGCTCAACTCTTTCAACTTTATAAACAGGTACATTCTTGCAGAGGTGCTCAATGGCTTTACCAAAAACAAACCACTCTTTGATGTCTCCAAAGAAAGAATGTGCAGGTTCATATTTCACCCATATGTTTCTTCCTGACAACATTTGACGCATCATCTGAAATGAGAAGTTGGTTGAAAACAATGTTCAAAGGGCAGCTGCATGGCTCTCCAACTTAACTGTAACATTTGGGCTTCTATCATTATCATAGTCCCCGTCATCAGATGAATGGAACAAAACTAAAGTGGTTACACTGGTCAGAGACACATATCAGAGAAAATTGGGCTGAGTTGGGTGACCAGTGGACTCCCTTTCTGTGTCTTGATTGTCCATTCTCTCTTCTGTCTTTTTTCCAGCCTTCCACAATCTCTCCCAGTAAGGAACCCAACATTTACCTGTTTCTCATAAGCCAACCGCCCAATTTCTTTAATTTCTGGAATGTAGCCTTTTTCCATCTTCATTATGAAGCAAGCACTTCGGGAAAAGATCCGCATGGCGATGTATCCCTGTTATCCCAGAGGGAGACGGATAACAGATACGTTCCATTAAAAATCATTGTATATTAAAATTTAAATTGTGCAAAAGGGATATGGAGGGACTGTTTGTGACACACATACACACCCCGCAAGCCAAATCTTGGTGAGGACATTTAAACCTCATCAATTTTGTACAAAACATGTACCTTATATCTTTTTCAACATTCTACTTATTGTCATAAATTAGTATTCATGGAAAATTCATGCCCTCTCTCTTATCTACAGTGCTAATAATGAATAAAGAGAGCATCTGCCAAGCAACCAAATTCATCTGGAAGCTTCAGTTTTAATGTCCATCATTCCGATTACCAATTGCTATCTTTTTGTTGTTGTTTTAACAATCTCAGACAGTTCTATTTTGTTACACAAAAGATGTACCTGGGCCTTCTGTGATGCCTGGTCTATGGCCAAAACCTGTGGACCTGATGGGTCACTTCAGACTGACTGAGTCAAAAAAAGTCAACTTATGGTCTCAGCTTTGACCAGCTCAACAAAACAGGAGGATGCTGTGCCAGGGAAGGCTGCTTGAGGCCTGAGCTCTATGCTCACTCTAACCCAGGGGTCTTCAAACCTGGCCCTTTTATGACTTGTGGACTTCAACTCCCCTGCACCCCTGCGTCCCCTTATTTTAAATAGATGCGTCAATAAACAAACCGATAAAAGAAAAGCTAGGGGAAAAAAGGCGTTCAACTAAAATTCTGCCTATCCATTTTACAGCTTGGGTCCCTCCACACGGGTTGTGCCTGCCTATCCCAGAATTCTCGTCCTTGAGGCCTGAGCTTGAGGCAGGATAGTGAGTGAAAACAAATGGATGTATTTTATTAGAAATGGAACCACATAGCAGAACAATCCTAGTTGTGTTCTTGCACTGACAAGGTGAGTGTGGAAAGGACCAGATTCACACTTACATGCTTATAGTCAAAAATTGTATCAGAAGAGCAGGCTCCCTCGTGGACATGGATGTTGGCTATTTCCTTCTCATTGTCTATGGTGACTGTCTGCTGGATGTAATCACCATTCGGGTTAGGGATGCTGTAAACCTGAACATGAGAGAGTTTACTTTTCAGTGAAATGCAGAATCTGAGAGACGGGTGGTTCTTGATTTAGATAAGATGGGACTGACTGGTGGCCATTGACCAAAATATCATACCGTAAACCAAACAACCAAGCATATACTAAATAAAACTAGGGTATTAATGGGTAACATACACAGCTACTTAGCTGATATGATGGGTAATAAATCTTATTTATTCCCCAAGTTTCAGGTCTAGGTGTACTGCTCTAAAGAAATAGATCTAGCTTGTATACCCGTCCCTGTTTTAAAGTGTCATAGTTGGGTATGTGCTGAATATCTGCATGATTTTACAGATTTTATCTTGGTTCCACCTATGAATTTTCTGTTCATAGTAAAGCAGAGGTGATTACCTGGAAGGAAGCAAAGGCTGCATTCCAGAAGAATCCCAGCAAAATGAACGTTGCTGCCTGGAAAGGAAAGAAATAAGGTAGTGCTCAGAAGGAGAGCAGCTCCATCTGAACAATGAATCTCCATGCAGGAATGTCTGAAAAATCTAACTTCAAGCTAGCCTGACTTGCATTCTTCCACAGAACTCAGTTACTTTGGGAGACCACACTTTTCCAATGTTTGCTACCAGCGCATATGGGGCACACTTCTCCTTCCTTTAGTCCACATTGCTGATGTCTCCTGGCCCTGTGGCTTTCTACACAGGAACTGCCTCGAGATAGCAAGGATTGAATGCAGAGCTTCCTGTGTATAAGCAGGTAAACCAACCTGAGCTCTAATTCAAAGCATGTTCCTCTGCGCAATTGCTTTCCTCAAAACTGCATATCTGTAGCCAAATATATAATGGGATAATAGCCAAGTATAATAATGGGACTTCAGCAAAAGATTAGCAGGGAGTGGACTAGAAGACCTTCAAGGCCCCTTCCAACCATATTATTCTACATTCTGTGCTCTAGCTTGTCCACCAGACCAGTTTGTAGGAGACTTATAGATCCCTTGGTATTTCAGAAAACAAAATGTTTTAGGCCAATACTAATGTTGGAACTTCCAAAGGCCATTTGAACATTATCTAACATCAAAATGCCTCGTATAGCTGAGAACAGCTAGTCTTGTGCTAAGGCTAAGCTCTCCCAATGCATTGCAGGGCATGTTCTGGGAAAACGTGCCTTCACTGCTCTCCCCAAGCTAACCAACACATGGTGAACATCTCTTTCATTTCCTTAAGAATAGTCCTCCTTACCTAGACAATCCACATTGGTCTCTAAATATTTTCTAGCTTTTCTTAAGAAGAATGCGTCAAATATACTGTACTCACAAGCTTGTTCATTTTTTTTCCAGCTAAGAGAAAGAGTTTGAGATGTAAGTGGAATAAAATTCCAGAAACATTGAACATTTATATCTGGACTGTAGGTGTGGGGGACATTGCACAGAAATCTGCCCTGGGTACTTGTGGAACACACCCTGTTAGATAGTTTTATTTGAATTTTGGGCTGAGCAGATATCCAAGCCCTGATACTGCTGAGCACATTAGTCATGGGTGCATAATTTCACATTTGTCAATTTGCAAATATCAGTTAACCTCTCCCAGATTATTTGGATATATTTTTAATATCAGAAAAGTGCTCGACCTGTCCTTCTGGTTTAAATTTTGCTTAGCAGCATAAATGGGGTCAACAGTAAGTAAAAAATGTAAAGACTTCTGGGGTATCTCTAAAGAGGGACAAGGATGGATCAATGTTCTAGACAGGCTGCCAGGAATCTGGTGAGGCCTCCAAAGAATCCCCAGGTTCTGCTCCTTATTGCTAACAAGCCTACTACACCACCCCATGGCGTCTTTTGGCCTCATTGACCCTTCTTCTCTGCAAATGTGTGCAGGTCGCTCTTTGGCTCTTCTCACACAACAAACTTAATTAGATACAATATTGACCCATTCCAATCATTTACATAAAGCACTGAAAGCCTAGGATGGGCTGTCACAAAAACCTAAACCACATGAAACCTAACCAGAGCGAATACTAACTAAGGTTGTGTGAATGCCTTCCTTAGGCTTTTATATGACATATGGTTAAAAATATGGGAAGATATGTGATGAACCTGGGATAGTTTTGCTCATATGATTGGTTATGTTCTTCAAGTCATTGTTGACCACATAGATCGACTTTCTCCATGATTACCTCTTCCCAAGCTGGTTCTTCAGCTCTTCCAGTGGTGCCCCATCACCATGGTAGCTGAGTCCATGCCCCTTGCTGCTGGCCATCCTTTTTCCTTCCTTCCACTGTTTCCAGCATTAGAGACTTCTCTACAGAGCTGGATCTTCACATAATGTGTCCAATGTAGGATAATGTGAGCCTGGTCATCTGTGTCTTGGGTGAGAACTCTGGATTGATTTGTTCAATGATCTATTGGTTTGTTTTCTTGGATGTCCATGGTGTTCTCGGGAATCTTTCCCAACACCAACATTTACATCCTGGCATCTGACTATCTTTTCCAAAGCCTTCATGGTTTTCCAAGTCCTTGTCTGTAAGGCATTTCTTGACTGCTTGTTTCCTTTACCAGGATAGTTGACCCTAGAAGGCAGAAGCTCTCCAACCCTTCAGTGTCAATTCGAAGGCTTCATTTATTTGGAACCCAAATGTGAAAAGATGGAACCACTACAAGTCTCTCTCTGAGCTAAAATATGAATGGTTAAATAATTAAAAGCAAATTCTGTAATATTTAATAGGTTAAAGACTTCTTATGTGCCCCCATCCAGTTTTGCACTGATGTCCCTGACTCAAGGAAATGCAATCTCTTTTACTTGGTTCCCCCAAAATTGGACAACCAAAAAAAAAAAAGAATTACATTGCCATACATCAAGAATAACTTGCTCCAAGGGATTTTGAAAGATCCTGTCTTGAATGGGCTTTTGCAGGCAGTATTTGCTCATGAATGGAGCCTCAGTCTTTCTGAATGGGACTATCAAATCTGCATTTCTACAGAGCTGGCCTCTGCCTGGGGCTATTAAGGGAAACTGGGGCTGCTTTTCTGCCTTTAAAATCCTTTGGGGAAATATATTCTGCCTTTTTTAATATTCCCCAAAATATTTCCTTCTCTGGGGGGGGGGGGGGCTGACTTCCCACAGGGGCAGACCCAGCCAATGGTAATTTATACAACACATACCTAGAGTCACTTGATAATGAGATGGGTGGCATACAAATTTAACAAACAAACAAAATGTAGCCTGTAAACCATATTTTCTGGCTTAGTGTGAGATAAGCCTATTATAGCATAGCTGACAAACCATGATTAAAACAAATCATAAAGTAGCATTATGAACAAGCCTGGCAATCTGACACTCACATGCACGTACTCTTTGAATGGGAAAGAGTGATTTCCTCCCAAACCAACAGCAAAGGCTAAGCAAGAATGGGTCAAATATATTTGGGCAGCATCTGGCTAATTGGCTGCAGGTTGCCAAACCTAGTTTTAAAGCGCCATTCAGAATACCCTCTGACTTACCTTTCATACAAAACACATCTTCTTTAGAACTGTTTTTTTTCCTTAAAAATAGATTTTCAGCTATGTTTTGAATGGATGTATAAGTAAGGTAGAATGGTTGATTTTAGAACCATAGAACCTGGAAAATCTCTTCGAAATCATCAAATCCTCCAGCCACCCCAGTCAAATGGCTATCCAAATTTTCCTTGAAAACCTGCATGAGGGAGCCCCCATAACTCCAGGTTATGGCAGCTATCCCATTGTCTAATACAGTGCTTCTTAAGATGTGTGGACTTCATCTCCCAGAATTCCCCAACCCGCAAGAGAATGCCAAATTCGATTTCTTCTTTTTTCTCAAATGATTTATTGAATTTTTTTTAAAAAAATCCCAGTAAAATATAAAATAACACAAAGGGTGAAAAAAGGGAAAATTTTAAAAAGTAACAAAAGATACATAGACCAAATATATAAAAAGAGTGAGTTCTGATTTTTTTTTTACTACAGATCCAAATATAAAAAAATAAACCTTTACTCTAGATTTCAGTCAATACTTAATAACCCATATAAAAATAATACAGGAAAAGTATTCTCTTATTTTAAATTTGACCAGAAAGTAAATTAAAACATTCTTTTTCTATCTTTCTTCTACCTATTGATGCTGGTTCTGTTTTCAAACACCATTAGGAATAAATTCATTTTTATGTCCATTCCTATTTTTTAAAAAAATGTGTTTATTTTCTGGGATTATATTTAGATTTAATTAATTAAACATTTTTAAAATGACAGACCCTGCCCATGTGTGTTGAAGATAAGTTTATCTGGTTCAGCTTATCTGTAAGGTGTCACCCTTGGCATATCCTATGCCAGCCAAAGGGCACAGCCTTGCATGGAGATACTGAGGCATATCTCAATCCTGGGAAATCTGGTATATAAAGTGCAAGGGTCCAGCTTTGTTAGTCTTGCATTTCTTCTAGTGACAAAATGAAGCTGGTTGTAAGTATAGACATTTTTCATTTTTGGGTGCCTTACCATTTGCTAGGGTAACATGAAAGCAGTATTTCAATATTTGAGAGGCTGTCACAGAGAGAAAGGGGTTAACTTATTCTCCAAAGCATCTGAGGGCAGGATAAGAGGTAATAGGTGGAAATTTATCACAGAGAGATCCAACCTAGAACTAAGGAGAAATTTCCTGTGAGAACAATTAACCAATGGCACAACTTGCCTTCAGAAGTTGTGGGTGCTCCATCACTGGAGGTTTTTAAGAAGAGACCTGGACAAGCAGGGGGTTGGAACAGAACAGAATAGAGCTGGAAGGGACCTTGGAGGTCTCCTAGTGCAGCCCCCTGCTCAAGCAGGAGAACCTATACCCTTTCAGACAAGGGACTGTCTAGCCTCTACAAGTGACTGTCTACAAGTCTAGAAGACTGGACTAGAAGACCTCCAATAACCTGTTATTCTGTACGATGCTGCTAATCTTGAAATCTTCTAGGATAATAGCAAAGTCCATCTCACATAATCTGTAGTCAAAACTATATCCAATTTACAGGTAGAAAAACAAGGAGGAAAAAGTTGGTTCTTCAGAGGATTCTTAATTCATGAAGAGAGATGGTTAATTTTTTCACAAAGGAGGGAGGGATAGTTCCAAGTATCTCCTGGTGGGAATCAGGATAAGTGAGTTGAAAAGCATGGATTAGAGGCCATAATCAGCCCACAAAGCGTACCTCTTCCATGCTCATTACTGTCCCTTGCACATCTTTGCACATGATGTTCTTATGCTAAATATCAGGTGGCCCAGAATGCTTCTCCTGAAAATGACGTATGAGTTGTCTTGGGAGAGCCAAGAAGTGACCCATGATATTGTGAACAGGAAAGCATAGCCATTGATCTTTTTCGGTTTGAAAATGCTAGCGGAATCTCTAATGGTGCATAACCTTGTTTAGATAATAAAGCAGGCATATCTACATAAATTCCTGAACTCCAAGCTGCTAATGCTTGGTATTTCTAGAGGGATTTGGCACAGTCATTTTACATGACCATTAAATCAGGGTGTAAAGTGACCATGATTTTTTAAATTTGAAATTTGTTGCTTCCATTTCTAAATGTTCTCCCTCTCTCTCTCTCTCTCTCTCTCTCTCTCTCTCTCTCTCTCTCTCTCTCTCTCTCTCATTCTCTCTCTAATTGCCAAACTGTTTTTGATTCCAGATTCTGAGTGTGGTGTTTCTAGGAGTTTTCCTAGCCCCAGTTTTCACCAACAATGTAAGTACCATTGTATAATATTATTGCAAACAAATGTGTTTTCTTTCTAATGAAAGTAATTTGATTTTTACTTTTGTTTTTTATGAAGTTAAAAACAGTATCTAACTGAACTGAAGGACAAAATGATCTTGTGTGTCCTTTTAATCGTTGCAGTTAGACATTCAAAGTTCTTGCTGAAGTGGCTGGTGCTTGTGTTTTTCCCATTATTGCCATACTTGGCAAAGCCACTTTAAATTTTTCTAAGCTGAAAACAGGATAAAAATGATTAAAAGAAATAAAAATAATGCTTTCAAAGACGTGCTTTTCCACAATCTGTGAATTAATTCACCCAGTTGGGAATGAGAAAAAGGATAAACCACAGTTCTGGAGGCGCTAAGCAATATTCTTCTAAAGTCTGAAAAAAAAGTTTAGCAGAGTTGTAGCCATCTCTTTCTGGTGTCAGTTGGAGCACATCCCATCTTATATTTTATTTTTCAGGAATATAAGAATAGATTTTCAACTATTGTTCTTTATCTTTCCTCCCCAAGAACATCATTGAAAACAACCGGGGAAATGCTGGAGGGACTTCACATCAATCTGTGAACATTGATCACAAAAGGCAGGTGGTGAACATAGACAACAACAATGGCTGGAATTCTTGGAGCTCCGTCATGGATTACTCTACTGTAAGAAACACTTTTATCTTTTGACTTCAACTAGCATCCAAGAGAGAATTTGCCCTGGATGGTGTGAAGTTGTTACATGTACTGAAGTCAGGATGTAGTTGAGAGCTTTTCCCCACTGTGCAATGTTCTCCAGCATCTGCCACTTCCTGGGCTTTCCACTGTTCCATTCAGTCCAAGGAATCCCCTTGAGATGACTCTCTCCTGCCCTCTTCCGTCTCCAGCATGAGCTGTAAGCCTCTGCAAAGCTTTGCTTCAATGACTTCCCTTCAAAGCTGGGGGCCTGCAACAGACTGCCTTAATTAGTTCTCCCCCCTTTCATTTATTTTTGTTGTTGTTGTTGTTGAATTCAAGGCAGTGAATACACTTAGTGCTCTTACTTCCTATTTTCCAAATAAGCTTGTGAAGTGGTTTAGATTGAGAGAGGGATTGGCCCAAAGTCACCCATTAGCTTTGTGGCTAAGGTGGGACTAGAGTTCACCATTTGCTGGTTTCTAGCCTTTAACCACTGCACCAAACTGCCTCTCCTTTGCTTCATTTCAAGTCCCACCAGTAGCCTCTTCAGGGACTTCAGTTATGGGGTGAAGAAATAGCATTGTTTCCACAAATGGTGCACCTTGTCAAGGCCAGGCATAATTTGCTGCAGTTTGTAAGTCCTGTAGCTTAATTTCTCCTCACTTCCAGTAAAAACAATGCAAAGTGGACCTAACTAAGATCTTATGATCTAATGGGAAGGCTCAGGAAACTAGATTTTTCTTTCTCAGCTTCAGATTCTTTGGCATAGTTGTCATTTTTCACCTTCTCATTTTGCTTTGATAGGGTTTCATGGCAACCCGAATATTGTCCAAGAAAGTCTGCTTCATCGTCAGAATGAATAAACAGATTGTGCCAGACATAACTACTCTTCCCAAAGCCATCCGGGAAAAGCAGGTAAAGATAGGAAGATCTGGGAAGTAGGTCCATCTGGGCTCAGCAAAAGGGGACCACGAAGCACCAAGGACACCTTACACACACCCTTCGCTTGATGCTTGCCAACAATACCCCGTCCCAAAGCCTTCAGTTTTAAAACTGAAAAAATCAACTTGATGCCAAGCGAACATCGGCCTCTGCCCATCGGTTTGATTCATAAGCAAGCACAAAGATGTCCACAGGGAGGGAGGATAAAAAAAATCAAGATGGTTTTGCTGATTGATGTCCCGGTCTTTTTTAATGTGAGTTTTGCAATGTATGTGGCAGAATGGGACAACTCGCCAGGGCCAACTTGTCCTGGGACAATTCGCTGTGGGACAATTCAAAAATTCTATTTACGTATTTAAAACAATTTTAGAAATATTTTAATTTTTGCCATTCACATTTCATTTGTCCTTCCTTTTGCATCCTTTCTTTAATTGTTCTATTCCACTATTTCTTTGATATTAGCGTAACTTTTGTCCTGCAGCGAGTTGCCTGTGCCAACAACTTGGCTGTGGCAAGTTGGCCATGGCAAACTGTGGAACGGTTTGCCTTCAGAAGTTGTGGGTGCTCCATCACTGGAGGTTTTCAAGAAGAGACTGGACAGCCACTTGTTTCAAACTGAGCAGAGGGTTGGACTAGAAGACCTCCAAGGTCCCTTCCAACTCTGTTATTCTGTATATTGATAAGAGAGATTTTTTCCTGTGGCACAGATGGTTAAGAAAAGATTTGCTTGAGCTGAAGTGTAAAGAATGGCATGAAATCCCAGCCTCCCTGATCCCTCTTCTCACTTTGTTGCATGCTGATCATTGCCTCCATCTTTGAACGCAGCCCTCCTCTTCCCTCCTCTTTTAGAAGGACCCTCGAAATGGACCTGCCCCAAAGGAGGTCTCCTTCACCGTTTCCCCTAAGAGAATTACAGACCTATCCATCTACGGGAAGCAGGTGCAAACATTTTGCCGGGGGATCCCCAGCTATCTTGCTTCTGAAGTTAAAAGTAAGTATTGGCTTTGGGTTTCTTTGAATAAACCAGGGAGTGTTTGGAGAATTTTATATACCCAAGAATAACATGGGGGCAGAAAGGAAAAAAATGAAAGAAGGAAAGAAGGAAAGGGAAGGGAAGGGAAGGGAAAGGAAGGGAAGGGAAGAAAATAGAGGAAGGGAAGGGAAGGGAAGGAAGGGAAGGGAAGGGAAGGGAAAGGAAGGGAAAGGAAAGGAAAGGAAGGGAAGATATTTATTTTGGTCAGTGACCAGATAAAACAGAACTTATACAAAGTGAATACAGCAAAGAAAAAAAGAAGGGAGGAAGAAAGGAAACGAAAAAGGAAGACAAATGAGAAGGAGGGGTGCAGCAGCACCTGGATGTAGCCTTAGGATCATTTACAGAATGTTCCAAATGGCACCATTCTCTTCGTAGAAGTGATGTCAGTGTTATTCTCATGACTGGACTGGGTTCACACAACTCACTGAAACACACACCCAGATTTTAAAAAGCCAGGCTACGTTCCCAAAGCATCGTTGGTCAAAGTGTATTAGGCATATCTGGGCTTGATGACCGGTTAAGTCAGAACCAACCTGAACTCCCGTCCACCTGGCTCTCCTTTAGCTAGTCCTGTGGAGTGTGTGAACCTGTCCAAGTTGTGCCAATATCTTTCTTTCCAGAGCCCAGCTTTTTCTTCGCAAGAAGTGCCTGCACCCGACTGAACATCCTCTTCCTCTTCCACTTCTGCTACTGTCACGAAACCCTGATTGAGTAACTGTCGTCTCAGCAATCCTCAGCTTGTGATACGGGTGTCTTCCAATTTGGGATTTTAGTTGCATTATTTCCTTCTCTGCTCCCAGGGCAGAAAAGTGAGAGGGTGGCCAATTAAAAACACACATTGAACTCACAAGACTGTGTCAGTTCTTGATTTGTCTCACTCTGATTACACCCATTTTATGCTCTCCAACTTTCCAGCCTTTGGTTGTCTGCCTCTTCTCATCTTGAGCAACTTTCCCCACTACCTTTTCAGCCATAGGGTCCTCTTTACAATTAATCTCTGTGTTAAAATGTGATTTTCTGAAGTCCAGGTTTTGTGTTGGTCACACCCAGATTTGGTTTCCTTCAAAATCAAGAATTCCAGCACCCTAGATCATTTTCACCCCATGTTCTTGCTCTTTCCATTCCTTCAGCTAAATCTTTCCTACTGGTTAATAGTCAGCCAAGGAAAGCTGATTCTCTTGTGCCTCCCTCCGTTCTCTGAAGGAGAAAGTTATCAGCAGGGCAAGTCAGGAATTTCCTGGAAGGACCATGCTTGGCAGAGCTGTCTCCCAAAAGATGTTGGGGTAATTAAAGTCTTCCATCCCGATGACTTCATGCTTCTTTGGAAGATCTGCAATTTGCTCTTGGAAGCATCATCCATATCTTCTCCTTGGTTGGGTGGGCAACGGTACACAACATTGTTTCCCCCCCCAACTTAATTTAACCCAGATGCTTCCTGAATCACTGCCAATTTCATTCATTTGGATTTTCAAGAAGAAATTACTACTACTTCCATATGGAGTGACTTTTCTGTTGCTTGGATTTCTTTTGAACCAGGAGCATCCTTGTAGCACTATTTTCCAATCATGGGAAACCAAATTTGCATTCTACCCATTAAATTCTATTTGCATTTCTGAACTAAGAGCTCAGTCTCTTAGTATGGTGTATTTTTCATGCCCTGAGCGCTGGTTGAAGGCAATGAAGGCCACAGATCTCTCCTGTTCTTGCTCTGAGGCCCCATTTCAGCATCCTTCCCATGAGTGTGTCAAGATTTTAATTTGATTTTTGTAGTGGTCTGTTCTAAACCACTCAGAGTCTTCAGGAAGAGGGTAGCCTCCCCCAAGGACACCCATATAGGGAGCATATATGAACTCATTAGGCTCAGACATCATGCTAAGTCAAAACATGGTTTGTTTAATTAATGAGTTCACTGTATACAGAGACAGTGCCAAAGATCACTGCTGCTCTGTAGGAACCAGGTCATTTCTGAGGCTTTCAAAATTGTATTTTTTGTGCAATTGTTTACAGCGCTTGGAACTGCTTGGAGTGTTATCCTGAAAATTGGGATGTAGTGTAATAAGCAGCAACTGGCCATTGCAATTAATAAATCACAATCTTAACTTAAGGTGCCACACCAACCCCACCCCATCGTGGTTTACTCAGTAAATCAGAATGAAGCAAATCATGGCCTGGGATGAAAAGCAGGCTCGGACTCTGAAGGGCTTGCCACTTTTTCTAGAAGAAGCCGCCCAGAATCCTACTCTTCATTATCTCACCCAAATAACTCTTGGCCCTATTTTGTTCACATATTGCAAGATAAAATATCTTTCGAGGCTCTGGAGTTTTAATAACGGGAACCGGGAACTTGTCATGTTTTGTATCAGCACAAGGAGAACAACTGAATGAACTGAACGAATATCAGATTTTGTAAAAAAAACAAACTAGTTCATATAAAATGTATCACAAACATCGCCTAAAATTGCTTACAAATGCAGGTTTTTCACAGCGCACAAACAGTCCATTTATTTGAAACAGAAACAGAATAAGAAGGGGTTGGACTCTTTCGTTCTCCTGCTTGAGCGGGGGGGGGGGGGAAGAGAGAGGCTGGACTAGAAGACCTCCAAGGTCCCTTCCCGCTCTAGTCCCACTGAAGAACATCCGCGCGCATCCCCGGAGCGCGGCCGGCGCTCGGCCACAAGGAGGCATCCTGGGACCTCCGCTCGCAGGCAAAGCCGCGATCCTGCCTTCGCGGGGAAGGGGGCGGGAGGGGGGGTGAGGCTTCCCTCAAATCTGGGGCAAAGCAACGGGGGGAAAAAAGACCGTCCGGAAGTCGCCAGTCGCCTGGCCGGCAGTGGCGGGCTCGGGGGGCGCTGCGCTGGAAGCGCAAGGCGGAGGCGCCCCTCAAACGGGAGCAGAAGGGAAGGCTGACCCCCCCCCCCAAAAAAAAACCAAAGAAAAGGCCAAACCTCCGGCCGGCCTTTCGGAACGGGAGGATTGGATCGCCTGAGAAGCCGAAGGAGCCGGGGAGGAGCAGAGCCCCGGGACCTTCTCCGCCTTGGGCTGCCTGCGTCCGGGCATGGCTCGTGCAGCGCAGAGACCTCTGCCCCGGGGCTTGCGGTGGCTCTTCCTGGCCGCCCTGATGGTCCCCTGCGACGGGCGAGGGGGGCAGCGAGAGGAGGGGGGCGCCGCCTGCTACGGGGGCTTCGACCTCTACTTCATCTTGGACAAGTAAGTGGCCGGGCGTCGCGGCGGCTGGGCGGGACGAGGCCGGGCTGCGCGGGACGCTTCGTTGCGGGAAGGGGCGCAGCAGCCCTGGCGGTTTGTCAAAAGACAGCAGCGGTTTTTGCTTTTTGCTTTTTACCTTTGCTTTGGGTGCCCAGTTTGGTTGGACAAAAGACGCCTGGCGGGTGCCGCGTTCCTCTTTCCTCCGGGGAAGGTCGAAGGGAAAAGTTTGGCTCCTTCCCCGGTCTCTCTCTTTTGCAACGTCGCTTTCTTTAGGAAAAGTGTAGCGAAGAGCGGCTGTCAGCTTTGGCCTGCTGGGTTTAGACTTGCAAACCGCCCGTTTCCAAAGGCTTAAGTAAATCCCCGGCTCGGCTTCCCTGATGGGATGCCATTCCCGCGGAACAACCGCTTAAGGTCTCTGAACTTCGGAGCCAGTTTGAAACTTGCTCCACGGCAGACAATACATTGTTGTGATGTGTCTTTTTAATTTTATTTTTAGCCTATTTTTCCCCTTAAGTCTGAGTCACTCTCTGTTCCTTTGTTCTCCATTAATGAAATGCACATTCCCTCTTTCTTCTGTTTCTGCTGCTTTTTCTGCAGCTGCAGGGATTGTATCCAGGGAGGAAATAAAATGCTTGCTCATGCTATTTGTCCTACCGCTGACATGATGCATTGTGTTTGTGTAAGAGGTTTGGGGCTGTATTCCTTAACTATTGGCCAGAGGCATTGAAGAACGAAGCTGTCAGAGAGCCTTAACAGTGCCAGACATGTCAAAACAAAACAAAACAAAAAAAGTTTTTGTAGAGGCTGAGTTTCCAAAGAGCCACATTTTGCATAGCCCCAAGGCTGTGAAAAGATGATTTGGTGGGTGGATTTAATTATCTTTCTTCCAAAGGGCCGGGTTTTTTTTTCTTCCATTTCATGTCAAAAACTATCATGGAGAGCTACCAGTTTGCAAAGAGTCTTGCCTGTAGCACACAGAGTCCTCAAAGAGAAACTCTGAGAGAGTCTGCGAAAGTGGCTTGTTAAATCCCATTTATATGCTATTCCCCCCCCCCCAAAAGGAAAGTAGGACCAATAGAAACAGTGAATGGGGCTGGGTCCCTTATCCCCAACTGCTGCCTTTCAGAACAGAGAATCCACAAGGGGAGGCAAAACAAAAAACAACAACAACAACAAAAACCCCATGGAGGGGACAGATGTGACCTTCCCACAGAGAAACCATCTTGACTTTTTGACCCCATATGAATACCTTCCTGCTTTGGGGTGGGTAGGATGGACGGTCAGTTGTGTTCATAAGCCTCTACTACAGTGGTTCTCAACCTTTTTAATGCCGCGACCCCCAACCGGTCGTAAGTCGAGGACTACTCAACCGGTCGTAAGTCAAGGACTACTCAACTGGTGCAGCACCTTTTGCAGAATGGGTCTTTTGGCGGGCAAATCAGGGCAGAGACAGCCTGGACAATTCCTATTGGCTTTTGAAAGCCAATAGAATTAGACTCTATTCAAGAGAGTCTATTCTATTGGCTTTCAAAAGCCAATAGAATAAAAGGGAGTAGCACAGCTAAGAAAAAAGGGGGGGGGAAATGGCGGACTGCATTGTTTGGCGACCCCCGTGAAATGGTCGTTCAACCCCAAATGGAGTCCCGACCCACAGGTTGGGAACCACTGCTCTACTAGCAGGTTTCAGCTTGTCCTGCATTTTCAGAGGGGAGGAGAGCTAGAAAGGCTTGTGTGAATTGGGGTTGTGAAGGAAAGATGGGCTGGGCTACCTCTTCCCAAGTAACCTTCTGTATCCAGATTGGATCAGGGAGATCTTGTGGATGAGTTCCTTTCAGCTTTCCAAGGCTCCTGGAAGGCCTCAGGAGAGACAGGGGATCCCCTTTGGCATGCATCCTTTATTCAAGGGAATAGTCAGGTTCGCAATAAGTATATCAACCATGGTTAACTATTTCTGTGTCTACTATCAACAACTTCAGGAGACAACAGTTCTGTCCCTAGGATGGTGTACGTTTGATGTGTATGACAGGCTGAGCTTTGATGACATCATCATGGCTGCCATCTTCACTTTTTTGACCTTACCCCCCAAACATGCTTGAGCAGTACCAATAGAAATCATCAGAGGTTATTTTGAAAGATGGGCTGTGAGGGGCTTCTATCTTCCCCAGTGCCTTTCCAGAATCTGAAAACATAATTTTGGTTAGACAACTATCTAACAGTAAATTCACCTTTCTTTCTGAGTTCATGCAATGCAGTGAATTGTAAAGTAACTTCAAAAATTGGGTACACATAAGCTAAGCTTTCCTAACACCCAACACCCCCCCCCCCAAACTAAATACAAGAGACTAGATTTTTAACTGGTTGGGGAAATTGGTTGTGCAAACTGACATACAATGACCTGGAAGGGAGAGCCCGAATTATGTAAAGAAAAAAGAGGCCTTTGTTCTCCAGGACAGCAGCAACAGCAGGGAAAGTGATTCTTGTTTCCTGCAACTGGAGGGAAGTGTTGCCTGCAGATCTTTGTGTTTTCATTTCAATCCAAAATTTCCTTCTGAGTGACAAGTTTCGCGGCTTTGCTTCTGGGAAGGCTTTCTCAACCTGGCGCCCTCCAGATGTGCAAGGCTGCATCTCCTACTCTCTGCCAGCAGGTCTGTGAGGGGGAAGGGGAAGAAGCCAAACCCACCTGGATAAAGCGGTCATAAAACACTCTTAGCTTCCTGGGCTCAGAAAAGGCCAACTTAATTAAAGGAGCATCTGTGTATTCTGCAGCACTAAGTCTGCTTCCAAGAGAAAATAATTGAGGAGAGAGATGGAATGGAGGAAGAACCAAAGGGAGAAGAATTTGGGACAGGCAAGATTGATACCTGCAGAGGAGAAATGCAAGCATTTCCAGGACTTGCAAAACCACCTATATGGAACACCTAAGAAGATCAGAAGAAGCTGAAATATATGGATGGATGGATGGATGGATGGATGGATGATTGGTTAGTTGTCAGCCTGCATCTTCTCTGTTGGCACTCCCAAACAATCACATATTGGGAGTGGCTGGATTTGAGTAACACACGGAGCCACATACCAGCCGATGGCAGACTTAGCCTGGTGTCTTGTGGGTTCCTAGTCTGTTTTAGTTTATGATTCAGTGTATTGGGCAAACCTTGAAAAACTGAATGAACATGGATAATCAGGTCTACAAAGATGTCAAATATTTAAATTACTCCTTTAATTAGTGGAGATATAAGGCATTGGTGGCTGAATCTGCTATGCATTGGGTGGTGGATGGTAATCTTTTCCCTCAGCCAGGGAGGGTCCATGGGGAGGGTCCTAAAAATCAAGATGGAGGTCCCAGTTGTACAATCAAAATTCCTCCCTTTTTTTACATGCCTCCCAGAGCAAGTGAAACAGGAAAAGGTTTAGTTGTGTGGATGCAACCGCCATGTTGTCTTTTTGGAGCCTCCTAATGCAAATTTTACTTACTTTCCTCCTTGCCCTAGGCTTTGATAGCATGAGGAGACTTGAAGTGAGGTGTTGGTGGTTTAAGGTGGATATGTGGAAATAGATTCTTGTAACTAGGGAATCTGAGGGAAAGCTCGGATTCCCGGATGCTGGCCACTGTGGTCTTAATCCAGATCAGATCATTGTTTTCAATGTCAAGGCAGTAAGTTCTAAAGGGTTGAGTAGCCTGTAAAAAACCCAGTAAAAAAAAAAGGAAGTAGAGTGGGATGGTTCACATCTGAGACCCAGCAGAACTTTGTTGATTCTCTGATTGACTGGACAGAGAAAAGTGTGGGCCCATTGCACATTCCTACTCTCTCCTCCTTTGAATGGAGCCTTGAACCCTGAGCTTGAAAATGGTCCTTCCCCATTTCTTTTCCACAAGGTGTCCTGGAACCGTATTCCTCCTTGCAGCGCAATGAAAGCTGACAAACTGTTGCTTATATAATGTTCCCGTGTTCACCCCCACAAACGTTAACATAAATATTAACTAACTGTCATTGTTCCAGACAGATGAAACTCTTCAAAGAACTTTGAGGCATTGTTTACCTTAAAGAATCTTTATTCAAGTAGCATAGCATCTGCATGTACATAGGCCAAGCCAAAATCTGAATTCCCTCCCCTGAGCACATAGTATCCAAGCACAACTCCCTCCTCTAATTAACGGTCATAAATCACATTCTCTGCCATTTCTTATCATCTCATTTAAAAAAACCTTGGTTCTCACCCTTATACATTATTGTTATGTCTAACTAAACTCCCATGCACATTTCTCCTCCTCCCCCCCCCAGTATCATCTAATTCTAACTCTAAGAGTAAAACATAAAGAAAAATGGCTGCATCTCCATATATTGCCAAAGCAAGAATATCCAATGTTAGCAGCGTTGACACTAACATTCCATCTGCATGTTGGTTCCAAAGCAAAGTGGGTGCTCAACATTTTGCATTCAAGACCCTTCTCATACATAGGCATGAAATTCACACATGTGAAGCCACAGATAGCCCCGTCATCAATAAAACCAATAGTTCATTGGGTTCACTTAAAGAGTGATTAAGGCAGCTGATGGAAAGGCCAACAGAGCAATCAAAAGCAAGGAAAAGATAAATCATTTGCTTCAAAATGCAACATTAGCTTACACAAACTCTCAATTCCCAGATCATTTTTAAATGTTTAATCCCTTTAGCTGTGGCAATCTCCCCCCCCCCCTTTCTTTCTGGCGAAAATCTTTGAGTTTTTGAGTTCTTCGCTCAATCTGGGCACAGTATTCAGAAGGGAAAACATCTTCCTCAAAATGACTCTCCCCCCCCCGTTTCTTTGCCGGTATGCAACCTAGGAGGGGGGGGGGGCATTTTTCTATGCAAGGCTTTGTGTGGGAAGATCTCATGGAAAAAAGAGCTGTAATTTTAGATGTTTGGATCCTTGTTCCAAGCGGAGAAAAAAAGCTTCAAGATGTAGTTATGTGGCGAATTCAAGAAGTGGTGTGTAACTCAGAAACCACCCAGAACACAAATCCTTCGTCCGGGGAGACGAAGCTCAGCCCCTGAATTCATCCGCAGCCCCTCTGGTCACTGGGTCCGAGGCAGGCCGTGTCCTTCCCTTCTGCTTCCGGCCTCTTGCTTAAAACCGTGGAAAATCAATCAAGCTTTCGTCCTCATCTGCAAAGGGAGCAAAATGTGGAAGCTTTTTTGGGCAATCTAGTACAAGAGATCTCAAAGGAAGGGCAGCTACTGGGGTTGGTCAAAAAAGTCAAAATGGCCTTTTCAGTTGCATCATCGCCACGGCCATCTTGGCTGCTTTTGAGCTTCCCCTGGGGACATCTCACTCACAAGCCAGGATCTGAGCAAGGGATTGTAGTACCCTGAGTTTCTGGGGTTTGAGGACCGCTATTTCCAAGGAGCGAACAAAGACGTGTTTATTACTAAAATGCACATAATCATAAAGCTAATGTGATTTATTGCAATTCTTGGTAAAAAAATGTATACAGATATAAAATTGCAAAAAAAAGGTAGTTTTTATTTGAAGAAATCTGCACCTTAATCACAAAGCATTTAGGGCAAACTTTTTTGCGAAAACTAAACATGTATATTTTGAAAAAAATGGGTATAAAATTAGAAATTGAGAGAAGTTGAAATTGCTCTATTCTCACCCATTTGCAGATGTGGCTTATCATTCTTGCTTATTTATATGACTCAAAATAATTTGCTATCCGTCTTCTTCTGTGATCTATATTAAGAGGTAGCGTGGGTTAGTGCAGACCCTATATCATTTCAGACAAGTGGCTGTCCAATCTCTTCTTCTCATGTTGCACACATCACAACGTCTTTGCATCAATTTTGTAGATTACATAATTCTCTTAATTTGCCGCTCCTGATTTTTTCTCTGGATGCTTCCGGACAGGAAAGAAAAAAGAGTGAATTCTTCTGGAATTTTTGCTTTCCCCAGCAAATCCCTTCCTGGGTGTGGATGCATCAGAATGACCTGCCTTGCAAATCTAAAAGGGGATTTATTTCCAGACTGGTTTGGACTTTGAGTAAACTCTACAAAGCAGAAAAGCAAACTGTGGTTTAATCCTACAACTATTTTTTCTATATGTGATGAACTTCAGTTTAATTTCTCTGCAGAGATCTCAAACACAATTTGGGTTAGCAGACCTTTATATGCCAAATATATTCAATGGATTAGTCAGAAAACAGAAATCTGGCTACGTTGACTCCTGTTATTAGATTAAAAGAAGGAAGGCAGTTGAGAATGGTGACCTATTTGGATTAATGGAAGGTGAAACAATCTATCATTTCTAAACACCCAATTTCTTTTACATGTTATAGTGAATTATCTTGAGTTTTATGCTGAATAATCAAGTTTAAAGAAATATTTTTGAACAAGAAAAGGCTTGTTGGGTTCTTCTATAATTGGCAGGCTTTGTTTTGTGACATCAAATGCAGCTTGAAATAACTGCTTCAGATGGCATTTCAAAACATCTAAAGATGGACCGTGTGAATGCAGCAAAAAGAGAGCGAGGGGTTTTCAAGAAAAGGCCAGACAGCCATTTGTCTGGAATGGAATAATCTCCTGCCTTGAGCAGGGGTTGGACTAGTCATTGGAAGACCTCCAAGATTGATTCCAGCCTTAGGATTCTATGAGAAGCAGCTCAAGGACTCTTGCTTCAATGAGGCCCAAGGAATCCTTATCATCATCATCATCATCATCATGATTAGGGGGCTGGAGGCTAACACATATGAACAATGGATGGACAGTGTGGATGCAGCAAAAAAAGAGCTGGGGGTTTTCAAGAAAAGTCTAGTCTAATAAAAAGAAGGACTGGGGAGACATGATAGCAGTCTTCCAATATTTGAGAGACTGCCACAAAGACAAGGGGGTCAACCTATTTTCCAAAGCATCAGAGGACAGGACAAGAAACAATGGTTGGAAACGAACCAAGGAGAGAAACAACCTAGAACTAAGGAGACATTTAAGCAATGGAATAGCTTGCCTTCAGAAGCTGTGAGTGCTCCTTCACTGGAGGTTTTCAAAAAGAGACTGGACAACCATTTGTCCAGAAAGATATATGGGGAAAGCCGAATTCAATTAAAAATTGTGGTTCACTTAACAACCAATGGAAAAAAGTTTGTAAAATTGGGCATCACTCACTTAACTGCCTAGCAACAGAAATTCTGGTCCCAGTTGTGGTCATAAGTTGAGGACTACATGTCCAGGGACAATGCCAAACAACAAAAACAAACAAACAAACACAACATTGCCCCTTTGTATCTATGAGCCATGTCAACATGCCTTCAACATGGGTGGGGCTTGACTGCCATCACCTCCCTCTGGCCTTTTTGGATTTCCCGCCACCCTACGGATAAAGGTATCCCACTTCTTTTCCATCCTCTGCAGTCCTCTTCCTTCAACACCCGCGCAGGTCCTTGATGATTCTAGTTCACTCACTGGCCATGTCAAGATATATTTTGCCTTGTATTTGCCTTTACTGCAATAATGACCCTTTGCAGTTTTCACATGAAGAAGGGATAGGTAAGCAATGCACATGGAGAGACTTGTATATATTTAAAAAGACAACAAAAAATGTTTTTTTTCTAGCTTCTTCCCCAAAAGAGCACTATTACACCACTCATGAGCCGATCTCATGGTTTCAAAAATTACAGATTATTATATCAATTAATAGGGCCCATTCCCAAAGCAAATGTCTCCATAAAACCATCCTTAAAAAAATAGCAACCCAAACATTTCTATAATGAAGTCAATATTCTCTGGCATGATCTCTTTTCCAGATCAGGAAGTGTCCTACACCACTGGAGTGAAATCTATTATTTTGTGGAACATCTGGCTCACAAATTTATAAGGTAAGAAGTTATAGCCAGCTGACAGCATAAGATATGGGTTGCAGTGGGCTGAACATCTGCCTTCAGTCTCTGCATGTTTACTCCAAAGTAAAGGCCAGAGTTTTCAGTGGGGCCTGCTCTAGCCATAGGATTCACTAGAGGAAACATACTGAAGTTTGTTGATTATAGCCTTCATGTCTACCGTAATCATGATGTAAACTAGAAGAAAATCGAGCAGATGTTCTTTTCAGTATCAGCAGTAGAATCCTTCAGGTTTCTGGGTCCTGTACTGTAATCTCTTTGGATTTGAAATGGACACCTAACATTAGAACCATCATTAAAAAGGCACAACAAAGAAGGTTCTTCCTGCGTCAACTCAGAAAGTTCAGAGTACCCCAGGCACTGCTGATACAGTTCTACAGAGGAATTATTGAATCTGTCATTTGCACTTCTATATAATTGTCTGGTTTGGTACAGCAGCCAAACAGGATAGGGACAGACTTCAGTGGATAGTTAGGATTGCAGAAAAAATAATTGCAAGCAGCCTGCCTTCCATCGAAGACCTGCAGATTGCATGGGTCAGAAAGGAGGCTCAGAAAATATCTACAGACTCCACCCATCCTGGACATAAACTGTTTTAACTCCTCACCTTTGGATGGCACTATAAGATATTGCATGCCAAAGCAACTAGACACAGAGACAGTTTTCCCCCCTCAAGCCATCATTCTGCTGAACAGTTAATACTGACGGTATTGTTTTATGTCTAATTATATTTACCCATCTCGTATGGCTGTAGTATTACTACTATTATCCTTCTCATCTTCTCTACTACTCCCTCTTATTGGTATCATATTATGATTACTATTAGTCTGTTGCTTTGCATGCACATTGAGAGCTTCTACACCAGAGACAAATTCCTTGTGTGTCCAATCACACCTGGCCAATAAAGAATCTTCTCTTCTCTTCTCTTCTCTTCTCTTCTCTTCTATTCTATTCTATTCTATTCTATTCTATTCTTTTCCTTGTCTTGAGTCAAGTTTGCCCTCTTAAAACCTTGTTGTTCCTTTGATTTGCAGTAACATTGTAGCTAAAAGAAACTTACTGAGCAATTTTGAAATAATTGAGAAAAACATCAACTTTGTTTTGTTATTTTTGTTGTTGCCTTGAACTGGATTTCCTCTTAATGGAATGAAGGGAACACAAGTTTCAAAGAATTCCAAATAGTTTGTTTTCCTGCTGTTTTTATGGGCAGAAACTCCTGGAACTGATCAGAAGCTGATTTATTGTTTTCAAGGAGGTCTAGTTTTTTTAGAGGAAGAAAATTGCCACAGTTCTGAGTCTTAAGGTTGGGTTCTAGTCTTAGTAAGCAATCACGTATACTTTAACTGAGTTGTCACAAGGTCTTCAAAAGGATCTAAGATAGGAAAGTTGGGATTTGGTGAGGGGTTGAGAATTATTCAAGATTTGTTCAAGGTTGCAAACTACTTTTGTAAATCTTGATTTTTTTTTCTTTTCATTGAAATGGAATAAAAGCCCTTATTAAGTACTGTAAATAAATCCCTGGCTCTGCTCAGAGTAGAGCATCCAAAAAATGACCCTGAGATTAATTTACATTTTTAGAAGCGTGCCTTCAGAATGATGTAAGAAATGGATCTCTTTCTACAAGCAGCACCAAAAATTTTATACAATCTGCAGAGGCAGCCACGCATGGAATGCACATAAAAAGGGATGAGGCTTCATAGTCACAGCTGCCATCTTGACTTTTTTCCCCACCTTTTGTGAATACCCAGTAGAGGTAGTTCACACATTCAAGTGGATAGAGGAATATTGTCATGTTTTGCTGAGAGAGGGAAGGAAGGAAGGAAGGAAGGAAGGAAGGAAGGAAGGAAGGAAGGAAGGAAGGAAGGAAGGAAGGAAGGTCGGTCCTCATTTTGCCGTCTTTCTTTCTGCAGCCCCCAGTTGAGAATGTCCTTTATTGTCTTCTCCACTCAAGGTTCAACCCTGATGGACCTGACAGAAGACAGGTAAGAAGGAGGGGGGGGGGGTATTACTGTCCTAGGACCCGCCATCCTAGCTGTTACTCTGCACACAAATGTTGATGTTATAACCTGGGTAACAAGCATGAGCATCATATTAAATATGCCTGGGCACCTCATCTCTTAAGGACCACGTCTTTCAAGGACCCCAAATGATCCCTAGAATGGATTTGGAGGGCCTTGAGGAGGGAATCAGACATTTTCAGTCTAATGTTGAAAACAGGTTATGTTGCTTTTTTGAAAAGTTGTACAACTGTCCTGTTTTACCCAGAGAGAATTTTTTGATTTATTAGTGACTATGTTTATATTCAGCCAAAATAAGTACTTTGCTGTTCTTAAGAACAGCAACAACTACTAGAGATAGAAGATATCTATTTTGAAGAGCATCATTGTAGGAAGGGGTCCAAACTGTGCTCATTTTCCACATGAACAGCTTCTCGTGCTTTAACAAGCCTTCCTCCTGTCATTGTGTCCAGAAGAACTGTGTTAGCCTGTCTAGCAGTTGCCTCATGCTGCTGTCAATGACCACAGCCAAGTTCTCCCTTGATTTGGTGCTTCCAAACCATACGTCCTCCTGTTCAGAGGCACCTTATTAGGGAGAAGGGCAGAGAGAGAGAAGAGAAGAGAAGAGAAGAGAAGAGAAGAGAAGAGAAGAGAAGAGAAGAGAAAGGGGGAGAGAGGAGAGAGAGAGAGAGAGAGAGAGAGAGAGAGAGAGAGAGAGAGAGAGAGAAATGTTCTACATTTTTCCTCCCTAAATATAATTGCATTTGTCTCTTACAGCATACTTTGTTCCCCCACAAGTCAGGTTTCCACCCTTTAGTGCAGTAGCATTAGAAAAGTAAGAAAAGAAGAGGGAAGAAGGAGGGAGAAAGGCACGTGTTGGCAAATCTGACACCTCTTTACTTGTTGGGAACTGCAATAGATGGCCCCAAATCAGACTTTTCCCATACATGTTTCTGCAGATATTGGTGAATGGTGAAGTTCAGGGGAAACAATCCAGCTGTCTTCCCCTTTTCCTACCCTTAGACTTTCTTAGGACTCCGGAAATGGAGCTCGCAGGTTGCCAGGCACTGTGCAGGAAAGAATAAAGAAAAAAAGATGGGAGTCCTAAGAAAGAGAACTTTTCCTATGCCTAGAGAGCAAAATAGTTATCAGCCATCTTGCCGTTCTGGCTGTCTCCGTACATTGTCTTGCCTGGAGATAATAGTTTTCCTCAATGTTTCTCTCTCACCACAGCATTGCAAAATGTTTTATTTCAAATAGACAATGAGAGAGTTCAGAGCTGTGACTTCTTTGGCATGCCTATCTTGCCTGTAGCAAATACTTTCTCTCTAACCAAAGCTGGTGTCTTCTGCTGTTCCAGAGAAAAAATCCGTCGAGGTTTGGAGGATCTTCAGAAGGTCTTGCCTGGAGGAGACACCTACATGCACGAAGGATTTAAAAGGGTAAATAAGAGCAAAGAAATTGAGTCTTTGTTTTATGATGGGTGCCAGATGCAGAGGGCAGTCTGGGCCGGAGCATCTACAGGAAGTAGGTGTGAAAGGCAGCAAGATGATGGTTGCTACCATCCCATCAAATCTCCAGCCAGTTTTTGATATGCTTTCCACACAGGATGCACATAAACATGGGATGGGGCTCCAATTTCAGGGTCACAATGTCCCACTTGACTTTTGCTTTGCTCTGTGGCTGGATAGCAACCGCCCATCCCGTCCCCAACTTATCTGCTTCACAGTGTGGCCCCATATTCTTGCCACGAGTAATTGAAGCTATACTTTATCTATGCATTGCATCCTAATAATTTTCTTTGGTTCTGTTTTAGGCCAGTGAGCAAATTTATCATGAAAATGATCAAGGTAAGAATACGTTCAATAAAGTGGTCATTATTACTTTTGCTCATTTGTTAAGCGTCTTCCTTCATTATTTTGCAGTTGACCTTCCCTGATAGTTGTTATTATTCTAAATCAATCTATTTCCCTCTTGGTACACATTACGGGTAGTCCTTTACTTACACCCATTCATTTAGTGACCATTCAAAGTTACAACAGCCTTGAAAAAGTGACTTATGACTGTTTTTCATACTTATGACTTTTGCAGCATCCCTATGGTCATGTGGGACATCAATATTTGGACACTTGGCAACTGGCATGTACTTAGGATGGTTGCAGTGTCCCAGGGTCATGTGATCACCTTTTGGGATCTTCTGACAGGCCAAGTCAATGGGAAAGCCGGATTCACTTAACAACAGTGTTGCTAACTTAAAAACTGTAGTGATTCACTAAACAACTGTGGCAAGAAACATTGTAAAATGAGGCAAAACTCACTTAACAACAGCAATGTTGGGCTCAATTCCGGTCATAAGTCAAAGACTACCTGTAGTGCTACCCTGTTTCCCCGAAAATAAGACCCGGTCTTAGTGTTTTGTTGGCCTCCAAAAGAGGCACCGGGTCTTATTTTCGGTTTGTGTGCATGTGTGTGTTTTCCACTCACTTTGCAGTAGCGGCACCAGCAGCCCTGCCCAGCCGGCCCCCTTCTTCTGTGGCCGAAGGAGCAGCTTCATTCTGCAGCTGAGAATGGAGCTCCAGCCTGCATTTCGCAGCCAGAGGCCTTTCCGGATTGAATCCATAGCGCCGTTCTTGGCTGCAGAGGCCTTCCGGAAAGGCCTCTGACTGAGAAATGCAGGCTGGAGCTCCATTCTCAGCTGCAGAATGAAGCTGCTCCTTCCAGCGAGGCAAGTGTCGATCCATGGGAGGCCTGGCTGCAATGGGAAGCTCCAACCCTGCCAACCCGCCCTAGCTTGATTTTTAGCTGTGTGTCTTGCCCCAAAATGAGGGCTTATTTTGGGGGCAGCTCTTATATTAGGCCTGCTCCCCCCCCAAATTAAGCTAGGGCTTATTTTTGGAGTAGGTCTTACTTTCGGGCAAATATGGTATTCTGATATTAAATGAACATATAGACATACAGACACACGTACTTGAAAGGCATGAGTAATTAACAAAATTGACACTAAAATAAATTGCAGGATATCCAGCATTAATTCTTCCCAGTGGAGAACAACAGGAAGTAATAAAACCTCTGAATGTTCAAGTATTAAAACTTTTCATTAAGGTTGCCAGGAATCTTTGCTAAAGTAAACTGGTTGTCCGGAAATGTTATCAGAGCATCTTAACTATTGCAAAGGGCAATGCAATAAAGTTCTACATTAAATGTTAATAACAGTGTTTTGGAAGCCTCAATTTTATTGGATTTCTAACTGTTTTTGAATGGAAGTTTGAGACCAAATTATTCTGTTCTGTTTTTATTCAGAAGTAAGCTCTACTGGGTTGGGTTCCATAACATTTGAAGCCGTTGAAACACAACTCTGTTCATTTATTTTTTTTATTTCTTCCACATTCCTACTCAGAAAACCCTGGGCAGACCTCAGAGTATCTAAGTTTGATTAGTGGTTCTGTGGCATCACACATCTGCAGTGTGAAAACATAGTTTTGATATCTTCTTGCAATTCAAAATGCTGCTATTAAGACAAACCCTTGTTAGATCCACCATGGGGAAACTACACATTGCCCACACATGTAGATGATTGCTCTGCAATTCTGACTTTTCTAAAAAAACAGAAATCTACTTTGAAATGGAAGCACATTAAACAGTGGTGCATAACCCATCCCCCTCATTTCTCTGCTTGCTGCTTTTAAATCCTCTTCCATTTTTTTTAAAATCCTGTTTGCTAGATTAATCTGAGTAGTTGGTTTTCAATGTTTGCCTTTATGGTCTAGTAGAGAAGGCACCAGGCTAGAAGCAGGAGACCCAGAGTTCTAATCCTGCCTTGGGTATAAAAGCCAGACAGAATTCTTGAGATTATTTTCACTTTCATAACAGCAGTATGTTAACATGAGTATAAATGCATGACTCAGGTTGACAGCAGCAGCCAAATTAACTTTAATTACTTCTTCACTGTGGTGGGATCATTTGAAACCCGGACCACAGACAAGCCCAGACCACGCTCAGATCACAATAACAATCTTGGGGTGATAAGAACACCTTTGGGCAGTAATTCTGCCTTCTCTGCAGTTGGCATGCTGTAATTGGGATGATAATATGTTGTCTCTTCTCCATGATGGGCCTAAAGCGATCCCAAGGCTTCCCTCTTGCTGTCAGGCTACATGGAAAATGAATGAATGTACAACTCTGGGGAAAATGGCAGCCTTTAATTGTTTCTCGTACATCCCATCTGTAATTTTTAATAAAAGGTGAGGCAGAGTTCAGCTTGATGTGAATTTACAGTTCTTTAATCAGATTGCATCCATTTAAGCACGCAGGGAAAGAAAGTTCAGGATTCTTTCAAGATTTGATCACAGCTAAGTTGTGGAGCTGTTGTGGGTGTGCCAAGGTAGAAGAGTTGAATCCAACAATTATCCAACAAGATGTCTATGGAGATTGTCAGTCATCCAGGTCATGGTTGTCCCAAAGCTGCTTTTTCAGGACGCAACTGGACTTTCTTTGTTTTTTCTTTTTTCTTTTCTTAAGATGATCACTCATGCACCTCTGCTTATACTTTAAAAATCATTTATGTTTGTATCCCAAAAGTAAACATATAGGTTAGATAAGCTGGATGCTTTGGAAAACATGCTAACATATTCACTACAGAATTACATCTGCTTTCCTATGAAATGTGCATGTGGGCGTGTGTTGGCACATCTTCAAGTCATTCTGGACTCTTGGCAACTGCTTGCCCAGGTCCCCAAGAATCCCAGTTTCCAGTCTGGTGCCTCCACCAAACTGGCTCTCTTCTTTGAGCCGCCCTTGACAGTGACCACATGGATGAGTCCCTGCAGTTTTCTTGGCAACATTTTTAGAAGTGGTTTGGCATTGGCGCTTCTTCCCAGGCCTGAGAGGGGGACTGGCCCAAAGTCCTGCAGCCAACATCTGTGCTCAAGGTTAGAACTCAGTTTCTAACCACTGTATTTAACCACCATATTAAACATTTAGTTGTTTGTATAAACTTTTGCGCAAACCTGACTATCTATGTCAGGGGAAGACAACCTTGGCTCTTTTATGACTCATGGACTTCAACTGCCAGAATTCCTGAGCCAGCCCTGCTGAGGGAAAAGGGAGAGGTTTCCAAGCTGAGCCAGGCTGGCGCAGGAATTCTGGGAGTTAAAGTCCACGAGTCATAAAAGAGCCAAGGTTGCCTACCCCTGGTCTATGTGTATGTAAAACATGAAGGAAATGTCTATGACAGTTTGCAAACAGCACCAGGTAAGCAGCATCGCATTCTGAGTGAAGCAAGATGGCAGCTGGTTGTTCCATTGTCCTTGATCATTAATTTTACTTCTGGAATGGCTTCCCTCATCAGGTTACAGGACCGCCAGTGTCATTATTGCCTTGACGGATGGAGAACTTCACGAGGACCTTTTCTTCTATTCTGAACAAGAGGTAGGAGCCTTGCTTTGAAAGTCTGTAATGAATTGAATGATGCCCCAAAAAAGTTGCTCTTCCCAAGGAATGGAAATCCAGAAGCAGGTTGGTTTTAAAATCTCAACTCCTACAGGAAGCTCAATCAAACAATGCCCATAACCTCTTTCTTGGTCTAAGCACTTTTGTGCGAGAGGAGACTGACAGATCTTCTCCTTTGCAGATAAAGCCACCTCTTGGGGTTTCTCAGGAAAGGAAAGGAATGAATTCTTAGGGTCAATATGTTAATTTATCTTGGATTTGCAGAGGGAGGGAGGGAGGGAGGGAGAGGGAGAGAGATCCAGTGAGGTTGATGGCACATGTTTGCAGACAGTGTTTTGTCTGTCTAACTCAGAGGCTCACAACTGGCATGTCATTTTCACTCGCCTGGACTCAGCTTTATTTTTGGAGACTGTTGCAAACAAGAGAACTTTGCCCAGACAGGCTTGGAGCCACAGTCTGACAGTTCACAAACTCATTTTACAGGGAGATGCATTAGAAGGGCAGAATATAAATGTTTAAATAAAGTAAAAAGATGCAGATGAATTGGCTTTTCTCTTGGGAAGTGACAAGAGGTTTGCATGGCACTTCACGTCTTTTAATACATTATTGTATTAAACCTCTCCGATAACTGCACTGCACCTCCATCTTTGCATCCCCACTTTGTAAGGGTTGGAGGGGACAAATCTATTTATTTCAATGTTGCTGTATTTTTTTTCTTCCCATCTTATCTCCCATCAGCCAGATTCTGCTTCATTATTTTTTCCCCCCAAGTCTTCGTGAGCATTCATTTTGTTTCCACACAGTTCTGGGAAGCATGCATTAAGAAAGCACATAATGAAATATAAACCCAATGGATTTCTTTCCCATCGTTAGCCTAGGGACTTTCCCAAGGAAAATGTTGCTGCTCTCTTCCCTCAACTGTCATCTTTGACTGCAAAAATTAAATACTTCAGGATTCAGCAGATGCATTACAACATCTTTAGGAGGATGAACCAGAGGATGTGATAATTTTTTCAGTAACACGAATCTTCAGGGCTGTCACCACAGTTCTATCAAAGGGACTAATCTGGGCTCCAAGATGGGGAGAGCACATTAATTTGGCTGTATTCTAAAAAAATAAGGTTTCTCAACAGCACAGGGGTAGAGAGATCCATCCATGCATTGTTGGAGTTGAAAACCCACAATGCATAACTTGGCCTTCCTTAATCCAAGGCCTTCCAGATTCTTTCAGGAATTCTTAGTCTGCAACACATCTGGAGGGCATTAGATTGCAGAGAGCTATCATGGCCTGTCCTCTCTGTCTGAAGCATTTGAATGGAATTGGCTGGATTTATCCGGCATGTCTTCTTTTAGGATGCTTGGGAGTTGAGCAGCCTTATGTGGGACAAGGCTTACATTGTGAGATGCATCATTTCAGCCCTCTTCTAAAATCATAATTATTGTTGTGCAGAAGTCTGAATTCCCTCTCTCCTGTCTCCCCATCATTTCCATTCAAGAGAAGAAGCTCCTGACAATTTTTTAAATTTAATTCCTAATAAAGACATGGGGCCAACTGACCCCTGATTGGCCCTTGCTGTCACATAATTCCTGCTGGCATTAAAGCCCAAGGTCCGTGCCTGGAGCATCCAGAGTGGTGCGAAAGGCATTGGAGAGAAAACCAATGTATCATGAGTGGCAGCTTGAAATGGCAGAGGCCTTCTACAAGCTGGTGTCTCCAGATCTTTGGAAATGCAAACTGGGGAAGTTTTAATCCAATGGACAGATAGTCTTTGACTTATGACCACAACTGAGCTCAAAATTTTTGTTTCTAAGTGAAACAGTTCTTGAGTGAGTTTTGCCCCATTTGGTTACCATAGCTGCTAAGTGAATCATTGCAGTGATTAGTAACATTAATTGTTACAAGAACCTGGCTTCCCCTTTGACTTTGCTTGTCAGAGGTCGCAAAAGGGGACCACATGACTTTGGGAAACCACAACCGTTGCCGAGTGTCTGAATTTTGATCACATGACCATGAGGATGTTGCAACAGTCATACGTGTGAAAACGGTCATAAACCCCTTTTTTCCAGTGCAATTGTAACTTCAAACAGTCACTAAACAAATGGTTGTAAGTCGAGGACTACCTGTACTGTATAAGGAGGGCCAGGAAGGCTTACATAAAGAAGAAGCAACTGCATTCTCCTCTGCTTCCCTCAGTCGAAGATTCTTTTTTTAAATCATAATTATGGGTTGCATCCCAAACAGAAAGGCCATCCTAACCTGTTGAATATGTTTTTTTCTTCCCGGTGAGCTGGCAGGTAGGTGGGTGAGATGGGCCAGGAGATAGAATGGGAGCTAGGAAGCCCCGCCTGAGAACAACTGTTTCTTTATGCTGGGTGGGCTGCAATCCATGCTTTGACCTCTCTTTCCAGGCCAACCGGTCCCGTGAGCTGGGAGCCACAGTGTACTGTGTTGGTGTAAAGGACTTCAATGAAACTCAGGTAATTTTCAGTCATTTTGCATTTGGGCAAAGCTTGGTTGAGTGCAACAGCTTTCAGTCTCGTTTGAAATTGCTTTTGAGGGAGCTAGAAGTCCAGGAGTATCTGCAGGATATAGCTCCAAAATGTCAAAAATGCCTGTGTTTTTGCTGTAATGGTTGAGTTCGGGCTGATAAAGATTCAGAAAATGGATATACAACCAGTTTCACGGTTTCCTGTGAAAAAGTTCTGACATCTCTACAGACATCACAGGATGGCTGGAATAACAAAAATGAAAATGAAAAATGAAATTGATCCAATGGGAAACAGTTCAGCTACTGGAGTACGTACAATCCCATTCCTCATATTTCAATAAATCTTGCTAAAGAAAACTTTAAGAATTAGATTGGAAAGAATGTTGGTTTTAGGCAGCTGCCAAAGAGCCTGGAAGATGCCTCTAAAGACTCCATGGATCCATTCTCCTGTAATAATTTAAACTATGATCCAGGTTCAGCCAGGATTCTATCATAGTTTTTCTCAGCCTCAGCAGCTTAAGAGATGTGGACTTCATCTCTCAGAATCCCCCCGGCAGAATTCTGAGACCTGAAGTCCACAAATCTGAAAGTTGTTGAGGTTGCAAAACACTGTCCTATTATATTGAAATTCTCTGCTTCAAGGGGGTTTGCTAATTCCCCTTCACCCCACTATGGTATTTGGAAAAACTAGAATCCTATTGTGGTGATGAGTGCAAATTCTGAGAAAAAAAATGAGCACAGAAGAAACAAAATCCGCACACACATGAATGGCAACAAAGCTTGACAAACGGCTGTCTCCACCTCTTGTGCAATGGTCATCTGCCTCTGGGCAGTGTCCAGCTTCTCCTTACATCCTTGTTGGCTGACTCACTTTTCCACCTATTTTTTCCTCCAAAACCAGTTGGCCCGCATTGCTGACAGCAAGGATCACGTTTTCCCTGTGAATGATGGCTTTGAAGCTCTCCAGGGCATTATAGACTCTGTAAGTCTTTCTTACCACTGTACGCATTTCATGACTTAGTGAAATTAGCATTGTTGTTGCCAGAAACAGTATATTTATCGGCATTGGAACATCTGAGGGCCTCCTAGGAAGAGACCAGTAGCAGCCACTGAACTGAATGGCTTGGCCGAATGGAAGAGAGATTTGGGCTGAATGATAGCTTTGAAATGCTCAGGAATTATTTAGCAAAAGCAAAGAACATTAGTGGCTTTTATTCAGAGGGCTGGGGGCATCATATGTCATTACGAAGGCCTGCATCTCACTTCGTTTTTGAAACCAAATCACCCAAATGGGGAAGTACAATACTGTGTTAGCGAGTCTTGCCACTTTTCCACAATATTTTTTGTTATTGCTAGCATTGATGATGTTACTTAGTTTGGTAATGAAACATCTACAAGAAATCCACCAAGCTCAGAGAGCACCTAGGACTGCACAGTTCAAACTGAGTTACAAATATTCCCTTCTATTTTTGCTAGATCTAAAGAGAGGATGCCAGGTATCAGTGTACGGTCTTTTGGAACCTAATAGAGAAGGGCATGATTCAGGGACATCTACAGAGAGGAGGTGAAAAGAGTCAAGATGGCATCCATGACTGCTCAATGAAAACCACCATCTTGACAATTTTTTGATCCTACATGTGGAGGCTCCTTGCCTGATCCTTTCTCCAGAGCTTCTACTGCAGGACTGTCACATCCAGGCAGTCCTCAACGTATGATCACAATTGAGCCCAAAATTTATGTTGTTAAATGAGACATTTCTTAAGTGAGTTTTGCACAACAGTGTGGTCACAACAGTGTAATAGAGGTGTCCCCTGGTTTTTTTATGTGCAGATTCTCTGTGTCAGCACCAGTTCTTGTCTCTGTGAGTCACCTCTAATACTCCCTTTTGCAAATTAAAAGCAAATTATTTTTTTAAAAATAATAAAGGTGGGACATACATAAACGTAAATAAATAATTGTAATATTACAATTGGCAAATTACATCATTTATCATTTGATTCTAAATGTGTAGATCAAGCAGATGCAGGCGGGGGCCAGCAATGTCCTTGAAGGAGCATAAAAGACTGAACCAGGCAGTGCCAGGGCATTGAAGAAAACTCCATCTTACTTTGTGTGTATGTCATGCTCCAAAGGGCGGAGCCTATAGTGCAATGCTGTGGTGCTTCTTTCATGTTTCAGATAAAAGATGCTGGGACACATGGCGTCTGGGGTAAGCCCCACTGGTAGCTTCCATCTGCAACCATGGGGGCCATTTTATCATGGCAATGACCAAATGGCATCCTTGTGTCCTTCATGTTCTATATAGGGAACTCAATCATGTCGTGGTACCATTATTTTGATGCCATTGCGGGTTGTCCCTGATTCTTAGGTCCACCCTAGCAAAGAGGTATATGTATGTGTGAGTCATTTCAGATCCGCCAAACATCAGAAAAAAGGTATAGGGGCCTCCATGGCACCTTCTGCCTTACTGCAGAAGCCAAACAGGACTTCAGAACTTTTTACCCTTCTCCCAGTCCAAAATGAAGTTTCCCGTTCTTTTTCTTGAAAAGAATTAGCTGGAATGAGATTTTTGGGGATATGTGGGCCATGCAAATAAAATTAGCTGGCTACTCCAGATAATCGCAACGGAAGTCTCCATGTTGTGACTCACTCAAAGGTCACTGTCTCAAAGCGAGGGATGCCTTTTTCTGGAAGTTTACATCCTGCTTTTCCAAACAAAAGTTCCAAAAGTTCTCCGTCTGGATGCACCTGAGGTTCCTAAGCCATATTATTCTTTCGTGTGCCTTCTAGATTCTGAAGAAATCTTGCATTGAAATCCTTGCTGCAAAGCCTTCCAGTATTTGTGCAGGCGGTGAGTTTACAATGGGATGTTTTCAGCTTTTCTGGCTTTGGGGAAGGGGGTCTCGAGGGAAGGAAGTCGGCTGTCTTCTGGCATTCTGGGGTAAATTTTCCTTGGCACAAAAATGCCAGAAAATTCCATCTGCTGGTTGTCTGCTTGCATTAAAAAAAAAATTGATTTGATCTATTTTTAGAGTTGATTTTCATTTAAGGCAGACAGGCTCTGACATCTCAAACTTCATTTATAAGATATCGGGAGGCCAATTAACGGAGGTTTTTGCCTTCCCCACTTGGGCTCCAGCCCAAATCTCCTCTCTGCTGTGTCTTGGCTAACATTTGAAATTCTGAACAACCAAAAAAATGCAGATCCCATCGTCCCCCATCTTGGCTTTGTCCCTTTTCAAACTTTAGCTTCTCTGCCTGGAAAAATATCAGGATTGGGGATGGGGGCACCAGTTTCACATCCAAAGGGTTGGGAGCAAGAGGAATAAACTGGATTCAGGGATCTTGCTTGGAATATGTAAGACTAAACAGAGTGTGAATCAGCCTTGCTTAGAAAGCCACTCCCAGGCCCAGATATTGCTAAGGAGAGAGACTGCGATAGCTGGAGATTGCAGATTCTCCTCTGAGGTGGTACTTCTGCATGGACACAGAAGGTTTTGTTGGTGCGACAGAACTTCAAGAGCTCTTGGAGGGGGGAAAAGCTTATCATGTGGTTCTTATTTATTGATAAGCATTATATTTGTACAGGTAGTCCTTGACTTACAACAGTTCATTTAGTGATTGTTCAAAGTTACAACAGCACTGAAAAGAGTGACATGACAAGTTGTCACACAACCATTGCGGCATCCTCATGATCATGTCATCAAAATTCAGACACCTGGCAAGTGACTCATATTTATGATGGTTGCAGCATTCATCCCATCAACCTGCTCAGTATGTGTCCTTTGAGAAGTTCCACGTTTGCAATGGAGTCAAACTTCTCTGTTTCCTAGATAGGCTTCAGATCCAGGAACAGGAGCAAGCTGGAAATGAGCCAACTACCAGACTGAATTTTATTTCAAAGCAGACTTCCTAGGAACAAAGATGTACAGGGATAAATCCATGTTAGACTCACCATTGAAGAGATCTTCTAGCCATCTCAGAACTTCAAGCTTATTCCAGCTTCTCCTGCAAAAAAACTGGATTGCTTATTTTCTCTTTTTCCTACATTCAGATCTTGTCTTTCTGGCAATGGCATAGATTCCCTGGGAAAAAAGAACCTGCTTTATTTTGGAAAGAGTTAGGCTCCATGGACAGCAGCTGGCAAACAGACCTTGGCATCCACCCCAGCCGGCTGACTTTTGCCCCTTCAGGGGTCCCCGTTGGCTTGTTTAAGCATCTAACAGCTCGCTGGGAAGGAGAAGGAGAGCCATGAGGCCCTGCAGAATCACAGAGTTATTCAGAGTTCATGGGCTCCGCCAATTGTTTACTAATTATTTGGGATATAAATGGGAGTGAGTTTACATGCTAGATGAGAAACAGTTCATTCCCCAGGCTCTTCAAAGTCTGCAGACACAGCTATGTGATGAAGAATGCTGACCCACCCATTTTATGTTCTTCCAATGGATAAGCTGTCTTTGTTTAGTCCATGCTGATTTGTGTGTGTGTGTGTGTGTGTGTGTGTGTAATCATCAGTCTGAGCCATCCAATTTTAGCCTAGATCTGCAATTAACAAAGACAAAATTGCATTAAAGTTCACAATTTGACACTTTCTCCAATATTTTGGCATCCAGTATTTGACTCCAGAACTGCATTACAAAATGTGAAAAGCACAATTCATAGGATCGCTCATCTACAGGGGTTTTATGCCACAAACTAGAATTGACATCTGTTTTTTAAAATGTGTTCTCATCCAATGGTTGGCCCATGTCTTAACGAACAAAGTTATGAATTCAGTTGTTCTCAGATTTTATTTTATCTTCAGATGTTTTAGTGGCCTTTCAGATATTTCCTAGTTTGGGAGGAGGGACCTGGATGGAAACTAGGTGATACTTTCAGGGTAGAACTGGGTATATATCTTGGATTAATAGAAATCTTAAAGTCCCCATTTACTAAAAACGTGCCAAAAGAGCAGATGAAAGCTGTTGTTGTACCCTCAAGAACCCAGAAATAGGTATTTTTGAAGCTTCAATGCCCATGCAGGGTTTTGATCTTCAGTTCTCAGCAGGACCATGTTTGATTGTGAAATTGGGTCTCCACAACCATACAGAAAACTCTACAGTGGCGGAAAATAGTAGTCAGAATGGTGCTGTTTGGCCTTCTCTGGTTAAAAGAATTGGTTCTGAATATGAGAAGCCACCTCCCCAAAATTCAACAGATGGCATTTGTAGTGGGAGCCAATAAAACAGTAAGGAAAACATCTGCCAAACAGGGAGAACATCTGGGGAAATAAGTTCCATCTCTAGCTGGTGGTCTCTGCTTGTGTGAACCCTGGGAGTCTATCTCTAATCTAGAAGATGCCAAAAAGGGAAAGTGTCTTTAAATAATCTGGTCGCAATATATTTTTTAAAATATCAGAGAGTTCAGGCCCCTCGGATCTATTTTGTTCTTTTACTTGAATTTCAGGTCTTCTTCCCAGATGTGTAGAGGCCAAAACTTTACAGTTAAAAGCTAGAAAATTGACCTGAATTTATAAAAAGCTGGTAATCCCTAGCTGCCTTGTTATTGTTGCTGCTGCTGTTATTATGACTGGATGGACAATCAGCCATATCCATGTTTAGGCTGGATTTGGCATTTTTGTCCACCTGCTGAGTCCTTCCCAAGGATCTGGGATGGGCAGATGTTATTGTCTGATGGTGTTGAAGGTGCAGCATTGTTGCAGGATGTAAGCTGTTTCAAATAAAGCTGCCTTTTGTAATTGACTGATGATGATTTTGTCAACACCAATGGTGTTCAAGTGGTGCTCCGGTTGTTTTGGGATTGCACCCAAGGCGCCTGTGACAATTGCTTTCTTTTATCATAGATGTTCTACTTCTATTTACAGGTCTTTGTATTTCGTGATTTTCTCCAGTTTTTTCTCTTCTCTTCTGCTATCTCCAGGTACTGCAACATCCTATATCCAGACTTTTTTTTGTCTTTCTTATCAACTGATCTTAAGCGTGGGGTGTTATGTGACAGGTGCTGTCTGTATGAATTCTAAAAACCCAGAGCACTTTAACTTCTTTATTTTCTATTACTTTATCTATTTAGTGGTCCCACCAGTTCCTGCTTGCAGGCAATTGGTACTTCTTGCAGGTATTTCAATGTACCATTGTTGCTACTTTGTCATGCCGTTGTTTGAGGTTAGTCTGTGTGAGCATCTTGCAACAGTTAAGCTACTATCATAGGCTAATTATTATAATTATATAATAATTATTTCAGCTGTTCAGTTTAAGTTTAAATGCAAAGTTTGCTGCATTTATAGATACGCTGCTGGATGTCAAAAAGGAATTCATTTTAATTTACTGCAAATAATGTAAAAAAAACCTCTAGGCAAAGAATAGTTCACAGATCTGTTATTGCACTGTAGGATTTGGACAAGGCACTAGATAGGCACCTTTTGGGACAATTTAATTAGTTGCCTTATATATTGCAGGGGGTTGGATTAGATGATTGTTGTGATCTTGTCAGATGCAAATAACCAGGAGCATTTGTTGTATTCAAAACAAAAAAGAGACTATTATTGCTACCTATACATAATAATCTAGTCATCTAATGGTCAAAAGTAAATTGGCACTGGATAAGGGTCAATGGAATTTACGGTGGGAGGGCTGGACCTGGCTGTCTTGTAGCAACACAATGACTTCAAACTCATGACACATTTAATTCCGCCTTCCAGCTCAGCTTGCTGTTCCCCTATAGGTCCTTTCCAACTCCACATATTTGTGATTATGGACCTATACTCATGCAGCCAAAATTCAGTAACAAAAATGCTGATTTTCAGCAGTACAAATTGCATTTCTTTCTTTCTTTCTGCACTCATTTCCACTTTTACCCCAAAACAGGTTGGAAAGTTCCATCCACCCCTCCCCATCCTCCCACCACGGCTCTGTGTCTGGAAAAATACCACAAAATACTTCCTGCTCCAGAACATTTTCTTTGGGAAATCTGTTAAACCATTTCCAGAACGTCAAGGCAAAAATGGGCCTTCTGGGGAATATTTAATCCCTGGGATATTGAGTTTTGGAGATCCTACACTTGGGGCCTTTTTCTCTTCCTTCTTGCTCGGACAAGTATTGCAGACTTTGAAGCTGGGCACAAGTGGCTTTTTCTCCACTGATTTTTGGGTCAGAGAAATTGGGTGGATGAGTTCTCTAAACTTTTTTTCAGGAGAAAGAAATGCTTTGACTGTTCCTCCTAGGTGGGACTTCCCCTTGGTGGTGCTCCTGGTCTGAACTGAAGGAGCCCCACCAAAAACTTGTGGGAAGAGTGGCAATAGCTGGGGGGGGGATGGAGTGAAAAGAGGAATCGACCTACAATCCCTACGTAGCTGCAAGCAAACTAAGTCCAACCCCCCCCCCCCGAATTCTGTTGACCCTTATCTAACTCTACCCAGGTTCTCACCATTAGTTAAGATTTTTGTGCATAGACTATAGCAATAAATCAGTTTAATTGAACCTTCATGTGATTTTCTGCATCTGACTGAAGTCCTCTTCAGATGTCCTCCATGGGGCTCAACTGGGAAGCCAGAGAGGCTGTTGACTCTGGAGATAGGGTGGTCCAGTGAAAGAAAGTCACTGGAGAAAGGAAAATGGAGCGGAAGGTCTTTCTTCATTGTCGTGCACACAAAGGCAAGAATGTCCCTAAACCTCCCATTGATCAAGATGCCCATGATGCCTTCACTCCCATTTCACTAATCAGCTGCCTCAATAACCCCTATTTATTTATGAAATCTAAAATAACCAGACAAGGATTCTTCCTCTTCTCTGCAAAGGATGGCGGGGTGGGGTGGATCTTCTACCTGGCTACACCCTTTCCTGAATGAGCTCACCAGTTTGAAACCAAGGAGTTGCTTAGGCTGGCTGTGCAGCCAACCCACCCTTTGGGATGAAAGCAACTGAGTCTTGGAGTGGAGCCTAGATTCCTGAGTCAATTTGTATGCTTTGTGCAGCTATAGTGCAGGAGATGCCCCCCTTCCCGCCCCAAGGCATGGATTTGGCCAGAGCGAGAGCGAGTGGGCGGTGGCTGTTGAGCACCAGAGATACTGTTGATTCAGCAGAAAGTGGGGTCACTTGGCTTCAAAGCATCGACAGTCATCCTTGCCTGTTCCCCAATGATTCCTTCAGTTTTAAGCACTGTTGCACAGACAAAACTTGCTGACTGCAGGGCAGAGGCTGTTTAGAAAATTCTTGGTGAGGTGTTGCTTCCGACTTTCTCGGAAGCTTTTTTCCTTTGCAGCAGCAGATCAAAAGCAGTGGCTCTGATCCCTTTTATCCTACTGATCACTAGGGCCACTTAGAGGCTTTTGCACTTCCTCTTTGCTGCGCTTTTACCCCTGATTGAAAGACAGATGCTCCTTTGGACAGAAAAGGCGGCTCTGGATCCGTGTTTCTCAATCCCAGCAACTTTAAGGTGTAAGGACTTCAACTTCAACCATTTAGCACACAGGGCCAAAAGTTAAATAGAAATTAGTGTTGGGCCAAATGATTGAAATGGCACTAAAACACCCACAGAGAGACACATACACAAGCTCTACATTGCGTAGTTGTTTCTCCCAATTTCCCAAAAATGTTTGATTTTTTTTAAGGGTAGTAAACAAAACTCTTGTCTGCAGACCAATTTTTCCAGTGATATACAGTACCTTAATATGCATGATATTGGAGCAAGGTTTTACAAAATATTAAATTTTCTATGAATGTCCTCCAAATGTTTTAATTGTCTTTTTAGGATGATGAGATAAGATTGTATCATAAGACCTGCATCATTTTTTTTTCTTTCCGTTGTTGATTACTGCTCAAATTCCACTCTCAAATACCTTCTGTGATGCTAGAAAAAGACACCTGCACAAGGTGGGCTGTATAAAACGTCATTTACATTCTGTTACACATTTCAGGAGCATTTGTGCGGACTTTTCTTTCTGTCATGCCTTATTCGAGTTTTCCTCTGCTAATTATTTGTCTTGTTCTAACATCTCTTTGGGCCAAAATATACTCTGCCATATCCTCAGGAGCTTAATTAAGATAACTGCAAAAAAAATAGACAGCTTAATTGTGGAGATTTTGGTGCCCTCTGAGCTTGGTGGTTTGCTTACAGATGTTTCATTACCAGACTTGGTAGCATCTTCATGTTCAAAAAAAAATTGCAAAAGAAACACCAAGCTCAGAGAGCACCAAGGAGTTCACAGTTCAATCCTGAGCTACATAAAGTCCCTTTTTATTGGTATCTTAATTTTCCTGGTTGATAGAAAGCTCAGAGTCAAGTCAAAAAGTAAAATAAAACCATCAACAAATAAAATGCCTGAGCACGGTTCCTTTATCTGGCATTATCATTTAATTATAATTTTAATAAATCAGTAATTATTTTGAACTCATAAAGAATATCTATATCGCTGCTTGGACTAAAAAATGACTTGATGGCACTTAATCAATCAAGTTTTTTTAAAAAAACAAAAACAAAAAACTTTTCTCAGATAAGTGGGCATAAGCCGTGGTTTCCTTTACTTTCAGAGTCCTTCCAAGTTGTGGTGACAGGAAATGGCTTCCGACACGCCCGTAATGTGGATCGAGTCCTCTGCAGCTTCAGAATCAATGAGACGGTCACACTCAGTAAGTTACCGTGTGGTCCTATCAACCAATAAACCCTGCATGTCTAATGATTTTATTTACTTTTACTGATTTCTTAAGGACAATAAAAACAAAACTGATACTACCACCAACATGATGGTGATGGTGGTGATGATGATTCCAGTCCTAATAATGGTTGTGTTGCATTGTTCATTTGTGTGGCGTTTGCGTCATTGACTGAAAATCCTTGCAGAAGGAAGAAGTGCTGTGGCTCAGCTTTGCCATCCTACTTCATTCAAGTGTCCTTGACACAGAGAAGAAGATTGGTAGGAATCCAGAGTTATCCCCAGGGGATGGTCAAAAAAGGCAATGTGGTGGTGTGCCCCATGAGACACACATAAGAACCTAGTTTCAGTCTCACTCTTGGAGATGTCATCTTGACTTTTTTGTCTGCACCCTACAGTCACCTCTGGAGCTCATCTGTTAACCAATGCTGATGATGGAAGTGTTGGTGTTAAGCTTAGCTGCCTTCTCCCTTGTTGCAGTTGGGAACAAAGACATGGAGATATTTTTTTTCTGTATCTTTTTGCCTTTGCTACTATTGGGCTGGATTCCACGCTACCAGGTATTGGGTAGAGCCATGATGTTTTTCTGGAGTCTAGGATTTCTTTAATTTCAAAATGTTGTTCACCTTCTACCATGACTGGAGGAGGGGGAGGAGTTTCGGCTGACCTTAAGGGGGACTGCAGTTCATGTTTTAAAAGGCTACAGTGGGAAATTGGGTGAACCTGTCTGAGTGTCTTTGGAAGTCCTAATTCTACTGTGACAGGATTAATTATTCTTTTAATGGGAAAAGGTCCTACAAATTTCGGTCCTAGCTTTTTTGAGGGTTGTAAGGATTTTAAGTATTTTGTTGACAGAAATGGTTTTTTGGGATGTACAGCTGTGTTCTTCTGCCAGGAATTCTTGCCTGACCCTCTCTTCTCCATCTCTTCTCTTGCAACACACAAACTTTGCCTTCTTGTTGATCCCAGGGGCATCCATGACACACCTTAAGAGGTGGCAGAGTCCTTCGTCTCTTGATGGCTTAAATCTTCTCTCCTTTCCATTCCTTTCCCAGTCCCTCCATGGTTATCACATGTTTTACAGCTTCCAGCATGCTCCAAAGATAACACGTCACAGAGGGTGTTGCAGGAGTTCAGCAATGAGGACATCACCCTGCTTGCAAACAATGCCTGTGAGAGGAATCTGAGCATCAATTAGTTGACAGTCTCCACATTTTTCTGATGATGTTCTCTGTCTGTGCTCATATCCTGTCTGGTTCTAGATCTGGATGGGACAAAAGAACGCAAAGAACTTAGGGGTTCTCCTGGGGGGAGACCGAGCACTAAAAATGAGTGGTGGGAAGGCACGTAGGGGACACATGTGGTGTAGATTGCCATGTGGTTCAGCACCTGACTCCATTTTACAGGTTGCAGCTCATGTAACATGCAAAAACTATAATAGCAAATGTAAAGAACTTCACACTCTACTTGGAAATAGCCGAACAAAAAAACCACTGGAATGCCCATGAAACCCCTGGGGAAAAGCTCCAGTCTCAAGCCAAGTTTGAACCTTGAGTAACACTCAGGGAAAACCAAATCCCAAAGGAAGTTTTTCCGGTGGTGACATTTACCCATGAAACTGCCATCCTTGTGGGGGGAAAGGAGCTATTTTGCTTGAAGTGTGGAAATGGATAGAGAAGCCACAAAAAGGCCACAAAGAAAAACAAAGGCAAAAACTGCAACTCTAGGTAGATCAAAGAGGCCAAGAGCTCAACAGGAATATTTTTGAATTAAAAATAAAAGGGAAATATTAAGAGAGGATCCAGAAATGTCATTTTTTTCTCCCAACATCTCTTGCTGTCCATAGAAGAAGCAAAATCCATAAGAGAGTCCTCCCTCTCTCTCTCTCTCCCTCCCTCCCTCCCTCTCTCCCTCTCTCTCTCTCTCTCTCTCTCTCTCTCTCTCTTTTGCTTCTCTGTCTCCTTGCCTGCCTACCCAGCAAGCAGCATCGTCTGTAACTTTGGCATCCGGAGCGCATATGATGTTGCTGCTATGCAAACTGGGCTGTTTCAGCATGATTTGGGGCATGGTTTTGATTACAGCATAAGCCAAACACTCATTCCTCATTTGCTGCGCTTTCCAGCAGGCGATTTGGTCTGGCTTCTTGACGGAGGGAAGGCACCAGTTGCTTGTTCTCTTGGCGTTCTTTCCTCCCCGCAAAATGGATTCCATTTTTTTTTAAAAGGGACTCTTTTTTGGAAGGGTTATTCTCTCCCCCCCCCTCTCTCTTCCCCCTCCCCCTCTCTCTAATGAGAGTCAGAAACATTTCAGGGCTAGAATAAGCAAACATTTCTGGAGAGTGTGAAGACTTCCAAGGTATTCTTTGGAGGCCACTGGAAATTCTCCTGGACCCAAAGACGCAGAGGAAATTCAGCTAGTCAAAGCCCTGTCCTCCTACCTCCTGCACCAAATCAGCTAGGTGAAAGAAAGAAAAGAAGAAAGAAAAGAAGACAATTCAAAGAGCAGAGACCCAGGAAAGAAGTGTCTTGCTTTCATTTTCTTCAGGTGCAAACAGAAAAAGTTCTGTTGGATCTGGATGGCCGCAGGGGGATCTGCAGGTAGAACTGAAAAGCTTCCATCGTGCGGGCACAGAAATCATCTTAACTCTTTTTTAACCCCTTGCAAATATCTCTGGCTGGCTGGCTGGCTTTTGGAGGTTTATTTAGGTAGAAAAGGGTTTATAGAGTCTCTCGACGTCCGGGACTAACAAAAATCAGGACTGTCTCAGTTAACGCCGTCCAGTCCTTAGCCATTCTGCCTTTGTAAATCAGGGAATATTTGTGGTTCTATCTTAAGGCATTTTGACCATGATGTGAGGGTCAGAAACACTGAGAAGCTATAATACAAACCTTTAAAGGAGGATTCGTATCAGAGTTTTAAAAATCACATCCCTTTTCCACCCACATTGCATCATTGCTATATCACTGAGGTTGCTGGGGTTCCTCAGAAAGTTATGACATTAAATGGTTGCCCACCGAGTCCTCACCTGGATGTTGTGTCTCCTGAGGTTGCTGTTCACCTGATGCTTCAGGGATCTCTTGCAGGGTCCAGATAGTTTGTGATGGAGCACCATCTTGAGCTGTGGAGACTCCTCTCCATTTTCTTAAGACACCTTCATGATTTGAGTCTTTCCTAGAGGCAGACCAATGACCCAGCCGTATCCTATGGCTTCTCCAAGAATTCATCCTTCAGAGAACCTCCCAAATCTTGCCAGCATAATGCCATGGTTTCTTTAGATAAGCAGTTTATCTAAATAGGGAAGGTGCAAAAAAGTCCAAAGTCTCCTTCAATGCAAGGCCCTGGAGGGCTTCCTGAGCACTTCCTGTAGGTTGTCCTGGCACCCGCCTGGAAGTTACTGTTTTTTTTTAATTTTTGCTTTCTGGATTTCTTTTCCCTTTCACTTGCCAAACTAGCCTACAGCTCTGCAATTTCCTGGTTGTCAACTTTCAAAGTCCAATATCTCAGGGGCTGCCATAAAGAAGAGGGAATTAAGCTATTCTCCAAAGCACCTGAAGGCAGGACAAGAAGCAATGGGTGGAAACTAATCAAGGAGAGAAGCAACCTAGAACTAAGGAGAAACTTCCTGACAGTGAGAACAATTAATCAGTGGAACAGCTTGCCTCCAGAAGCAGTAAATGCTCCAACACTGGAAGTTTTTAAGAAGAGACTGGACAGCCATTTGTCCGAAATGGTGTAGGGTTTCCTGCCCGAGCAGGGGGTTGGACTAGATGACCTCCAAGGTCCCTTCCAACTTTACTATTATTATTATTATTAATCTTGCCCAATTCAGCTTGGCTTGCAGATACAAAAGGGCGGGGCTTTGCAGCATCATGCCCACCATCTTGGCTCTTGGCCATCCCCCATGGGCACTCCTGGCTAAAACACTGCCATTAATTGAGGCTTGAAGGAAAATTCCCTCAAGCTGAGCTAAACTCAGCCATATGGACACCTTCCTCTGTTCTTCTTGATAACAGCAGTGATCGTTGTCTCCTTCTTCCAGGATTTTTTAAAAACTTCCCATTGTGGGATTACTAGTGGTTTCCCATCATCCCAGTTTTCCCTTAAGCATCAAAGCCAATGGGTGACTTTGAGTCGGTAACTATCTCAGTGCAAACCACTTCACAGGGATGTTGTGGTAGGGAAAATAAGAGAGAAGAGCATTATATAAACTCCTCTAGGTTGTGTAAAATAAAGACAGGGGTGTAAAGCTAAAAATACACCAATAAGTAAGTAAGTAAGTAAGTAAGGAAGGAAGGAAGGAAGGAAGGAAGGAAGGAAGGAAGGAAGGAAGGAAGGAAGGAACACAAGTGCTGACCAAGTCTGACTCTGCTTTGATTTTCTTGAAGTCAATCAAAGTTGAGCAGAGCTTGCTTGGTAATATGGACTATATTTAGTTAATTTTATTTCATTTCCACTGAAATAGTTGCTTGGTTCTCTCATCTTTTTTAAGATGTGCAGCACCCAGCAGGCCTTTGAAGAACCCAGGGTGTCTTTGGCCAAGGAAGACAAAACGTTCCCTAATGTTTTGTGCAAGGGAAGGAGAAGGGAGAACCAGGATTGGAACCAGGTTAGATAGTCAGAACTCTGAGCATTTAGCCTAAGATAGCGGTTTCCAAACTTGGCAACTTTAAGACTGATGGACTTCAGCTCCCAGAATTCCTCAGCCAAGTTTGGAGACCCCTGGCCTAAGACAAAGGAGAGAGATACGGACCCTTCCTATGCTGCCAGATTTTTTTAAAAAAGATGATATTTAATTAAAAATCTGAACTGGCAGAAGTGAAGCCCTACCTTCCGATCTCATCTCTTTCCAAGAATTTTTTAAAGACTCTTGTGGAAATAGAAGGAGATGCAATTCAGTCTTTTGTTTTGAAACAGTCGGGAATCTTCCTTCTTTTAAAGCAGAGAGGGCTCATATCAACTTGTTGTCCTATGGCCTGT